TGACCTTGGAGAGCCGCCTCGTTCTCCTCCAGTGCTGTACGTAGACAACAAGGCCATGCTGGCCTTGTGTCGAGAGCAGCGCTTGGAGCACAGAACGAAGCACATTGCTCTCCGCTACTTCCTTGCTCGTGAGCTGCAGCAGCGTGGTCAGTTGCGACTTGCGTACGTGGCCTCTGAGGCCAACACTGCTGATGTGTTCACCAAGGCACTGGCGCCTTGTGACCATCAGCGCTTTTGTACCCAGCTGGGTCTTGTGCCTGTCTTGCCTCACTTGCTCTCTTCTTGACTTTACTTGTACTGTGACATATATATACCTGCTCTTGCTTGTCTTGCTTTATATATATGTCTGTACTCTTGCATGTGAACTGGCCTTTGGCCTTGCTCTTGTGCTCGGACTGTGTGGTGACTTTGTGATCCACCCCGAGCTTGCTTTGCTTTGCTTGACTGGTCTTGTGACCTCTTGTTCTCCCCCACTTTGCCTATGGGGGTGTGTCAGAACATATAGCTTACCTATTTGTGTAGGCTACAGTGGGGTATCCCATAAGGGGTACAACACAATTAGGTTTCCTATTTGTACTCATTCTTGACTTAGTCAATTCATTCCTCTTCTCACTGTTTCACACAATCCCAATATCGTAAGCCCCCGGATAGAAGCGCAGGCCTCGGATAAGCGCCGGCGCTTATATCCTGTCCTCGATTATAAGCGCACCCCCTAGAAAAAGATGATATATTATAAGCGCATGTTTGTTTTTCATTTGAAAACCTTTCAAATTTCACAAACGAATTTCGCATAATCAGGGAAACGAACTACAATTTCGATTTCCCACACTCTGAACTCACTTTTTGCGCGTCTAGTCAGCATGTGCTGTAATTTTGTCAGGGCGAGCTGGCAGGGAATCACTCCTGTCAGAATGAGGAATGAGTGTTGCATTGATGTTGGTTGGGGTACATATGACAAACCCTAACTTCTGTACCCCCTAAGACAAACCTCACTACAGGCTACAACATTTGACACACCCCCATAGCCTAAGTGAGGGGTGTCTAGCAAAAACAAAAAGAGTACGGTCACAAGACCAGTCCAAAAGAAAACAAAGCTCAGGGTGGATCACAACGTCACCACACACTCTGAGCACAAGCAACAGTGGCCACAAGGCCAGTCCAAGAGATCACAAGTATATATAGTAAATGTACAGACGAAGCAGGCAATAAACTCAAGTCTACGCATGACTAGAACCTGTGTCAACAAGGCCTAACTGCACACAACACCTCTGGTGGTCACAAGGCGGAAGTGCCTTGGTGAAGATGTCTGCAGTGTTGGCCTCGGACTCTACGAACTCGAAGCGAGCCTGTCCACGCCTCTGCAACTCTCGCAGAAGAAAGTACCTGATGTGAATGTGCTTCACTCTGCTCTCCAGTCGCGGCTCACGACAGAGGAGGATCGACGCCTTGTTGTCAGTAAACAAGGTCGGTGCAGAGCTCGGCCGCTCACCAAGGTCAGTGAGCAAGAAGGTCAACCACCGCAACTCCTGTGCCGCCATGGCACCAGCGTAAATCTCAGCCTCAGCTGTAGAGGTCGAGACAGAAGAGGAGCGCGTGGAACGCCAGGAAACAGCTCCAGAACCCAGACTGAAACAGTACCCCTGAGTAGACCTGTGAGTCTCAGCGTCGTCAGCGTAAGAGGAGTCACAGTGACCAGTGAGTACGACAGACTGCTGCCCTCCAAGAACTAGCCCCACGCCTGATGTAGTCGCTAGGTACTTCGCCACCCTCACAGCTGCCGTCCAGTGAACAGGACGGTGTCTCCCTGGCGCAACAAAGCGCGCAAGGATGCTGAGAGGGAAGGCGAGGTCCGGGCGAGTACAAGTCATCAGGTACATGAGGCAACCCACAAGCTCTGCGTAGGGACCACTAGGCTCAAACGGCTCGTCAGGAAAGGGACCAGTGAGTCTGTGGTCAACAGCTAGAGGTGTGCGCTGTACGGTGGAGTGCTGAAGCCCGAACCGCTGAAGGACCTGCTGCACCATGTGTGACTGTGAGAGTGTAATGGTGCGAGCGGCTCTGTCCCTGGTGATCTGCAGGCCAAGGTAGTGGCGCAGTTCACCAAGATCAGTGCACGTGTGTCTCTTCTGCAGTTCGGACTTCACGTCTGCCAAAGCAACCCTGTCCGGAGTGGCGAAAACGAGGTCGTCGACGTAAACAAGAACAAAGAACGGTGTGGAGCCACGACGAACGAACAGCGACGGGTCGGCAGAAGACGGCTGGAACCCAAGGTCAGAGAGGGTAGAACGCAGAGTGTCGTGCCACTCACGAGGGGCCTGGCGAAGACCGTAAACAGGTCGCCTCAGCCTCCACTGGGTCCCAGGAGGGAAGGTGCCAGTGAAGGCCGAGGGACGACGCAACCAGACCTCCTCGTGTAGGCTGCCCTGAAGGAAAGCAGTGGAGAAGTCAAGAGAGTGTAACTCGTAGTCTCTCTGTGCTGCTACGTGTAGTAACACCCGAAGAGTGGTCATCTTCGGGGTAGGTGCGAAGGTCTGAAAGAAGTCAACTCCCTCGCGCTGACTGAAACCTCTAGCCACGTAGCGCGCCTTGAAGACCGGGGGAGATCCCGGTGGCCGCTTCACCCTGTAGATCCACATGCCGTCGACTACGTTCGCCCCCGGGGGGGGAACCTCATCGACGTAGGTGCCTGTGGATCTGTAGGAGGCCATCTCTGCGTCCATGGCAGCTCTCCACTGAGAGGCCCAAGGCCCTGACACTGCCTCAGCGTAAGTGCGAGGAGTCGGAATGTCAAGGGCGTCGGGGTCACCCTCAGGGGCGAGGAGCATGGCACAGAGATGAGGGGAAGCGGCCGCCAGGAACTCTAGCTCAAACTGCCTGTCCTCTAGGGCGTCACGGCCAAGGGCAGACACACCCCCGACGGCCAGAGGACTGGTAGGAGGAGCAGCCACAAGTGTGGTGGCGTAGTCAAGGCGGCGGGTAGAGGCAAAGTCAGTAACTGCGGCAGTAAGAGCGGACACAGAGGACACAGAGGCACGAGGGTGAGTAACAAGAGAGGCGAGAACACGAGAGAGAACAGGACGGTACGTGCGGTAGTAGTTAGTGACAGGAGTAGGGAGCGACACAGTGAGGGCCGACTCAGGAGGAGACGGAAGCACAGACTGAGACGGACGAGGTGGACTAGAAAGAAGGAAGGCAGTACGAAGGTCAGTGAAGGGAACAGGAGACGAGGGACGAGCACGAGGGGAGCGACGAGTAGCCCAAGAACGAGACGGAGGAGAAGAGGACAAGGGCGGAGAACTGGGGAAAACAGCGGGGGAGGAGTCAGGAGGAGGAAACGTGGGACCGTAGACAGGAGGAGAGGCGGAGGAGGGAGGAGAAGGGGAGGGGAGACCAAGGATCCGAAGACCCGAGACAGGAGGAGGAAGTGGCTGCTGCTGCTGCGGCTGCGACTGCTGCTGCTGCGGACGCGGCTGCTGCTGGGACTGCTGCTCCTGCGGGTCCAGCTGCTGCTGCTGCTGCTGCTGCTCCTGCGGCTCCAGCTGCTGCTGCTGCTCCTCCAGCCGCTGTAACTCCCTCTCCTCTCTCTCCAACGCCAGCTGATACCATGTCAGAATGAGGAATGAGTGTTGCATTGATGTTGGTTGGGGTACATATGACAAACCCTAACTTCTGTACCCCCTAAGACAAACCTCACTACAGGCTACAACATTTGACAACTCCCTGCCAAGCTGCGCGAGAATCAGATTTGCGACCCTATATGTTTTTGACTCGATTACAATCGGTAGAACGAGATATACAGTTTGGTGTAAAACAAATATATATTCTTTTTGCCATTTTATAAGCGCCGGCGCTTATGAAATTCCTCAATTATAAGCGCACCCCCCAAAAAACAGTGTTTTTTATACCCCTAGGGGCGCTTCTATCCGGGGGCGGACGGTACGTAGAGGAAGGTACGGTATGATGTGGCATGCTAACTCGGAGGGCAGAGGATCGTGTCATCTCATCAGTTGGTGAAAGGGACAATGAACTCGGAGCGGTGAGTGCATGAGCGGGCGAGCACGGGAGTGCTCCCTCACGACGGAACCCCCTGAAGTTTGTTCGTCACAGATCACCAGCCAGGAAACCCGTGATATTTCGAAAGCGAGTCAGTTCTGACAACCGTTGGATCTGGGCAACCATTATCAATTTGGCCCTGTTAGCAATTTCTACATCTCCTGCAAATAGTTTCTCGGGTTGATGTGATATCATATATTCACATTGTAGTCTTTGACTATCTATGCTACAGCAAAAACCAAGCAGGTGAGGTGGCATTGCAGCAACTTCCTTTCAAAGCAGAAAACACAATGAGTGGGGTCTTCAAACGAAACTCAAGCGGGATCTGATTCTTCAGCTGCCAAGGTTTTCAAGGATGATCCAGGCAAAAACAGCAGATTTGATTGTTACTGGTACAGGCATCAGATGCAGGAGTGCATGATTGACAAGTAGCAAAATGGGTATGACAATGCCCCCATGTAGAGCCCTGCAAAACAATCATGCACTCCTGCAGGCATGAGGAGGGGGGCGACCCCACTCGCCCTACCCCACTCGCCCTACCCTACTCTGCCCTCCGCTGCCTCATCAATGCTCAAACTCTCTGTTCCACTCCACCGCTGTCTGTTTCACTCGATATGCTTATTCCAAACACCCTATGCTTATTCCAAACACCCTATGCTTATTCCGAACACCCTATGCTTATTCCGAACACCCTATGCTTATTCCAAAGACCCTATGCCTATTCCACTCACCGTGTGACTATTCCACTCACCGTGTGACTATTCCACTTACTGTGTGCCTAATCCACTCACTTTCTGTTCCCACTTACACTCCTGTTTCCAATCGGCCTCTCTTCCCCTCGCATATTCCCCTCATCCCATCTCGCCTCGTCTCGCCTCCCCTCCTCTCCTCCCCTCACCTCCCCGCCCCTCCCCTGGCCGCGCCTTACCTGCAGCGGTTTGCGCGCGTCACGCCTTGAGGCGGAAGGTGGTGGAGCGGATGACGTCATCGTCGCGGTTGAGGCGCTGCTGCAGATTCACCTGCGCTTCGGAGCGCGCGGCGAAGATGAACAGGAAGAAGATGCCGTCCAGGTAGCGGCTCATCACGCCGCCCATGTTCTTTGTCTTTATGCTATACGCCAAAGGCTGCATGCCGCGGTTGAAGATCTCCACGTCCAGTGCGCCGCCCGCCACGAGAAACTGCACGTGCGGAAAGTGGGGGGGGGAGGGGGGAGGGGGAGCGGAAGGGGGGAAGGATGCATGAGAGACGTGTGCTTGAGGGGAGTGCCGATGCGGGTAGTGCGCAGAAGGGAAGTGCGCATGAGGGGAGTGCGCATGAGGGGAGTGCGCATGAGGGGAGTGCGCATGAGGGGAGTGCGCATGAGGGGAGTGCACATGAAGTGAGTGCAGACGAGAGGGGTGCGTATACACGGGGAAGAGTGAGCGGGAAGACAGGGGAAAATTGCGAGGGCGAAGGGAGAGAAGCAAGAAACACGGCACAGTCGGGGTTCGTACAAGCGAATGACCGACAGAGGGCCGGGTCGTGAAGGGCTAACAGGGGAAAGCGGAATGCGCGCACAGTCGCGCGACGGCGACGCACGTCGTCGAATCGTTCCGTCCCTGCGACGCACCTCGTCGCATCGTTCCGTCCCTGCGACGCACCTCGTCGCATCGTTCCGTCCCTGCGACGCACCTCGTCGCATCCCTCCATCCCTGCGACACACCTCTTCGTATCGCTCGGTGAGCGCGACGCGTTCGTCCTCCGTGAGGTCGGGTCGCAGCACCACCATCGCCTCGTACCGATGCACGCCCGCCGGGTACGACTGACGCGCCGCGCCCTCCTCCTCCGCCGTCAGCGAATCAGCCATTGCCACGTTGCGCGGCGCTACTACGGCACCGCGCTTCGCCTGCTGCTGCGCGGCGAGTGAGGCGGCTTGACGTACACGCAGCGGCACGAGTGCGGCGCGCCTTAGGGAGTGTACAGCGGGTTGAGTCAGGCCGGCGGCCGGCATGGCTGCCGCCGCCACGGGGACGCGCAGGGCAAGAGCACCCGCCATTTCAGGGATGGGTGGTGTGGAGACGCTACGCGGGCAGGAGTTAGTTCGGTGGGGGTCGCGATGAGAGAACAGGTGGAGGGATGATGAGATGAGGGAGATAAGGGGAGAGGGGATAAGGGTGCGCGCAGGGGGGCAATGCACGCGGGGGAAGGGGAGGGAAGTGCGGTTGATAATGGGGGAGCCGCGCGGTTGGGTACGCCCTTGACAGTACCGCCACCCGTGATAGGTGAGGGGCAGTTGCGCTGTACAAAGACTCGGTTCGGTAACGCAACTACAACTGGTAATATGTTGGCCCATTTTTGAATTCCTAAGACAAATACTAAACCAATTTCCAACGAGTTGCCCACAACCTGGAAAGAAACAATCCCTTATAGAAGTTCCTATTGTCATTGTTCCAGGACAAGCTTGCTGATGAAACTGCATTTGCAGAAGCAAACTCCCTGTCTGTACACAAATTGGCATTACTACATTACTAAGGTACTGCGGAAGGAGCCTGTGGTGTTGCGGCTCTCGCTGCTGCTGTCACAGCTGGGTTGGCGCTGCTGCTGCTCCCACAGACGGCACTCCTGCTGCTGGTGCTGCAGAGCCTGGGCTCACTGCTGTGTCTGCTGCTGGCGATGCATGCGAGGGGCGTGCCTGGGAGTCACCTGATACTGCTGCTGAGCCCACCGCTGACACTGTTGTGTGTGCTCCTGTGACTGGTACTACTGATGCTGCTGTGGTTGGTGCTGCTGTGATTGGTGCTGCTGTGGTTGGTGCTGCTGTGATTGATGCTGCTGTGATTGGTGCTGCTGTGATTGGTGCTGCTGTGATTGGTGCTGCTGTGATTGGTGCTGCTGTGATTGGTGCTGCTGTGATTGGTGCTGCTGTGGTTGGTGCCGTGGTGGTCAGTGCTCCCAAGCCTGACAAAGCTGCATGTGGTTGCTGTGAGTGTGGTTGCTGTGGGTGTGTGTGCTGCAATTGCGATTGCGGCCCATTCTGCAGCGCCACATGTCGTGTGTGTGCTGCTACTCCTCCTGCCCTCTCGCCCCCCGCAACTCCCACTGCTTTAGCCATTTCCACACCAGGCACACCTGCCGTACCTGCTCCTGCCACACCTGCACGATCAGCAGCAACACCACCACCAGCAGGAATAGCAGCAGCACCACCTGTAGCAGCAGAAATTGCGGCACTAGCAACAGGAATAGCAACAGTAGCGGCAACAGAACTGTAAGCAGCACTGGCAGCAGTAGCAGCAGGACGAGCAGGAATTGAAGCAGTGGCAGCAAAGGCTGTGTGTGTCAGTGCAGGTGGGTGTGGCACTGTGGGGTGCATGGAGGTCTGCCCACTTGCTGCATGAACCACGCCTGCCACTGATGCTCCTCCCATGCCTTGCCTCGCCACGCCCTGCCTTGATACTGTTTGGCTCGCCAATACTTGGCTCGGTACTGCTCGGCTCGGTATTGCTTGGCTGGGTACTGCTTGGCTGGGTCCTGCTCGGCTCGGCATTGCTTGGCTCGGCAGTGCCTGGCTCGGTATTGCTCGGCTCGGTACAGCTTGGCTTGGCACTGTTTGGCTTGGCAGCGCAGGGCTCGGCAAGACTTGCTGTGGCCTTGGCTGTGCAGGTGTATATCCCCTTCCTGCACCTGCTGCTGTGTATGGCACTGCTTTTACCGCACCTGCTGTTGTGTGTGCTGCTGATCCTGCTGCTGTCACTGCTGCTGCTGCTGCTGCATGTGTTGCCACATTGCTTGACGGTACGTGGCCAGGCAGTTGCTGCAGAGGCAAGTGACTTACACTCCCACTCCCACTGCTACCTGCTACTGTTCCTGCACCTGCTGATGCTGCCGGGGTTAGAGCAGATGTGACAGGATGCACTGCAGCTGCTGCTGCTGCTGCTGCTGCTGCTGCTGCTGCTGCTGCTGCTGGTGCTGCCACAGGAGCTGTGCCCCCTGTCCGTGCCACACCTGTGACTGGCGCGCCCCTGCCTCTGCCCACCCCTCCTGCACTCGCCGCATGACCGCTGCTTCCACGGCCCAGGGGTGACTGGGAGGAGGCGACAGAAGGCTGCTGGGAGGAGGCGACAGAAGGCTGCTGGGAGGAGGCGACAGAAGGCTGCTGGGAGGAGGCGACAGAAGGCTGCTGGGAGGAGGCGACAGAAGGCTGCTGGGAGGAGGCGACAGAAGGCTGCTGGGAGGAGGCGACAGAAGGCTGCTGGGAGGAGGCGACAGAAGGCCGCTGGGAGGAGGCGACAGCAGGCAGCTGGGAGGAGGCGACAGAAGGCTGCTGGGAGGAGGCGACAGAAGGCTGCTGGGAGGAGGCGACAGAAGGCCGCTGGGAGGAGGCGACAGAAGGCTGCTGGGAGGAGGCGACAGAAGGCCGCTGGGAGGAGGCGACAGCAGGCAGCTGGGAGGAGGCGACAGCAGGCAGCTGGGAGGAGGCGACAGCAGGCAGCTGGGAGGAGGGGACAGCAGAGGCCAATGGCACAGTTCGGTTGCCAGTGGCCGGGGCAGCAGTAGACGGCACGGCAGCAGTGGCCGGGGCAGCAGTGGCAGGCATGGCAGCAGTGGCACACACGGTGGCAGCGGAAGGCACAGCAGTAACGGGAGACGGGGGCAGGGAAGAGGGTGGAGGAGCAGAGGAGGCAGGGAGTGTGGCAGGAGCATGGGCGGGAGCAGAATGAGGTAGGGCACCCACCGTCTGTGCTGTGTGGAGTGATGGGGGGGTAGGGAGAGAGGTGGCAGTGGGGAGAGAGGGAGGGGCGGGGAGAGAGGGAGGAGTGGGCAGGGACGGGAGGCCTGGCAAGCATTGACTTGCAGCAGCAGGGAGGGTGGCAGGCACAAGAGGTGACGTGGCAGGCACAGCACGTGGGTGTGGTGCGGATGGAGACACAGATGGAGCAAAGCCGCTGGCAGGCTGAGAATGCCCGCTCCCATGGGGGTGCTGCTGCTGCGGCTGCGACGGTTGCTGCTGCTGCTGCTGCTGCTGTTGCTGTTGTTGTTGCCTCTGTTGCTGCTGCTGCTGTTGCTGTTGCTGCTGCTGCTGCTTCTGCTGCTGCTTCTGCTGCTGGGTCTGCTGCTGCTGGTGATGCTGCTGCTGTTGCTGCCATTGCTGTTGTTGCTGCTGCTGCTGTTGATGCTGCAGCTGCCGTTGTTGCTGCTGCTGCTGTCCCTGCTGCTGCTGCTGTGGCCGCATGGCTGGCCCTCGGTGCTGCTGCACCCGAGTGTGACCTCTGACGTTGCTGGGGCGAAAAGGCAGACAGACATAGCCAGAGGAACAGTTTGAGTAGTGATGGGTATTGATTCAGAAAAAAGGTGCATGGTGCCCAAGGACAAAAGGGTATCAATATCAGGTGTGAGAATCACATGACATACAACACACCAGTGTTAACAGTAAACCACGGCACTATAACGGGGAAAACTATGAACTCATACCTGAGAGGCACTGTCGCTTTGCTGCCCGGCAATGCAATCCCCGCCACCTCCGCACCCCTTCCTCTGCCCCCCTGCACATTCCCACCAGCCCCCCGACCTGCACCACCACCCGCGCTGCGCCCCCCTGTGCCCCCCACGGGCGCTGACGGTCCCTTAGCCACGCCCCCAGCAGCAGGAGCCCTTGGGGGGCCATGTGGCGGGGCGGTTGTAGGCGAAGGGGCGTGGGGTGTGGACGATGGCGGGAGGGCAGAGGCATGTGGGTGCGCATGTGCAGGGGACTGGGGGAATGGCAGTGCCGACTGCTGCATGTGGGCATGCATGTGTGGATGGGCGTGAGGATGGGCGTGAGGATGCGTGCGCGCATGGGTGTGCGCATGGGTGTGTGCATGGGTGTATGTATGGCTGTATGAGTGTGCATGGGGATGTGGGTGGGTGTGTGGAGGTGCATAGCCATGAGGTACCCCGTGAGGAGATGAGCGGCCATGGCCATGCATAGAGGCTTGTGACATGCTCCCACCATGACTGTGTGCCATGGACGTCTGGTTACCATGTGCCATGGACGTCTGGTTACCATGTGCCATGGACGTCTGGTTACCATGTGCCATGCCCGTCTGGTTACCATGTGCCATGCCCGTCTGGTTACCATGTGCCATGCCCGTCTGGTTACCATGTGCCATGCCCGTCTGGTTACCATGTGCCATGCCCGTCTGGTTACTGTGTCCCATGGCCGTCTGGTTACCATACGGAGTAGTGGCAGTGGGAGCGGCTCCAGCAGAGGCAGTGTGGAGAGTGGAAGATGCATGGAGGGAGGGGGAGGCAGCAGGGGCGGAGGGAGAAGCAGAGTGTGCAGTGGCAGTGCCTGTTTTTGTGGCAGCCATTGCAGCAGGTGTCGGTGAGGCCATGGTAGGGGCAGCAGTGGCAGCAGAGGACACTTGCATGGGGGCTGGGGGGACTTGGGGGATGGGTCCCGTGACAGGAGGAGGGGGGGTGGTGGAGAGAGAGGGCGGGGAGGCAATGGGCATGGAGTGAGGGAGCGGGAGAGTGGGAGGAGGAGTGGGTCTGCTGGGAAAGGGAGGGGTGTGGGGAGAAGGTGAAGGGGATTGGAAGGCGGGGTGGGGGAGTGTAGTGGAGAAGGAAGGGAAGTGTGGCAGGGAGGGGAGGGAAGTGCGAGAGGCGATTGACTGAGTGGGCATGTGGGCCTGTGGTGGGGTTGATGCTGACACATAGTTTGCAGACGCTGCTGATGCCACTGCTGCACCACTTGCCCCCTCTGCACCACTGCCAGCCCCTGCTGCCGCTGCTGCTGTTGCAATGGTGGCGGCTGGCAGTGTGGCTCCCGAGGCAGCATATGTGGCAGCAGCAGCAGTAGTGAGAGAGAGCGTGGGTGCATCAACTGGTGGGAGCGGGGGGCTGCTGCTGAGATCCAAGGGGCTGTGGCGCCGCACAGGGAGCACGGAGGGTGGGCGCAGGGTAGGCAAAATGGAGGATGTGTTAAACAGCGGTGATGGGGTTGTGATGACGGAATGGGAAGGAAGAAATGGGGAGGAGGGGATGGGGACGGGGTAGATGGGGGAGAGAGTGGAGTGGGGTGACAGAGACAGGAGAGCATGGTAGCGTAGCAGCGGGAATGGATGGGCGAGATGGGAGCAGAGGAGAGTGCGTTACCTGTTGTACATACATGAGAGGCACAGGAGGGTGGATGACGTGTCATACATACATACCTGGGCGGCACCAGAGGATGGGTGACGTGTCACACACACCTGGGTGGCATGGGCGCGGAGGGCGAGGAGGCAGCGACGTTGGAGAGGACGAGGAGGTGAGAGGCGTGTGGCTGCACCTGCTGCTTCAACTCCTGTGCCTCCAACTGCTCCCCCACGCATGCGCGCATGCATATGTCAACACAAAAACGCACGTGTACGAGCGCGCGCGCACACCCAGCACAGACATGCAAAAAACAGAAAGTGAGTGTACAATCAGGGCTAGCATTCACTTGTTGACTCATTGCATGCACTTAAAGCCCAAAACCCAAATTACAGTTTGCCTCCCGCTGCCCACAGTTTTGTCCCGCGTTGACTTGCGTTGAGCAATTCAGGTCTTGGGCTTTAAGTTTCTTCCAAAAGGACTCACGGCCAGCATGCGAGCATGGTGTTTGGAGAAGATTGTCAGCACTGCCTGTCGGTGCTCCCTCAACACGTCCTCCTCGCCCCCCACCCACTGCCCCCCGCCCCGCCCCGCCTCCTGCCGACGCACACAAGGCAACAGGGGGCGATGGGTCGGTGATCTGACACTTTACAGATTGCTGCAGTACGTTCCCACATGACATCGTCAGTGGCATGAGAGGGCGGTTGGAATGTGCAACGAGTGGTGCAGGAAGGGGGAAAGGGCGGGATGGGAAGGGGAATCGAAGGTGGAGATGCGACTGACCTTTAAGGGCGCAGAGGAGGGGACAGGGGGCGAGGAGAGGAGGGCGCTGTGACGGCGCTCACACTGACTGGGACTGCGATACACGCCCTGGTGAGGGGGGTATGAGAACACATGATGGCGGCATACAGTGCACAGAGGAGAGCATGGGGTCACTGTGGTGTGTGCACGGAATCAGCAAAGGCTGGCCGGGGACGGGCTCACAGTGAGGTGCGTGATGGAGAGGGCGGGGTCACAGTGAGGTGCGTGATGGAGAGGGCGGGGTCACAGTGAGGTGCGTGATGGAGAGGGCGGGGTCACAGTGAGGTGCGTGATGGAGAGGGCGGGGTCACAGTGAGGTGCGTGATGGAGAGGGCGGGGTCACAGTGAGGTGCGTGATGGAGAGGGCGGGGTCACAGTGAGGTGCGTGATGGAGAGGGCGGGGTCACAGTGAGGTGCGTGATGGAGAGGGCGGGGTCACAGTGAGGTGCGTGATGGAGAGGGCGGGGTCACAGTGAGGTGCGTGATGGAGAGGGCGGGGTCACAGTGAGGTGCGTGATGGAGAGGGCGGGGTCACAGTGAGGTGCGTGATGGAGAGGGCGGGGTCACAGTGAGGTGCGTGATGGAGAGGGCGGGGTCACAGTGAGGTGCGTGATGGAGAGGGCGGGGTCACAGTGAGGTGCGTGATGGAGAGGGCGGGGTCACAGTGAGGTGCGTGATGGAGAGGGCGGGCTCACAGTGAGGTGCGTGATGGAGAGCAGCACATCGGTGACAAGGCGCCAGTTGGTGCCCAGGTCGCTCACCACTGCCAGTAGCACCTGCCAGGGAGGGCACACCATGGGGAGGGAGGGGCGGGAAGGGGGGGCATTGCGATTAAGAAGGCGCCAGTTGGTGCCCAGGTCGCTCACCATTGCCAGTAGCACCTGCCAGCACGGCACACCACAAGGGAAGAGGCTTGGCATTCAAAATCCAGCTCGCCCACCTCTGCCAGCAGCACCTGCCAGCAGCGCACACCGCGGGGAGGGGTCAGTGATGGAAGATTGTGGCCGAATGGAACGTGAGACGCGGGGGGGAACAACAAGGATACGTGCTTACGAACGAGGCATGTGACACCATGCCCATGGCCATGGCCATGTCATGGCATGGCATGCACACACCTGCTCCTCCATGGGAGACCATGGCAGGGCGTCATCAGCACCATCAGCATCATCAGCAACATCGCTGCCAGGCACGCGTGCAGCAGCGAGGTCCATGCTGCCCGGGGACCCGCCCAGCACATCGCCATGGGCGGGCGGCAGAGGGAGAGCGCCTGCTGCCTCCACTTGCGAGGGTGTGGTGGCAGGTGGCAGGGCGTGCGCTCCTGGCGGTGAGGGCAGATGGTGGGGGGACTGGAGAGTGGGAGGGGCAGGGAGGGGTGTGGCAGAACAGAACTAGCGAGAGTTTGAATGTGGGTAAAAGTAGGGACAGAACTTGAAGCATTAGCGTGAGAGGAAGGCATACACTGGAGCCACCGTTGTGCGTATCACCTAGAATGTCTCCCTGCCTGCTGCCACTCACCGACTGTCGCTTGCTGCCTTTCTTCTTCGCCTCCCTGCCCATGCCACCCGCCGCCACGTCCCTCCTCCCGCCGCCCACCTCGCCATCGGCCCGCCCCATGCCTTCCGCCCATGCCTCCCCATCTCTACCATCCGTCTCCAGCCTTCCCCCCTCCCCGCCCTCTGCCTGCCCCTGCTTCCTCGCCCCAGCGAGCACATGGGTGTGGGGGTGCAGCGAGGGTGTTATCGCAGCAGGCTGAGAGCCAGTGGCTGGTGGGGGAGAGAAGAAGAGATGCGAAGAGGGATAGCATTGGGGAAGGGGGAGGTGGGAGAAGTTGCGGATGGGAGGACAACAACAGTGTGGGATTTCACAGATGAGCAAAGGCCTTGTTCTGGCAAAGGCAACAGCGTGGTGGCCGGTGAAGCTGCAGCAGGAGTGGCAAGCAGCACGGCAAGCAGAATGGAGCAGTAGAACAGAGCATCGCCGAGGAGAAGTCGTGTGACACGCAGAGAGTGACCCACAGCACATCCGTTTCACCTGTGGCCAATGCCGCGCCATCAGCAGCAGCAGTGGCGTCGGAGGGAGCAGAAGCAGCCAGGCGAGGAGGGAGGGCGGGGCTGGCAGAGGGCGCACATGTGACCTTTGGGGAAGCAGGAGGACCCTTGGGCTTGCGGTGAGCAGATGGGCGCTGGCGTTGCTGGCAGGGATGGGGAGCACACAGGGCAGAGAGGAGTGCAGGGCGGAGGGGAAAGAGATGGATGGTAGAGGGGAATGGATGGTAGAGGGGAATGGGGGAATAGGTGGATGGTAGTGGGGAGTGGGTGGTAGAGAGGAGTGCATGGCAGAGGATAGTGCAGGGCGGGACATGCACGTCATGGTCCATGCAGGGCGGGACATGCACGTCATGGTCCATGCAGGGCGGGACATGCACGTCATGGTCCATGCAGGGCGGGACATGCACGTCATGGTCCATGCAGGGCGGGACATGCACGTCATGGTCCATGCAGGGCGGGACATGCACGTCATGGTCCACACACATACCACATGCACGTCATGGTCCACACACATACCACATGCACGTCATGGTCCACACACATACCACATGCACGTCATGGTCCACACACATACCACATGCACGTCATGGTCCACACACATACCACATGCACGTCATGGTCCACACACATACCACATGCACGTCATGGTCCACACACATACCACATGCACGTCATGGTCCACACACATACCACATGCGCGTCATGGTCCACACACATACCACATGCACGTCATGGTCCACACACATACCACATGCACGTCATGGTCCACACACATACCACATGCACGTCATGGTCCACACACATACCACATGCACGTCATGGTCCACACACATACCACATGCACGTCATGGTCCACACATATACCACATGCACGTCATGGTCCACACACATACCACATGCACGTCATGGTCCACACACATACCACAGCAGAACGCTTGACTTTACCTTGCCAGCCACAGCAGCAGCATCCCCTGCTGCTGTTGTTGCCGCCGCTGCTCCCACTGCTGGGCTGCACACACTGCCTCCCTCACCACCCCCACCCCCACCCCCACCCCCACCCCCACCCCCACCCCCACCCCCACCCCCACCACCCACACTGCTTGCTCCCGCATCAGCACTAATCGCAACTCCCACCCCCCTCTGCCCACCACCCATGCCTTGCTGCTCCGCGCCCCCCTCCACCTCTCCCTCGCCTCTGCCACCCGCCATGTCCTGGGAAGAGCGGTCAGCGGAGGGAGACGCAGCCAACATGCCACCATCCTTGCTGCCCGCCTTCCCTCCCCCTCCCCCTCCCCCTCCTGCTGCTGCTGCAGCCTCCCTTGCGGCCACGCCCTGCCCTTGCTTCCCACCCCATGCGCATTGCTGCATTGCCCCTTCCCCTTCCACACTAGCACCCCCTCTCTCCCCCACTCCCAATGCCTTCCCCTTCTGCCCGCGCCCCTCCCCCTGCTGCTTCCCCTTGCCCCCCCTCCCCATGCCACCCACCTTCGTCCCACCCAGCCCCCTCCCTGCCCCTGTTCCACGTCCTCGCCCCTCGCCCCCTCCCTTCGCCCCCACGCCTTTCATACCTTGCCCTCTGCCCAACCCTCCTCTGCCCAACCCCCCTCTGCCCGGGCCTGCGCTCCCTGCTAGCTGTGCCGCCTCAACTGCACCCCCTGCCCCCAATGCACCACTGCCCTGAGCCAGCTGCGCCTTCCCCCCATCCTGTGCTCCCACTCCCTGCATCCCTGCACCCGCCCCTTCGCCCCCCACCCTTGCAACACTCACCCCGCCCGTCTCCCCATCTCCCGCCATTGCGCCGTGCTGCCCTGCACCCCCTGCTGCCTGCCCTGCTTGTTTCTGCCCCGCCAATAGCATCGCACTCGGCTCACCAGAGTCCCCATCACTCCTCCTCACCTCCGCCCACCCCTCCGCCTCCCCCTCTCTCTCCCCACACAAGCCGTCTCCCCCTGCTTCGCCCTCTTTGCGCTGCTGCAGCTGTGTGAGGGGTCGCTGCCTCACCTGCACCTGCTTCTTCCCCTGCTGCCTCTGCGCTATCTGCTGCCCCTTGTGCCCCACTGCACCAACACCCCCCTGCTGCTGCTTCTGCCCCTGCACCCCCACTGCCACCGCCCTCTCGAGCACCCCCTCCTCCCCCTCCCTTGCGCCGCTCACTCCCCCCACCACCTCTTGCCCACCTGCCCTCCCCATGTCCTCCCTCCCCTTGTCCTCTCCCCATTTCTCTGTCCCCCCACCTAAATACCCTTCTTCCTTCACAGCTACCCCTGCCCGCCCGCCCAGCCCCACTGGGACATCCAACATGGAAGCAGACCCGGCAGCAAAAGGGGCAGTGGCAGCAGGGAGGGGTGAGGCGGAGGGAGGGTGGATGGGGATAGATGCATGGGGTTGGGACGAGAGGTGGGGAGAGGGGGACGGGTGGAGCGAGGGGAGGGGGTGAGAGGGGGAGGGGGAGAGGAGGAAGTCAGGGAGGAGGAGGGGGAAGGGGTCGGGGGAAGAGGCAGGGGGGAGTGTCATGTGGTCCTGTAAAGTGGGGGGAAGAGGGACGGGGTGCGGAAAAAGGGGGTTGAAAATGGAAGCAGGAGGAAACGAGAGGGGCAGATAGTGGTGAGAAGGGAATGTAGCTGAGGGCAGAAGGGAGGGCGCAAGAAGAGGGAATGAGGGGGTGGAAGAGAGAGATGGGAGGATGGGCATGAACAGCAGATGCAAGGCGGGCGTACATGGGCAGAAAAGGCATACGTAGGCAGTACATGGGCAGAAAAGGCATACGTGGGCGGTACATGGGCAGAAAAGGCATACGTGGGCAGTACATGGGCAGAAAAGGCATACGTGGGCGGTACATGGGCAGAAAAGGCATACATGGGCGGTACATGGGCAGAAAAGGCATACATGGGCGGTACATGGGCAGAAAAGGCATATGTGGGCGGTACATGGGCAGAAAAGGCATACGTGGGCGGTACATGGGCAGAAAAGGCATACGTGGGCGGTACATGGGCAGAAAAGGCATACGTGGGCGGTACATGGGCAGAAAAGCCGTACATGGGGTGGAAAGGCGTACATGGGTAAGGCGGGCTTACAGGGGCGGAGTGGAGGGGCGGCATGAGGCAGAGGGCGAGGGCTGTGACGGCAGGCTGTGGCATGGGGAAGGTGAGTGGCGCCTGGTGGCCCCCGGGGTGCACACATGGGAAGAGGGGGAGGTGTAGGGGGGGAGAGAGAGGAGGAGGGAGGCCCACGGGGAAGAGGAGGGAAGGAGGGAGGGAGGGAGGGAGGGAGGGAGGGAGGGAGGGAGGGAGGGAGGGAGGGAGGGAGGGAGGGAGGGAGGGAGGGAGGGAGGGAGGGAGGGGGGGGGAGGGGACTCAAGTGCATGCAAGGGATAAGAGCAGGGCGAATGGTGTGGAAGGCATGGGGCATGGGGGGCATGGGACATGGTGCATGAGGCATGATGCATGAGACATGGGGCATGTACGAGCCAAAAAAAGCTCACGGTGGGTGGGAAGCACGACCACTGAAACGCAGTGCAACACACTTCCCTCACCCCCTCAACCCCTCGCCCACTCGCACCTCACTCACCCATCACCCCATCATCACCTCGCCCCTCACCTCGCCCCTCACCTCGCCCCTCACCTCGCCCCTCTTTCACCGCGCCCCTCACCTCGTCCACCCACGACCACCAGTCACTGCAGCTCATGTCCGCCCCTCGGCCCTCCTCCCTCTCTGGCGTCACCGGTGCACTCGCCCCTCTCTCTGCTGCGCCGCTTCCACCCTCTGCCCCTCCCTCCATGCCCCCTTCCCCCTCCGCCCGTCGCCCCTCTGCCCCTTTTTCCGCTGCCCCTCTGCCAGCCTCTCCCCCTGGCACCTCCACTTGAACCCTCGCTTTTCTCCCCGCGCCCTTCCCCTCCACGTCCCCATACGCCCCCTCCTCTTGCTTCCGGTTCCTCGGCCCGCCACCATCGCGTGCTGTCCGCTGGCCTTGCCCCGAGGAGAGAGGGCGAGCCATAGCAGCACCACAGCTTCTCCAACCTGCCTTGCTTTCCTCCTCCCTTCCCTCGTCACTTCGCTCCCCTCTCCTCTCCTCCTCCCCTCCTCGTCCATGCATCGGCTCATGCCCCGCCCTCCCCTCGCCTGCACCTTCTGCCCTCTCCCTGCCCACCCTCTGTGCACAAGTGGCTAGGTGGCTCGCCGCTGCTCTCTTCCACAGCCGCTCCTGCCACCCATGCAGAGCGGGGTGGGGTGGGGTCGGGTGGAATGGGGTGGGGTGGGTAGGGTAGGTTGGGATGGATGGAGTGGGGTGGGGTGGGGTGCAAGGAGGTGTGGGTGCAGAGTGGGGTGGGGCGCAGGGTGCAGGCAATATGAGGGCAAAGAGAGGAACGAGAGGGAAGAGATGGGCGTGAGTCAGAGTGGCTAGTGGCAGCAGAAAGTACACATGTGAGTGTGGAGGTGAGGACAGGAGAGACAAGGAGGCCCGGGGAGAAGCAAAGACGAAGGTGGAAGGAGCGCACAGGCGGGGCGGCAGGGAGTGAGGGGGGGCAGCACCTGTTGGAAATCAAGGGCGAGCCATGCCATCTCCTGCAACACGTAGTCCCACTGACTGCTGCCCCCCGCCCGCACCCTCCATGCGTCTCCCTTCTCTGCCCCGCCCTCCTCGCCCATCCCCATCTCCCTCCATGCGCCCCCTATGCCTGCCTCTGTGCTGCCAGTGCCGCCAGCAGCAGCAGCAGCAGAGGTGGTGGCAGCAGGGGAAGCTGCAGCGAGCAGGCAACGGTTGGCCTGAGGAAGGGGGAGGTGGGGGGCGGAGAGAGTGGAGGAGAATGGGTAAGTATGTGTCACTGCCCCACCACCCTCTCTCACTGTCTTACCACGCCCTGTACCTACCGCAACACACCGACCCCTGACCCACTGACGACACTGCCCCCCCACTCACCCAGATGCCGTCAGCCTCCTCCAGCACGCACTCCTCATGCGCCCTCGCTGCCGCTGCAGCCAGCTCGCCCCGCCTCCGCCCCTCCTCCTCCTCCGCCCGCCTCCCCTCCCACACATGCCTCGCCACCCACTCCCCCGCCTCCCCCGTCCTCCCCACGCCCCCCCCTGCCGCTGCACCCCCATCCGCCCCTCCTCCCCCGCCGCCCCACCCACTCCACCCTGCCCCGCCTGCTGCTGCCCGCCCAGCCACTCCCGCTCCCCCACGGCCCCCCTCGCCCTCTCCTCCCCCTGCCCCTGCCACGGCCTCTCCTCCCCTGCCCCCGCCACTCCCCCCAGCCCCGCCCCCTTCCCCCCACGCGTCAGTCCGCGCTCCCTCCAGAGCATCAGGCAGGAGAGAGGAGAGCGAGGCGAGGGAGGGCAGCGAGGGCAGCGAGGGCAGCGAGGGGGCGAGGGCGGAGGGGGAGGCGGCGAGGGCGGAGGAGGAGGAGACGGTGGGGATGGGCACAGAGGAGGGGTCGGGCATGGGGATGGGCACGGGCACGTGCGACAGGGGCGGGTGGGGGGTGGGTGGAGGGGCACGCTGCTGTGTGAGCAGCAGCCCGAGAGGGTCTCTGGATGCTGTAGGCGCGTGGCGCTGCTGCACTTGCCCTGCCTGCCACTCATGCCCGCTGAAGCTGCTTGCCCTTCCCCCCCCCTCGCTGCTACCCTGCCCGCCTCCCCCTCCTGCCCTACCCCTGCCGCTCCCACCACCGCTACCGCTCCCGCTACCACCGCCGCTGCCCCCACCATTGCCACTGCCGGCACCACCAGTGCCAGCTCCCGTCTCCCTTTGGATTTCTGACGCGCCACCCGCCTCCCCAGCAGGCAGCGCGTGTGCTTGTGAGTGGGCACGCCCCACCTCGTACATGCGGCTGCTGCTCTCGCCCTCCGCCCCCTCCTCCTCCCTCCCCCTCTTCCTCCCTCGCTCCATCCCTCCAATGCCCGACCGCCACCCATCCACCCCTCCCTCCCCTTGCCCTCTCTCCTCCTGCGCCCCCTCCCTGCCACCCCTGCTACCACCCGCGCCCCCTCCGCTCCCCTCTCCCCGCTTCCCCTCCCCCAGCTCCCCTTGCGCGGAACCACCAGGGGGGCTGGCGGGGAGGGTGACCTCAACGGGGATGGGGGCGCCTGAGAGGGAGGAGGCGAGGGGGCGGGGGCGCGGGGCGTGGGGGGGCAGGGTGGAGTGCAGGCGGGCGAGCATGTGCGAGTGCGAGTGCAGCATGGCCTGCAGGGGCGCCCCCACCTGCAGCGTCACCACCACACACTCGCCCGCCCCCTCCTCCTCCTCCTCACCCGCGCCCGCGCTGGGAGGGGTTGCATTTGTGGCGGTGTGGGGGGGTTGAGGGGGGTCTGCTGCGGTGCAGGTATCTTCATCCGTGTCCATGCACACAACGTCAGCTGTGCCATCATCGTCATCAGAAACCGCATCAGAAGCAGCATGCGCATGAGCATCAGCATTCACACCGGCATCAGCAGCGTCAGCAGCATCAACACTCAAAGCTCCTCCAATGCTCCTCCCGTCCCCCCCACCCACATCAGCATCAACCTCACATGCACGCCGCCTCTCCCCTTCCTCCTCCCGCTCCTCCTCCTCATCCCCCTCCCCTTCACCTCCTCCTCCTCCATTCCCACCCTCCGTCCCCTGTTGCTCCCCCACCACACTCTCATCTAGTGTTGCTGCTTCGCCGCCATCCTGTGTCTCGTCCTCCACACCATCCTCCCTTGCATGCTCCGCGGCAGGGCTGCAGGCAGTGCGCACGGCAGGGGGCATGGCAGGACGGAGGGAGCAGAGCAGAGGGCAGCGCAGTGAAGACAGGCAAGTGGACGTGCGGCAGAGGCAGGGAGGGACAGGAAGCTCTTAGCAAGCAGAGCCAAAGGAGTGCATGTGTGGCGCGGTGGGGGTGAATGGAGTGCACATGGTTGCAGTGCTCTCTAAAAGTCCACAGTTCACCACAAGTGGGCTGCGCACCTGGGGGACGATTGGGGCATGAGGGGCGTGAGCGCACCTGGGGCACGGCGGAAGGTCGAACCGGGTGGGCGCAGAGGGTGGGGGAGAGGGGGACGGGGAGGAGGCGGGGGAGAGCGGCAGCAGGAGGGGGGAGGGCAGGCGGGCGGAGAAGGGGAAGTCGAATACGTCCCCGCCCTGAAGAGGGTGGGGTGGGGGGGCACGGTTGGGGGGACACGGTTGGGGGGACACGGTTCGGGGGTGGGGGGCAGGCAGGCGCATGAGAACGTGAGGGCGGACGGATGGGATGGGGGAGGGAGGGAGAGAAAGCGGGGGAGCAGGCGGAGGCAGCAGCAGCGGATCTTCGATTCGCTTCACTAACCTCCTCATAATCGCACCTCGTTCACCCATTTGATTATAGTCACACCTCGCCACGCTCACCTCCTCCAGGAATCGCAGCAGTTCCGCCGCGCACGCGCTGCGATCGTCACCCGCCGCCAATGCGCTGCTGGTGCGGGCGGGTGGAAAGGAGGCAGCACGGACAGGGACAGGCGGGCATAATGAGGGATCATGAGAACGAAGGAAACGTGAGCACACGGAGGTAAGGACGCGTTGCCACGTGGCCGTGGCGCGCATTCAGGAATGGAGTGGTTAGGGTTACGGTCGTGTGCCAGACAATCGCCGCCACACGACCGTATCTGGCAGCCAAAGGAGCGCCAGCGCAACAGCGCGGCGGAGGGACGGTCGCGCTTCCCAGGCGGCAGCGCATGATGAGCGAGCGGCTCGACGTACGCGGGTGCGGCGGAGGCGAGGGCGGCAGCGGCGCGGGACGAGCAGGCGGGCATGGCGCCGAGCCGTCGAGTGCGCTTCGGAGTGGATGGGAGCGCGGGACGAGTCACAGCGAGGACGACGCGCCGTGAGGAGCGGCAAGCGCGGAGGTCGCGGGCAGAGATTCGTGCGCCATCGCCGTGAGCCGTGCGCGGCTGGCAGCGCGTCGTTTCGCGCGGACTCACAACGGCGACGCTGACGTGCTCGGCGTGCGCATCGTATTATTTTTGCCCAATGTTGTACGATCAGGGATTTCCAGGTGTGTGGCGAATTTGAAATCACATTTCTTCTGATACAGGCCAAGCATATCTTCCCACTCGCCGCTTCCAACCGAAACGAAGCGTGTTTGTGGCGAAGCAAACTCTTCCAGGTTGGTTTGTTTTGGCGTGCCAGTGGCCCCAGTCTTTCATAATCCAGTCCGCAGTGCTGCTCTGTCCTGCCACGCACCGCACAACTGACACCACCTGTCGCGCGCTCCCACACCACCGTTCAGTCTCCGCGGCAAAAACACACGCGCGCGCGCAGGCACATTCCGCATTCTCTGCGTTCGCTGCGCTCGCTAATTTCTCTCCCCAGCCTCCGCTCACCAGCGCCCATCCCCCCGCCTCCGCCAATGGCGGCATCGCTTGCGCCACCATGCCACTCCGCGCTCTCTCCGCCGCCCCTTCGCCTCGCCGCGCGCCATTCCCCCTTCCGCGCCTCCTCCCTGCCGCTCCACCCGCGGGGGATGATGCGCGGGGCGGTGCGCCGCGCGGCGCAGGGGGTGCGCGCGGGCGTGGCGGAGGCGGGCGGGGAGCCGGCGCCGATGGGGCAGGTGACGCGGTACAACGACTCGTTCATCGACCTCGCGCTCATGGGGCTCTTCCGCCGCAAGATGGAGCAACAAATCGGTGGTGAGCGGTGCCGCACGGTGAGCGTTGATAAGAGTCGTAAGCGGTGAGGTGTGATGAGTGGTGAGTGGTGGTTACAGACACGTTTGGGCGTGCTCAGCTGAAATAAACGATGCATGGCGGTTTCTTGAATGTGTGACCAACTGTGCCTCTTGCTCCCCTCCTGCTTCATGGCATGGCGGCATGGTGGCATGGCGGCATGACGACATGACGTCCCGGCGGCACGAGGAATCAGAGGTGGCGACGAGGAAGCGCGGGTACGAGGCGTTCGTGGAGGTGTCGCGGCGGGTGATGCAGGGGCGGTCAGCCGCGGAGCAGCGTGCCATCGTGGCCAACGTGCTCGTGTCGCTGCTGCCACCCAACGCCCCTGCCACTGTGAACAGCCCGCCTCCCGTCACTCCTCCTGCTGCTGCCCCACACATGCGTGCTCTGCTCTCTCGAATGTGCATGCACGCTGCACCGCCGCACTCGCTTCTCTCCCCAGCCCCGCTGCTCTCCTCGCTCTCCCTACATTCCCCACGCCTTTCAATCACTTCATTCCCTTCTGCGGCCCCACTCGCCCTCTTTCCCACGCCACCTCTTACCCAACCCCCCTCTCCCCGCCCCTCTCTCCCCACCCCACTCCCCCCAGTTCCGCAAGTGGTTCCCGCCCAGCAAGTGGTCGGCGGAGATCAACGCCGCCATCACAGTGCCCGGTTTCCAGTGGCTCGTGGGGCCCTGCCAGGTGCGCCTTCCAGTGGCTCGTGGGGCCCTGCCAGGTGCGCCTTCCAGTGGCTCGTGGGGCCCTGCCAGGTGCGCCTTCCAGTGGCTCGTGGGGCCCTGCCAGGTGCGCCTTCCAGTGGCTCGTGGGGCCCTGCCAGGTGCGCCTTCCAGTGGCTCGTGGGGCCCTGCCAGGTGCACCTTCCAGTGGCTCGTGGGGCCCTGCCAGGTGCGCCTTCCAGTGGCTCGTGGGGCCCTGCCAGGTGCGCCTTCCAGTGGCTCGTGGGGCCCTGCCAGGTGCGCCTTCCAGTGGCTCGTGGGGCCCTGCCAGGTGCGCCTTCCAGTGGCTCGTGGGGCCCTGCCAGGTGCGCCTTCCAGTGGCTCGTGGGGCCCTGCCAGGTGCGCCTTCCAGTGGCTCGTGGGGCCCTGCCAGGTGCGCCTTCCAGTGGCTCGTGGGGCCCTGCCAGGTGCGCTGTGCCACTTCAGCCAGATGCCTTGCATGCCGTGCCACTCATGCTGCACCATGCTCCATGCCATGTGTCCCACTGCTGCTTTGCGTGCATGCCAGTCTTTCTGTGCACCCCACCATGTCCCTGCTCCTCACTCTGCCTCTCCTCGCATGCTGATAACGCTGTCTCGTTCGTATCCTGCACCCGGTATGTCCCTCTCTCGGTGCGTCCGCCCTGCCCTCCATGCTCTACTGCTGCTGTTACCCATCGCTGCTGCTGCTGCTGCTGCTGCTGCTGCTGCTGCTGCTGCTGCTGCTGCTGCTGCTGCTGCTGCTGCTGCTGTTGCACGGGGACAGCTGAAGGAGGTGGAGGTGAACGGGCAGAAGCAGATGAGCGGCGTGCAGATCACCAAGTGCAGGTGACAAACTCCTCCCTACCTCTGCCCACCTCTTCCCACCACTTCCCATCTGTTTCTTCATGTTGCATGCCTCATGCTCCACTTGGCATTCCCCATTGTCACCTCACCAAACACACAGACTTGGGTCATCAAACTGACCTACCAGCTACCCCGCTTGCCACTCTCACCCGCCCTCTGTGTCTGCACCCCTTCTGTACGCGCCACAACATACGCCCCACTCTGCTACTCCCCCTTCTCCTTTTCCCATCCTCCTTGCGGTGCGGTGCAAGCAGGTACCTGGAGGTGAGTGGGTGTGTGGGCATGTGCGTCAACATGTGCAAGCTGCCCACTCAGGACTTCTTCACCAACGACTTTGGGCTCCCCCTCACCATGACACCCAGTACGTCCCTCACCATGACACCCAGTACGTCCCTCACCATGACACCCAGTACGTCCCTCACCATGACACCCAGTACGTCCCTCACCATGACACCCAGTACGTCCCTCACCATGACACCCAGTACGTCCCTCACCATGACACCCAGTACGTCCCTCACCATGACACCCAGTACGTCCCTCACCATGACACCCAGTACGTCCCTCACCATGACACCCAGTTCGTCCCTCACCATGACACCCAGTACGTCCCTCACCATGACACCCAGTACGTCCCTCACCATGACACCCAGTACGTCCCTCACCATGACACCCAGTACGTCCCTCACCATGACACCCAGTACGTCCCTCACCATGACACCCAGTACGTCCCTCACCATGACACCCAGTACGTCCCTCACCATGACACCCAGTACGTCCCTCACCATGACACCCAGTTCGTCCCTCACCATGACACCCAGTACGTCCCTCACCATGACACCCAGTTCGTCCCTCACCATGACACCCAGTACGTCCCTCACCATGACACCCAGTACGTCCCTCACCATGACACCCAGTACGTCCCTCACCATGACACCCAGTACGTCCCTCACCATGACACCTAGTACGTCCCTCACCATGACACCCAGTACGTCCCTCACCATGACACCCAGTCCGTCTCCCCCTCACCATGACACCCACTACGTCCCACCCTAGCACTACTGACACTGCTGCTGACTCTTCTTGAAAGCTTACCCTGCTCAACTGCAAGCTGCTGCACTCCCTTGCTTTGCTGTTCTGGTTGAGTTCCCTCACTGCACGCCTCCCTTCCCTCTTCGCCGATCTGCTCTGCTCTCTGCCATGCTCTCACCCAAGCATGTTCTCGCACAACCACCTATGTTCCACCACGCACCCTCCCACCACACCCCCTCCTTCCCCACCCGTGGGCAGACTTTGAGAACATGAGCTGTGAGATGGTGTTCGGCCAGATGCCCCCTCCCCTCTCCGAGGACCCCGCCCTCTCCCAGCCCTGCTTTGCTGCTCTCTGTGAGTACAGGCCTGGGGTGGTCGCATGGTGGCATGGCAGGATAGTGGCATGGCGGTATGGTGGCTGCAGGGTGGCTCCAGTTCAGTAACCAGGTGGAATTTACCGGTAGGCCATGTTTGTGTGGTGCTGGGTAGGCGCACCCATACTCCCAGGACAACACCTGCATGTGCCAGTGCCAGTGATGGGAAGACCCATTTGGGCCATCCTAGTGTCCACTTCCAACAGTGGCACGGAGCATGGGGACATGTGCGTTGCTCCGTGACCATCACTCATGTCTCACGACATGAGCTAAGCTCAAGCGGCACCTGTCTCAGCCCACATGGCTGCTGCTGCCTCCCCATGGGCCATGTGGCATTGTTGCCTTGTGACAATTGTCAAAAGCTTCTCCACAGGGCCATGGGTGGGATGGGGCATTGCTGCAATTTCTCATCACAATTCCTTTTGTCACTGCATTGGCTGTCCTGTGTGCTCTACCCACACGCCCATGCCTGGCAGGCTCCATGGCCCAACCAGAGGCTGACAAGTGTCCGCGTGTTCCCGATGCCACACCCTGATGCACAGTACGGTACTCAAATCGGCTCGTTCACAGTACCTATCTGTAATTATGTTGATAGACTTTCAGTGTACGGCTCTTGCATAGAATTCTTTACCAGATACCCATAGTCACTCGCTTGTTTGGAATCTCATGTGTGCCTTGCATTCGTCCGTGGGCCATGGTATGATGCGCTATGCGCACAAGCCATGGGTCAGTGTGGGTCTTGCAGCACACTAAGTGCCCTAAAGGATGGCGCACGAGGCCTCTTCTGGAAGGGGGTGAAGCACGGGAATGGTTCAAGAACAGTTCAAGAACACACGCTCTAGATTGGATCGCGTCCGATTTAGCAGCTCGAGATAAGCAACTCAATATCAACTCAACGGACACACACACACGACAGCATGGTAACAAGGCAATGGGTGGAAAAACAGAGGAGAGGAGTGTAGAGTGGTGAGCGGCCAAGCCCCATCCACTGCGGCCCCGCAACACACGACAACAGCTCAGCAACCCTTGTGATTGTGATGATCCCAGGGGCTGCCTGCAGTGCAGTGGGAAGAAACTGCTCCACATGCCAGGATCGCACCAGAGCAGCAAAACACATGACCACCCCATCGCGCATCAGCCCTACCCCTATCAAACCTTGCCCCACCCCATGTGATGTAATCCCGTCAGAGCAGGGAGCAGGGGGTCAGAGCAGCGTGCAGCACCCACCCTGTGCGTCCATGGTGCCGCCCAGGCCCTGCTGCAGCGCCTCCAGGCGGGCCACCACCTGTGTGAACTCAGGGCGCTTCTCCGCATCCGCATCCCAACACTCCTGCATCAACGCTGCTAGCTCTGGCTCACACCCTGCTGGCACCTCCGGCCGCATGTTCTGTGATGGGGGGAGGAGGGGAGGGGAGTGGGTGGGGATGATGGGATGGAGGAGATGGAAGATGAAGCTATCAAAGGGAAGGTTGCTTGGTCGTCACTTGAAAAGGGAAAAAAGCGGTGGGTGAGCATTATGAAAAAGTCACGAGGGCACATGTGTAGAGGCATGGGGATGGGCATAATGACGGGCATGGGGATAAGCATGGGGGCAGGCACTGGAGGCACAAGTGGGGCATGAAGGCAGCAGTGTGCAGAGCTGGATTCTTCAACCTCTACCACCAGCCTGCACACACTCTTTCTGCCCTCTGCTATCTGCTCTCCATTCTCTGCGTTCCTGTGTTCGTTCTACAACACTTTATCTGTGCAAACGAATGCTTCCCTGTGCGCCCACAGTTCATCTCAGACTCACCCGCCCACCGCCCGACCCCCGACCGTGTTGACAAGTGTGCAAGCATGCATCCCATCCCACCCACCTTGTTAACGACGTTGAAGGCGAGCTGGATGAAGGTGAGCCCCTTGAACGGCAGGTCGCTGCTGACCAGCTCCCACAGCACGATGCCGAAGCTGTACACATCCACCTTGCGTGTGTACGGCTTGTGGTCTATCACCTGCACAGAGGGGGAGGGGGGGAGGGGTGCGGATGGGAAGGGGAATTGAAGAGTGAAATGCGAGTGACCCACAGCATAATGCTCTCCCAAGCTGTACCCGTCCACCTTGCATGTGTCCGGCCTGTGGTCGATCAGCTGTGCGTGTGAGAAGCAGGGGTAGGGGGAGGGAGCAGAAAGGGGAGTCGGGGAGTGAATTGTAATTTTCTCCAAGGCAGCATGCCTGCTGAAGCTGTACACGTCCACGCTGCGTGGGCACGGCTTGTGGTCTATCACCTATGTGTGAAAGTTTGTGGGGGGTTGGGGGAAGGTTTGTGTCATTGGAGGGTGCATGCATGGGGAAGTGCATGGGGCCCGCATTGGGGCGCATGGGGGGCACATGAAGGGCGCGCGGGGGGCACATGGGGGATGCATGGGGCCATGTATGGGGGCATGTATGGATGGGTGTATGTATGGAGGGACGCACGCATCTCATGTACTCACATGCAGCACACTGGCCAGCTCACCTCGGGCGCCATTCAGCGCACGGTGCCAGTCTTGCACGTCATGTGGTTGGGGTTCTTGGCCTCCGTGCGCGCCCTTCCTACCCTCAACACCCATGCACTCACTCATCTCCCACTCTCCACCCCCACCGCCTCACCTCAGGCGCCATCCACCGCACGGTGCCGGTCTCGCACGTCATGTCGTTGGGGTTCTTGGCCTCCGTGCGCGCGACGCCAAAGTCGGCGATCTTAACGGTGCCCTTGTGGTCCAGCAGCAGGTTGTCGGACTTGAGATCGCGATGCACCACGTCGCGCGCATGCAGGTAGCTGGAAAGTTGAAAGGGGGGGTGGAAGGGGGAAAGAGGAGGAGGAGGGGAGAGAGGTGCGGGGAGAAAGAGGGGCGAAAACCCGGGGCGACAACCACTTTCTCCTCCATCAACGGCCATTCATGCCACCAACCCCCAGCTCTCATCTATTTCCTTCCCAACCTGCCCCAACCACCCTCCTCCATGCCCAACCCCCTCACCCATCCCAACCACCCCTCTTTCTCTTACACTCCCCTTCCTCCCCACTCCCCCCTTTCGGCGCACCAGAGGCCGCGCGCGATGTGCAGCGCGAGGCGGACGCTCTCCTTGGGCGGAAGCTTGCCGCGGCGGGCGAGGTACCCGCGCAGCGTGCCGCCCCCCATGTACTCCGTCACGATCGCCCACAGCGGCTGGCCCGGCGGCGGCTTCGCGTCGCTCGGCGCGCGGATGTTCCCCGCGTTCAGCGACGCGCCGATGAACTGGCGAGGGGGGCAGGGGTGGGGGAGGAAAAAGGGGAGGGCGGAAGGAAGGGGAGGCGAAAGATGGGAAGGGAGAAGGGAAAGAGGGGAGGGGGGCAGATGCGGTGGGAGCGAGTGATAAGGGGATGGGGAGGCACACTACAGAGCATTCCAAATTGCTAGGTCCATTCCATGTTGTTATCAGCACGACGTTGCCTTGCGACGGTGAATCACCTGCACGACATTCGCGCGGGACAGCGACGTTGGCGTGCGAGAGCTGCGACATCGCATTACCTGCACGACGTTGGCGTGCGAAAGCGTGAGACAAGGCAGTACCTGCACAACGTTGGGGTGGCTGAGTGTGTGCCACACTTTGATCTCCTGCAGGAAGGAGCTTTTCAATCCCTCCAGATCCTTGGCCGCCATGTCAGCAGGCACGTTCAGCAGCTTCACCGCCACGTCATCGCCCTCGTACAGCCCGTGAAACACCTTTCCGAACGCGCCCGCCGCCAGCTGGTTCGTGCACATCACCTAGGGACACGGCAGGGTTGCGAGAAGGAGACCTTAAAAATCAACGGGCGAGAGGTAATTTGAGTCGGCTCAAAACTCACTCTGCTCTTTAGTCTAAGACAATCCTTGAAAATACTCACAAATCGTCTCTACTCACCTTGCTCATATCCAGAGTCCACGGCGCCGCTCCACCGCTCTCATCCGCCACCTTCGCCGCCGCCTTACCCATTCCGCCCTCCGCCTTCTCCGCCGCTCCCCCGTCTGCCTTCCCCTTGGCGGCTGCGCCTCCCCCGCCCGCCAGCGCGTCCATGGTGCTCAGATCCAGCAGGTCCGCGCGCACCATTCCGCCGCCCTCCGTCCCCATCTCCCCAGCCTTCTTTCCGCTTCAACTTCCGCTTACCACGCGACTAATTTGTGTTCACTGTCTCGACTTTCACTTGCACTTCGCGCCACGCTTCGGGTCGGCTCTTTTCTTTCACCAAGCATGCGCGAGAGGTGATTGAGCGACTCGAGAGTCTTCGGCTCCGCTCTAATCTTTCACCGAGCATCCGCCATTCTTAACGAGCAGCGACACGGATCTCCGCTAACTTGTCTCGCGCGGGAGTCTATCCGCCGGTCGTCCCACGGAGGTCGTTTGGTCCGCTTCTGCGTGCTGGCTTTCCGCAACGCGCTGCGGGTTCAGCTACTAGAGGGCGACGAGAATTCATAGTGCGAATTCATGGCGACGGGTGAGCTGGCGCACTGCGATACGGTGCCCGATGCCGACGAAACTTCGCTCAGTTCTTCCAGCATCTGTGGAAGCCAGCATGCGTCGCGATTGGCTGTCACCCGTGTGTCAGAGTGCACTGCATTGCGGTGTTCTACTTATATGCTGCAGAAAAAACAAACGCTAACTAATCGCACTTCGTTGTACGCTTGAAAATCCACCGAAATAGACGTTCTTGGAAAGAAGAGCGTGGTTTCAGGGCCTCGCAGCACAATTCACTGGAAGACTGTAACGAGCATTTAGTTCCCGAGTGCAAGACTGACAAGAGGATATGGTGCTACTGCTGCTGCAGGCGCGAGTGCAGAACGAGCACGCAACTCCCTAGACTTGCTGTGGAGATGAGAGAGGTTAGGCAAAGAAACAACTCGAGGAGGACAACTTCGAGATCCAATCCAAACCTGGTTTGATTTCTCTTTGAATGCCAGCAGCCAGCATTCGAATCGTGTTGTGTTGACAACCCCAAGGCAGTGATTGACGCGATGGAGACGAAAAACGGGTTGGCTTGGTACTGAAGTTACCACGTGCGAGTTCCAATTGGTAGATAATGCCCGCCGAAACACACGTGGCTTGTTTCTATGGCCTGAAGGATGACTCTTCGCCCCACGTGAAGCCCATTGTAGATTTACACGATATAGCAACGCTACGGAGAACTAATTTCTCAGAGCACCCATGAACGCAGCATGACGCTCACTCATCTACTCCTAATGCACACGACATCCCTCCTCACTTGGTTATAGATTCTTTAGGCATCGTTTGTGAAGAAAGCATAAGATTCATTCTCTATTCAATGGCATTCTAATCACCATAAAAGAGCACAACAATTTGATATAATTACCAGTTCCTACACCAGAACTGATGGTGGAAAGAGACAAGAGCTACACACTAGCCCTTGCGAGATACTCGAGTCCTACCTACGTAGCATGTAAGGTATTCCACCTCCTCGACCTACGTGGCATAGGCAGGCTGGTCAGCTGCGGGGTCGTCTTGAGAGGGGAGCCAATGGCAGGTGAGGCGCCTGAAGCGCATTGCCGCATCCAACAACACTCTCTTTAATGCCAGGCCCAGTGCAGCAAGCAGCACAGCCAGCGCTGCCAGCACCACCCTCACCTTGAGCACCACACTGCCGCCCATTCGCCCAAACGCCGCTCCCAGCAACAGCCACAGCCGCTTCCTCCTCGCCACCGCCTCCGCTGCTGTCGCCCTCCCCTCCCTCTCCTCCCACTCACTCTCACTCCCACTCTCGTACCCACCCCCACTACCAGACAGACCAGCCACTCCAACACTGCCAGGTGGCTGTCTCTGACTGGCGAATCCCAGAGCGGCAGCAGGCGGGGGGGGGCGGGGGGTAGGGGGCGAGGAGGCGGGTGGGAGAGGAGGAGAGCTGGGAGGCGGTGATGGCGTCGAGGGGCAGCTGGGCCACGCCCAGTGAGGCGCACAGGGCGTCTGCCACCACACGCGCCAGCTTGTCCCGCGCCACTTCCGCCTCTGGGGATACGAACGCCTCTGCTAGTGCCCGCATGTCCTGGGTGGGGAGGAGAGAAGTGGGGTGGGGTGGGGCGGAGAGTGGTGGAGTTCGGTGGGTACGTAGATGGAGAGTTGTTTGATTAGAACCAGTGAGGCGCACAGCGCGTCCGTTTCCGGGGATACAAATGCCTCTGCTAGTGGCTAGTGCTACTAGTGAGTTGTTGGGTTAAAGCCAGCGACGCATGGCCTGCAGCTTCAGGGTGGGGCGGAAGGGGGTGGGGGCGAGTGGGACAGCAAGAGCCGTGCATGTGTGAGTTGCAGGGTCCACCGGTGACACAGGACAAGCAGGCACAGCCTGCGGCCCACTGCCCAGCATGGAAGGCATGTGGCATGCTGGAGGGGAAGCAGTGTCGGGAACAGGGGAGAAGCGGCATTGTACCAATTCAAGGATGAGTCAGGCAGCGTGGCAGGAGAGCAGCACATCCATCAGCAGCGCCACCAGGGGGAGTTTTCTCAGATCAACATGACAGGTATATGGGAAAGCACTCTGGCAACAAGGGGGGGCACATACAGACTGGGAAGCAACCTACCGACTCCAGGATGACTCGGCGGGCGCTGGCAGCGTGGCGGGAGAGCAGCACATCCATCACCAGCGCGGCCGGGCTGGGCGTGGCGCGAGGAGAGGCGGCGCCAGCAGTGGCGGCGGAGGAGGAGGAGAGGGGGGAGGCACCGGGCATGGGGGGCATGCCGGGGATGGGGGATTGCAGCGACGGCATGGCCAGTGATGCCACCAGGTCGCTGCATGGGTGGGGCAGGAGGGAGAAACGGGGCACAAGGAAAGAGGGAATTAGCAGGTGACGTTGAGGGAAGACGGGCAAAGTGTGGGTGCGAGACGGAGGACAGGAGGGGGAGGTGAGGAGCGACATTGGCGGAACAGGATTCTCAGTGCACAGAGAGGTTGCAATGCCTCTTGGCATGAGAGGAGAGCACTGGATCACCTCGCTTCATGCTGATACCCTCCACCACCCTTGCCCCCTCCCTCGCTCTGTGTTGCTACCCTCGCCTTCATCCCACGTACCGCTGGGCTTGTGTGGAGCTGGCAGCGAAGGAGGCGAAGCGCTCCCACCGCAGCTTGCCCTCGCGTGTCTGCACCAGCTGGCGCAGCACGTGGCGCGACGAGGGCGAGCTGTCCGTGAGGAGGCGGCGCACCACGTATGGATAGGCTGAGGCGAACACACGGAAGGACGGGTCCACCGCCACACCGATGCCTGCAGGGATGGGCATGTGTACAGGAGAGGTGGAAGGTTGTTCTGATGGGGGAAGGAGCACTCGACGCCATAGCGTAGGGGTAGGTGCAGGCCAACACCCGCAAGGATGGGTCCACCGCCACACCGATGCCTGCATGCAAGGGCACGGGCATGGGGAGAGGCAGAAGATATATTTTTTTGATCGATTCATTAGGAGGGAGGGTGGTGGGGTCGGTTAAAAGGGAGGAGGAGGACTCTCAAGTTGCAGATGTTCAATGCGGCAAGGCGTGACGGAGATGCGACGCGAGGTCGCAGAGAGGCGGAATACGGCCACCTTTGACACACAGGCAAGCACAGCATGATTGTGTAGTAGGGTGGCATGGAGAGCAGTGGCAGCGAGGGGAGTGGAGGGGAGGGGAGTCGCAGGAAGAGGGCAAAGCGCACCTTCGAGGGAGGCGAGGGAGCGCAGCACGAGGGTGTAGTATGGGGGGAGGCGGAAGCGGAAGCGCAGCGCCATGCGCCATAGCTCACTCGTCACCTGCCCATGGGGGGACACGAGGACGGGTGGGCAGGGTAGGGAGGTGACGTGGCATGGGGCATGGGAGGAAGGGAGCGAGGTGCATGTGTTCAGGGCATTCTTATGAGGAGAGGAGGGCGAACCGGAGTGGCAGAGCGGATAGAAGTGAGGGGGAGGGCGAGGGGTGCCGGGAAGACATGGCTGGCTCGGCCAGCACTGCCGGCGGTAACAACATTGCAGGTTCAGAGAGCAAGGCGCACCTGTCCGAACTGCATGGTGGGGGCGCCTCCTGAGGCGGCTCCTCTCTGCCGGCCGCGACCAAACGCCTCCTCCAACGCCTGGCAGGAGCGCACACCAGGGGTGGGTGCCACGGGGTGTTGTTACAGGGTGGGATACAGAACGAAGTGGCAGGATAATGAGGCTGGTTCAGGCATGCGAGAGCGGAGAGTGGCAATGGGACCCACGGCATGGGCAGGCGGAGTGCAGCGCTCATGAGCGTGAAGGGGGGTGTGTGAGAACCCACCATGGTGAGCGCGCGCCTGTCGGTGGTGGGTTTGAGCACGTCCATTGCAGCGAGGCCCGCTGCCAGCATGCTCCACTCGCCTTGTGCTGGTGGGCGCACCTCACCACAATAACAGCATGGAAGAGAGAGCGCGTGTGAGAACCCACCATGGTTAGAGCACGCCTGTCGGTGGTGGGTTTGAGGACATCCATGGCAGCGAGGTCGGCCGCCAGCATGCTCCACTCGCCTTGTGGGCACGTGCACATGCAAATGCACATACACATGCCAGCAATGCTCACCATGGTGAGGGCGCGGCGGTCGGTGGTGGGCTTGAGGACGTCCATGGCAGCGAGGTCGGCCGCCAGCATGCTCCACTCGCCGTTCACCAGATGCGCCACCGCTGCCAGCATCGCCTGCTGATGCTGCCTCTCCATGCGACACAAGAGACCAAAATCCAGGTAGCTGGAGAGGGTGGAGGTAAGGGAAGAGGCGAGGGGAGGCAGAAGGAGGTGAAAGAAGATTTGAAGCACCAGTGCTGCCGCTCCATACGACACAGCAGCCCAAAGTCCAGATAGCTGGAGGGTGGAGGAGAGGGAAGAGGCGAGGAGAAGCAGAGGGAGGTGAAGAACATGGCCCCATGCAAACACCTGTGCAAACATGGCCCCATGCAAACACCTGTGCAAACATGGCTTCCTGGTGCTGCCGCTCCATTCGACACAAGAGATCAAAGTCCAGGTAGCTGGAGTGTGGAGAAAAAAGGAGGAGGTGAGGAAAAAGGAGAGAGAAGCTTAGAGGCACCACTGCAGCCAGCATCGCCTGCTGGTGTGTGGGTGTAAGGCGCCTCCAGTAACACACCTGGGCAGGCGCCTCCAGTAACACACCTGGGCAGGCGCCTCCAGTAACACACCTGGGCAGGCGCCTCCAGTAACACACCTGGGCAGGCGCCTCCAGTAACACACCTAGGCAGGCGCCACCAGTAACACACCTGGGCAGGCGCCTCCAGTAACACACCTGGGCAGGCGCCTCCAGTAACACACCTGGGCAGGCGCCACCAGTAACACACCTGGGCAGGCGCCTCCAGTAACACACCTGGGCAGGCGCCTCCAGTAACACACCTGGGCAGGCGCCTCCAGTAACACACCTAGGCAGGCGCCACCAGTAACACACCTGGGCAGGCGCGTTTGTGTGAATTTGTGCATGCGTACGTGAGGGCTAGGCTTTGAAAAAGAGAGTGCACGCACCCAACTTGGCCCTGAGGGGTAAGCAGCAGGTTGCCGGGGTGCGGGTCGGCGTGTATGTGTGTGTGCGTGCGTGCGTGCGTGCGTGCGTGCGTGCGTGCGTGCGTGCGTGCGTGCGTGCGTGCGTGCGTGCGTGCGTGCGTGCGTGCGTGCGTGCGTGCGTGCGTGCGTGCGTGCGTGCGTGCGTGCGTGCGTGCGTGCGTGCGTGCGTGCGTGCGTGCGTGCGTGCGTGCGTGCGTGCGTGCGTGCGTGCGTGCGTGCGTGTGTGTGTGTGTGTGTGTGTGTGCAGGAGGGGCCAAGGGTGGGAGAGTGAGCACGCACGCGACTTGGCCCTGTGGTGTGAGCAGCAGGTTGCCGGGGTGCGGGTCGGCGTGCAGCACTCCCGTCACCAGCAGCTGCTCCAATGATGACTCCACGCCTATGCCCACCTGTGAGGAAGAAAGAAGGGGGGGAAATACAGGCCATAGGGGCGATGGGCTATGGGGCATGCAGCACTCCCGTGACCAGTAGCTGCTCTAATGATGACTCCACGCCTATGCCCACCTGGCAGTGAGAGCAGGGAGAAGGAAAGGGGGAGATGACATGGGGAATGGAAGTGATGGACAAGAAGCATGAACAATGCACCGTAGAGACGAGTAATTCAAGACCCCCACCACTCTCCCACTGTCCCTCCCACTCCCCTTACCATTCTCCACCCCTCTCCCCAACCATCAACCCTCCCCCCACGCCCACCATGCGCAGCAGCTTCTGCTTGGCGCGCTGCCGTGCCTCCTCGCCCCCGGCGGCCCCCAGCACGCCCTGAGCCTGGGCGAGCAGGTCGCTGGTGCGCTCGCCCTCCACCCACTCCATAGTCAGCACTCGCCGCGACGTCAGGTCTGACCGTATAGCGGGGACTGTGATGCCAGGGAGATGCGCGTGTGCTTTCTGGAGGGGGTCAGCGCAGCAGTGGCAGGCAAGGGAGACACGGGGCAGAGGGGTTATAGGGGGTAGTGGGTTGAAGGCGGAGGGACTTGGTTGGGCTTGGGCGAGCAGGTCGCTGGTGCGCTCGCCCTCCACCCACTCCATCGTCAGCACTCGCCGCGACGTCAGGTCCGACCGTATAGCGGGGACTGTTATGCCAGGGAGGTGAGCATGAGCTTTCTGGTGGGGTGGGGAGAGAGGGCAGCGGAGGGCAGGGGAGGACAGGGCGCGGAGCAGAGGGGGTAGACGGGTGATGATGGCGTGCAGACAGGCACCCATACAGAGGTGGCGCATGCATGCCTGCCTGCCTGCCTGCGAACGGCAAGCATACCATAAGCATGGTGCAGTGGATGCATGGGGTAGGGGAAGGGCAAGTGTGCAAGCACACAAGCACACAAGCACATAGACACGCTAGCATGAAAGGGAGCAGCGTGGCACGCACAGCGAAGAGCGTGGCGTTGGTGGCCTCGTGGCGGTAGTCCAGCTCGCCATACAGCCCCCTCCCAAACTCGTCCGCCAATGCAGAGAGCAAGCATGCAAGCAGGCGGGCAAACATAGACGACAGGGGGAGCAGCAGGGAGCAGAACTGACAGCGAAGAGCGTGGCGTTGCTGGCTTCCTGGCGGTAGTCCAGCTCGCCATACAGCCCCCTCCCGAACTCGTCCGCCAATGCTGCCAGGTCCGTGTTTATCCCCGCCACCCGCCTCACTGCCCGCAGCTGGGGGGGCAGAGGAGGAAGAGAGCAAGGGGAGGGAAAGGGAGAAAGCGCCGGGAAGGTGAGCGAGGTGGCGACCAAAAGGCGTGACAGGTGAAAGCATACAATTGGGAAAAGAGCATGAGAAAGAATGATGAAAACGCTGAAGGGAGCAGAGCTCACAAGCATGCGCAGGATGTGGATGTCTCATAAGCATGGGAGGGCAGAGGGGAGCAGAGGGCTGACCAGCATGCGCAGGATGTGAATGTCTCTGGCGACAAGGAAGAGCACTCTGGGCCGCTGCACCTTCACCGCCACGCGCATGCCGTCCCGCGTGCGCCCCTTGTACACCTGGCGTGGGTGGCGCATGCCGGCACATCCACGCACATGTGGGTGGGCACGCGCACACTTCCATATGTGATCTGACTGGCCAACACATGCACACACACGTGCAGACACACGTGCAGTAGCAGCGCACAAAAGCAGCACAGCTGCTGGCCCACTCACAGAGCAGCACAGCTGCTGGCCCACTCACCTTCCCTGCCGCCGCCCATGCTGCTGCGCTCACAGCCACTCTCCCTCACTCTATCACTCTCACCTGCTCAGAAACTCACAACCCACGCCTCCCTCGCTCTCATGCTCACCTGCCCGGAACCTCACAAGCGCCCTTCCCTTGCGTTCTCAGCTCACCTGCCCGAACGAGGCGGCAGCAACGGGCGTGGGCGAGAGCAGGGGGAAGAGCGCGGCAGCGGGGCGGCCAAGCTCCCTTTCAATGACGGCCATGGCGTCCTCTGATGGGAACGCTGGTAGGCGGTCCTGCAGCTCTGCTAGCACCTGGTGGATGGGGGGGAACGGGGGAGGGAAGAGTGGGGAGAGACAGGGGAGGGAGGAGGGGTGGGATGGAGGGAAGAAGGGACTCAAGCGGATCTTGGGACATCTTCCAGTGAGCAGCGGTTAGGTTTAGGCTAGAGCAAGTAGGAAAAGACAGAAAAAAAAATAACACTGGCTAATAGTCAAGAGCTTGGAAAACTGGAACTCAAAAGACGCGAGGCCAGGGGAGGGATGATGAGTCGCGGGGACAGTGGGTAGAGGGAGGAAAAGGGAGGTGGACTCAAACGAGCATCAGACACCCGAGCGTTCACACCTTTGTAGGAACAAGAGACCCAGGCCCCAACCACCAGAAACCTCCCGACAACCCCCCCAACTCCCCCTTGACGCCCCTTCCCCCGCACACACTTATTCCGCAAGCCCCTGCCTCTCACCTTGGCAGTGTCCGGCCCCACCACGTCTGGGCGCGCTGAGAGTGACTGCGCCACTGGGGAGAGGTGGGGGGCGGGACAGACATAGAGGGAGGAGGGGATGATGAAGGGATGAGGGGCAATGGACGATACCGAGAAACCAGGAAACCGGGAAACCGGGATACCCGGAAATCGGGATGCCGGGATACCGGGAAACTGGGATACCGGGGAAACTGGGAAACAGGGAAACCGGGATACCGGGGAAACCGGGAAACCGGGATATCGGGATACCGGGATACCGGGATACCGGAATACCGGGGAAACCGGGAAACCGGGGAAACCGGGATACCGGGATACGGGGATACCGGGAAACCGGGAAACCGGGATACCGGGATACCGGGATACCGGGATACCGGGTTACCGGGATACCGGGAAATCGGGATACCGGGAAACCGGGAAACCGGGATACCGGGAAACCGGGATAACGGGATACCAAGATACCGGGATACCGGGAAACCGGGAAACCGGGATACCGGGATACCGGGATACCGGGTAACCGCGTAACCGGGAAACCAGGATACCGGGAAACCGGAAACCGGGAAACCGGGGAAACTGGGATACCGGGATACGGGGATACCGGGAAACCGGGATACCGGGTTACCGGGATACCGGGATACCGGGAAACCGGGATAACGGGATACCGGGATACCGGGATACCGGGAAACCGGGAAACCAGGATACCGGGATACCGGGTAACCGCGTAACCGGGAAACCAGGATACCGGGAAACCGGGAAACCGGGATACCGGGAAACCGGGATACCGGGATACTGGGATACGGGGAAACTGGGAAACCAGGAAACAGGGATACAGGGATACCGGGAAACCGGGATACCGGGATACCGGGATACCGGGATACCGGGATACCGGAAACCGGGATACCGGGATACCGGGATACCGGGAAACCGGGAAGCCGGGAAACCGGGAAACCGGGAAACCGGGATACCGGAATACCGGGGAAACCGGGAAACCGGGGAAACCGGGATACCGGGATACGGGGATACCGGGAAACCAGGAAACCAGGATACCGGGATACTGGGAACCAGGATACCGGGTAACCGGGTAACCGAGAAACCGGGAAACCGAGATACCGGGATACCGGGATACCGGGAAACCGGGAAACCGGGAAACCGAGATACCGGGAAACCGGAAAACCGGGATGCCAGGATACCGGGATACCGGGATACCGGGATACCGGGATAGCGGAAAACCGGGAAACCGGGATACCGGGATACCAGGTAACCGGGATACCGGGATATCGGGAAACTGGGAAACCGGGATACCCCGATACCGGAAAGCCGGGAAACCGGGAAACCGGGATACCGGCATGCCGGGAACTCGGATGCAGGGAAACGAGTTGAGAGGGTTGGATTCACGGTGTGGGGAATAGCACAACGACACGTGGATACAGGCACCTTTACCCTTAATGAACGTGGGGCCGAGGCGCACCCTACCTTTGATGAAGGTGGGGCCGAGGCGCACCCTACCTTTGATGAACGTGGGGCCGAGGCGCACCCTACCTTTGATGAACGTGGGGCCGAGGCGCAGCAGCGTGCGCTTGAGCTTGAGCGCGCTGTGCTGGCGGATGGCAGCGATGCGCTCGTCCCCCGCACTCACTCCCCCCGCCTCCCTTGCCCGTATGGCGCCCGTGTCCCTCGCCACCTGCACCCACGTCGCTGCTAGCAGCACCGAGATCTGTGTGGGAGACGGTTAGTGGAAGGCAGTGAGGGGTAGTGGGAAGTGTGGCAGAGCAGGTGAGCAGCACACTTGATGGCGCCCGTGCCCCTCGCCACCTGCACCCACGTCGCTGCTAGTAGCACTGATATCTGCGGTGGGTGGGAGGAGAGTGTGGGGGGGAGGGAGAATGTGGGGTTGTAGGATCTCAATGCTCTAATGGCGCCCGTGTCCCTCGCCCGTATGGCGCCCGTGTCCCTCGCCCGTATGGCGCCCGTGTCCCTCGCCCGTATGGCGCCCGTGTCCCTCGCCACCTGCACCCACGTTGCTGCCAGCAGTACCGAGATCTGCAGCGAGAGGAGGCAGCAAGGGCAGTGGGGAGTAGTGGGCAAGTGTGGGAAGGGGAGGGCAGTGGAAGAGAATGGGGGGCAGAGAGGTGCAATGTGGGGGAATGGGGGCTCAGCGTGTGGGGCATCCATGGTTGCAGCTAGCCTAGCCACAACCATGCACATGGCGCACCTTGCGTTGAGCGAAGCAGCTACACAAGCCAAGCGCATGCCCAACGGCGCACCCAGCAGCACAATGTGCGGGTTGACTTTTGAGTCAATTCAAAAGTCAACTCTCAACAGCTAGCCCAGCCATGTGCTTGCCCATGCCCAAGGGCGCACCTTGAGCGTGCGCAGCAGCACGATGTGCGGGCGGCGGTTGAAGTAGTGTGCCACGTCAGCAGGGTCGTACTCGTACTGCAGCGGAACGCGCCAGCTCTCCGCCCACCACCGCGCCACCTCCCCCAGCGCGCGCACGTACCCCGCGTCCCCCGCCAGTATCCCGCGCGCGCTCGCCCGCGCGGACGCTGCGCGGGGAGCACGGCGATGGAGAGGGGGAAGGGGCGGGGGAGATGTGGGGGGTGGTGAGAGGGGGATCGAGGCGGACGCGGACGTCGTGAGGGCTGGAAAATGCGGAAGCGGGCTGTGGCGTTATACGCGCTGTAACAGCGGGAGCGAGTGCGCAGCGGAATAGCGGGGCAAGACCGCAGCGGGATCGCTGTGCGAGTGCGCGCGCACCGGGGTATTGGGGCGGAAGTGGCGGCATGGAGCGGCGGACGGCGGTCTCGTTTTCGAGGAAGCGCAGCTCGACGACGTCGCGCACCCACCCCGCCCACGACCAGTGCGCAAGAAAGCTGTCCTCCTCCTCCTCTTCCATCTCCAAACCTGCTTCCTCCTTCGCCTCCGCCCTCTCGTCGTCACTTAACTCGTTTTTTCTCTCCTCTGCGCCCGTCTCTCTCGATTCCGCTGCTGGCCTCCGCGCCGATCCGTCCCCTCGCGCGGACTGCGCGGGTCGCTCCCCCGCAAGGCCCGCGTCTGTTCGTCTCTCGCTCGAGCCGCCCTCCGATGCCATCGTGGCTTCCACAACCGGGCTCGCCCTAGCTTGACACGTGGCATCGAGCCGCGAAGATACCGACGGTTGAGGAAACGATGGACTAACGAGCGAGGGGTAATGGACCCCGCGCGTTCGGCTTCCTGAACTTAATCTACTCGCATTACTCTTTCGATTATCGCGGAGCGACGATGCCGCTACAGCAGACTGACGTTGCCCATTCCGACGCTGCTGCAAGACGCCTTCTAGTCGCGGCGCGGTCCCTCGTGGCTGGAGCGGATCCCATACTGATTGCCGCAATCGACGGCGCGGTGCGAGCAGGCCGCGTGGTCCTATGCACGGAGCGCGACTCACGGACAGCGTTACTCCGACGCGGTCGTGCATTGCGCTAGCGGTGGCGCGTGACGTGCTGCAGGCGATTGTATTACAGCAGGACTTGGCGAGGAAAGCGATGCGCGTTAATTGCGAGGTATCAGTGAATATCTAGCCTTTCAATCAATCGTCACGGCTTCAGACTCAGCATGATCGAACAACCTCCTGTCATCGCTAACGCTGGAGATGCGTCATTTTCTCCTAAACTTTGTAACGCGTATAAGCTGCTGATTATGTTATCACGCACCATGCAGTTTCTAGACTGGGCAATGCAACCTCGACCGATGGAATCTAGGAGCCTACTGCGCAACGCGGGTGGGATGATGCAAGGCTGGCAGGCAGGACTGAAAGTTGTGGCGCGGCCTGACACGTGTCAGACGCGGGGAGGCACGAACTGCCATCGACCAGTCTGTTCCTCCTGATAGGGCATTGATAAATTTTATAAACGCGCTATTGGTGTAGCACAACTCATATCTGCAGTGTCTGTACACAAAAAATTACACTCTCACATATGAGCAAACAGCCCTCTCAAAACTATGGGACCTTGAAAAAACGTTTGATCGACATCTGGTTGCCAGCTTCAACAGCCTCAGGTTCCGTTTTCCTACGCTTAAACGCCATTTTCGAACCCTTTGCTCCTTTAGCATGTCGTTTCGTTGACACAGGAGATCCCACCTTAGAAGAAGTGACGCTCGCAGCAACAGGGGGAGCAGAAGCAGGAGCTGGTGGGTGCTGCTCGGACTGTGAGGAAGACTGGGATACATGGACACGCATATCCCGAGGAAGAGGGGTCACAGGGAGCAGCTCTTCAACCACGCCTCTCTCACTGCGTTGCTCACCAGCACCCTCTTGTTGCTCATTGCCACTGGAACCACCCTTTGCTTGCTCCTCACTCGCCCCATCACCCTCATCAGCCCCTGCCCCAGCCTCCACCGGTGCTTCCTGCACCCCAGCCAGCTGTTTCTCCTCCTCACTGCCTCCTTCCTCGCCCTTCACTCTGTGCCCTTCTTCCAATGCACCTCCTCCTGCCTCCGCTTCCTGCTTGTCCACCCCTCCTGTCCCCACCGCATCAGTGGGTGGCGTCTTTTGTCTCTTGCGGGCAAAGAGCTGCGTGATTGGGGTGGATGAGAGCGCCGGCTTCAATGAAATCTGCAGCGCAGTGGGCAGTGGGAGAAGGGAGGCAACCAAAAGTTATGCAGCAGACACACCAGTCCAGATAAGGCAAAACAAATAGTGGTTAGTCCCCTTCCTCCACCCACCCATTCCCCCATCCCCCTTCTCCCTCCCGCCCATCCCTTAACATTCGCGTGGTCTCACCGGCTGCACGCACTGCGGGCCGTTGAAGGCCGGCTTGCCCACCTCTGGCGTCACTGCGTGCCACACCTGCCACACGGTCAGAGGTGAGGGGGGAAGGAGGTGACACGGTGAACAACACGATAATAGAGCATTGCGGGAGAGAGGGGAACGGGCTGAAAGGGAGTCAAAGAAACATGCGGCAGGGGAGAGAGCAAGAGGATGGGACGGACCAAGTCGGGGTGGTTGTAGGGCGAGCAGAGGTGGGCGATGGCGTCCGGCCCTGAGAGCTTGCCGTGCAGCCATGCAGCGACGTGGTGCTGTGATGGCAGGATGGCCGGCATGCGGTCTGATGGGGGGTAAAGGGAGAGTCGGGGAGAGCGGAGGAGAGGGGAAAAGCAGCACTCGGCATGGTGTCAGGGCCTGATAGCTTGCCTTGAAGCCATGTGGTGACGTGGTGCTGTGATGGCAGGATGGCCGGCATGCGGTCTGATGGAGGGGGGGGAGGGGAGGGAGAGGGGGGATGAGCAGTGCACAGCAACAAGGGAAGGGAGAAGCTCAGAGAGAGAGCGAGGCATGGCAGGAGCACTCAGGGTGGGTAGGACGAAGGGGCGCGAGAGGAGAGGAAAGGAGGAAATGTTTGGATGAGTGCTGGCTGGTGGAGGGAGTGAGAGGTCGCCTGCATTTGACAGGGAGGATGTGGCAATTCTTCTCACCCACTTTCACGGTCCTCTCACCACTTGCAACAGTTGGTGGGCAGTGGTGAGTGGGATGGGGGTCTCACCGTGCAGCCACTGCAGGCGCTGTGACGATGCCGTTGTGACTATAGTGAAGGTGAATAGCCGCTCGCCTGGCGGTGGCGTGAGAAGATCATGACGAGCGAACGCCAGATGGGGTGTTGGGGGAGTGTGGGGGGGAGATAACGAGATGCAGAGATAGAGGAGTATAAATGGGTGGAATTGAACGAGCCTCGTGCCTGTGAAAGCACATAAACAGATGGGTGTGAGGAGTATTGCAGTGGGCAAAGGGCATTGCTGTCCTCTCACCACCACACGTCGTTGTGCCGTGGGGTCTCGCCTCGCCTCCACCCGTAGCATCGCCCCCTCCCCCTCACCCTCCACTCACCATGCTTCGCGTTTCCCCCCTATCTCCCCCACTCACTGTGTATGTCTTACCCTCCCCCCTCCTCTCACCATGTACGTTGCACCAGCAAACAGCCCCGCCATGCCATCACCACCGGCCTTCCCCGTTCCCCCCGCTCACTGTGCTTGGTGTCTCCCCCCCACCCCCACTCACCTTGCTTGTCATTTCCCCTCCTATCACCCTGTGCGTTGCGCCAGCAGTCAAACAACCCCGCCATCACCATGCTTGCCCTTTCCCCCCCTTTCCCCCACTCACTGTGCTTGCTGTCTCTCCCCCCCCCCCCCCTCCTTACTTTCCTTACTCACCCTGCGCATCACGCCAGCAGTCAAACAGCCCCGCCATCACCATCGGCCTCCCGTCGCTCATGTGGATGTAGAACGGCTGCTTTTTTGAACCTTCCTTCTTCCACTCGTAGAATCTGGCAGCGTAAGAAGAGTAAGGAGGAGAAATAAGAATGCATCGCATACATGAATTACTGAAATGAATATCCGCATCCTTCCAACCCCCCTCGACCCTCTCATCCCTTTTCATCCCTCCTCGTCTCCTCTCACCCCTCCCACCCCTGTATCTCACCCCTCCCACCCCTGTATCTCACCCCTCCCACCCCTGTATCTCACCCCTCCCACCCCTGTATCTCACCCCTCCCACCCCTGTATCTCACCCCTCCCACCCCTGTATCTCACCCCTCCCACCCCTGTATCTCACCCCTCCCACCCCTGTATCTCACCCCTCCCACCCCTGTATCTCACCCCTCCCACCCCTGTATCTCACCCCTCCCACCCCTGTATCTCACCCCTCCCACCCCTGTATCTCACCCCTCCCACCCCTGTATCTCACCCCTCCCACCCCTGTATCTCACCCCTCCCACCCCTGTATCTCACCCCTCCCACCCCTGTATCTCACCCCTCCCACCCCTGTATCTCACCCCTCCCACCCCTGTATCTCACCCCTCCCACCCCTGTATCTCACCCCTCCCACCCCTGTATCTCACCCCTCCCACCCCTGTATCTCACCCCTCCCACCCCTGTATCTCACCCCTCCCACCCCTGTATCTCACCCCTCCCACCCCTGTATCTCACCCCTCCCACCCCTGTATCTCACCCCTCCCACCCCTGTATCTCACCCCTCCCACCCCTGTATCTCACCCCTCCCACCCCTGTATCTCACCCCTCCCACCCCTGTATCTCACCCCTCCCACCCCTGTATCTCACCCCTCCCACCCCTGTATCTCACCCCTCCCACCCCTGTATCTCACCCCTCCCACCCCTGTATCTCACCCCTCCCACCCCTGTATCTCACCCCTCCCACCCCTGTATCTCACCCCTCCCACCCCTGTATCTCACCCCTCCCACCCCTGTATCTCACCCCTCCCACCCCTGTATCTCACCCCTCCCACCCCTGTATCTCACCCCTCCCACCCCTGTATCTCACCCCTCCCACCCCTGTATCTCACCCCTCCCACCCCTGTATCTCACCCCTCCCACCCCTGTATCTCACCCCTCCCACCCCTGTATCTCACCCCTCCCACCCCTGTATCTCACCCCTCCCACCCCTGTATCTCACCCCTCCCACCCCTGTATCTCACCCCTCCCACCCCTGTATCTCACCCCTCCCACCCCTGTATCTCACCCCTCCCACCCCTGTATCTCACCCCTCCCACCCCTGTATCTCACCCCTCCCACCCCTGTATCTCACCCCTCCCACCCCTGTATCTCACCCCTCCCACCCCTGTATCTCACCCCTCCCACCCCTGTATCTCACCCCTCCCACCCCTGTATCTCACCCCTCCCACCCCTGTATCTCACCCCTCCCACCCCTGTATCTCACCCCTCCCACCCCTGTATCTCACCCCTCCCACCCCTGTATCTCACCCCTCCCACCCCTGTATCTCACCCCTCCCACCCCTGTATCTCACCCCTCCCACCCCTGTATCTCACCCCTCCCACCCCTGTATCTCACCCCTCCCACCCCTGTATCTCACCCCTCCCACCCCTGTATCTCACCCCTCCCACCCCTGTATCTCACCCCTCCCACCCCTGTATCTCACCCCTCCCACCCCTGTATCTCACCCCTCCCACCCCTGTATCTCACCCCTCCCACCCCTGTATCTCACCCCTCCAGCAGCACAATGCAGTGCTGGGAGGACAGCAGGCGGCGGAAGGACGGCTTGGCGTGCAGCGACTCACCCGTCTCACCCATCTCATCCGTCTCACCCATCTCATCCGTCTCACCCATCTCACCCATCCCACCCCTCTCTGCCGCCCCACTCTCTCACCCCTGGCGCTCACCCCTATGTTGGCAGATACGCTCTTGAAAGGCTGGCGTATCACGTATATTCGCTAGCGTATATGCGTGATACGCTGATACGCTCTGAATTCGCGAAAATACGGCCGGGCAGCCCGGCGAAAAAAAAAAAATCCGAAATTGAAAAACTTTGCGACGATGTGCGAAGTCGCGAAGTGTTACCGCGACTTCGCTCATGTGCCCAACCCCACTTCTGAACTTCGAATTTCAAAATCCAAACTTTCCCACCCCCTCAACCACACATCACCCCACCCAACCTCTCAGTCCCAACCACCCCCTTCAAATGTTCTTCCATCGTTTGCACGTATAGGTCGACGTTGCGCAAATGCTCTTCCATTTCCTTCCCGCATTTCTCCACTCTTCTTCGTTAGTTAGACTTACGTAGTGCGCCATGGCGTCGGGCTCAGCTCCTAGTACTTCGACGAACAACAATCCAGCCTCTGTCCATGACTCTACTACCGTCAACACGGATCCTGTTGAGGCTGGACTATCTCACCCCATTCTGAAACATTTCCTCATTCTGTTTCACACCAAAGGCAACCCCAAGCTGTGCAAGTTCTGTGGCAAGAAGTTCGAGGGCGGAACAAACCGCTGTGCAATCCATCTCGCGACATGGAAAGGGAAGGAGAAGCGTGCTGTGGCGTTATGCAAGGACGCGCCCACGGCAGTCCGCGATGAAGTCCGTGGCATGTACGAGACCAAGGCGGAACAGCAGGACTTGAAGCGAGGGGCGGCCGCTGCTGCAATTCACTCCGCGCTTGACGCTGTCAGTGGAAACCCAGAGAAAAAGAGCAAAATTACGGATTTCTTTGGCAATGAGGCGACGTGCGCCAAGGAGGACGCGGATAACGCGCTTTGCCTTCTGTTCGCGGCGCTGAAACTTCCGGAGCGCATTGCGGACGATCCGGTCTTCCGCTACGCGATCCAATGCATTGCGCGCGCTGGACCTGGGTACGTCCCTCCTAAGAGGTGCTACATTGGAGGGGCAGGCTTGAAGAAGGTGCGGCAGAAAATAGAGGTCGCGTTCGCCCCCGTTGCCGCGAGCTGGAAGCGGGACGGGGTAACGGTGTCGTCGGACATGATGACCGACCGTTGTGGCCGCCCGCAGGCCAACGTGCTCCTTGTCAACGACTCCGGCGCAGTTTTCGAGCAGGCGGTGGACTGCAACATGGAGTCGAAGACCGGGGGGTACATCGCCAGCCTTCTCCGCCCCGTCATTGATAAGGTGGGGCCGGAGAATGTGGTGGCGGTCTGCACCGATGGCGGCAGCAACTATGCATCGGCCGCCAAGAAGATTGCGAGCACATGGCCGCACATTGAGCATGTGCCATGTGCCACGCATGTCCTGGACCTGATGATGGAAGATATGGGCAAAATGGGATGGGCGAAGGGGCTTGTGGAGAAAGGAGGGGAGATGATTACCTTCGTGCGCAACCACCACTTTACCCGTGCCTATATGAAAAAAGTGGGGGGGAAGCAGGTGCTCAAGCCTGCGGGAACCAGGTTCGGGACACAATACATAGCCATGGCCCGGCTATGTGAGGTGAGGAGTGGGCTGGCGGCGATGGTGCTCAGCGACGAGTGGAAGGTGTGGGCAGCGGCGGACAAGGATAGGAAGACAGCAGCTGAGAAATTCAGGGCTGCTGTGATGGATGAGGAGTGGTGGGGGGTGGCGGAGTTCTTTACCTCTCTCATGGCGGTGCCATTCAAGGTCATGCGGGCCACGGACTCTTCCGCGAAAGGCATGATGGGTAAGCTGTATGACATCATGCTACAGCTTACCGAGGACATCAATGACAAGCTCGACACTTTAAGTGACTTCTTGACTCGGACAGAGAGGGCAGATATCACCAAGATTGTGAAGGACAGGTGGGACAACTCCCTTGCCTGCCCCATGCATGTGGTTGGCCGGATCCTGAATCGGGCCAACCAGGAGGAGGGAATTTTCAGGAACGATGTGGAGTGCACGCGGGTGTTCAAGGACTACATCGAGCGCCACTATGACAACAAGACCTTCAAGCGTGGCAAGGATGGCGCCCCTCGCCGCGCCTCCCTTGTGCTGCAGGAGGCATTGCTGGCCTACATCAACATGGAGGGCAGCTTTGGCAAGCCGGGCGCCATTTCTGCAAGGGAGGCAGTGAAGAAGGGGGAGATGAGCATGGTGCAGTGGTGGTCGTGGCACAGCACCGAGTATCCTGAGCTTGCCGCCCTCGCATGCCGGGTGCTCACTCAGCCCGTCTCGGCTTCCCCATGCGAGCGTGGCTGGGCGCAGTGGGAAGGCGTCCACACCGCCCGCCGCAACCGGCTCGGGTCCGCCAAGTGTGCGGACCTCGTCTACATTGCGCACAACTGGAACGTTGTGCGCAATTGGTACAAGAAGGATGGGGGCAGCACGGTTGTGCCCGGTAACATCCCGGATGCCCCTGTCCCCCCCGGCTATAACATGGATGAGGAGGAGGATGACATGCTGGGGGAGGAAGGAGAGGATGCAGTGCTGGCGGATGAGTATGGGGAAGGTGTGGTGGTGGAAAAGCCCCGCAAGGAAATCGGTTGTGGGGAAGCTAGCTAGAGGGTGGGGTGGGGTGGGGATGTATGGGGAGAAGTAGCCCCAAATATGTATTTCTGGATATTTATGAAATTTAAGACTTGTGTTCTTGGAAAACAATCCCCCCCCCTGAAACAGGAATTTTTAGCCCTGCCCGGGAAAAAAGTTTTACCTGCTCGCCCAGCGTATTTTTGCGTATCACCAGTACGCCAGCCCTGGCGTACCGCGTATATACCCAGCGTATAATACGCTAGCGTATTATACCCTGGGACGCGTATCTGCCAACGTAGGCTCACCCCTCCAGGACCACGACGCAGCGCTGGGAGGGCAGCAGGCGGCGGAAGGACGGCTTGGCGTGCAGCGACTCACAACGTGCGTTGAACTGGGGGGGGGAGGGGAGAGGGAATGTGGGGGGAGGGGAAGGAGAGGGGAAGGAGAGAGAGGGGAGAAGGCGGAAAGGAGGGAACGCAGGGAAGAGGCGAATTAGGATAGAGAAAGCGAGAATTTGGGGGAAGAGGGACGGCGCATGACGAGAGTGAATCGCTGTGTGAAACGCTGTGAGGCACCTCACCACGTGCGTTGACCATCATCCCCATTGCAAACTTCACAATCACCCCCACCACGCGCACCCACCATCATCCCCCCACCACCCCACCGTCACACCATGCGGAAGTGGTCGGGCGGCTGTGTCTTGCTGCAGAACGACGGCACCAGCCCCCACTTCATCACCTGCACCTCCACCTCCCCCCCCGCCTGCCCCTTCTGCTCCCCCTCCGCCTCCACCACCTGCCGCTTCCGCTCCTCCTCCGCCTGTACCCCTTGTTCTTCATCCGCCTGCTCTTGTTGCTCCGCTTCTCCTGCCTTCCCCCTCCCCCCTCCAATCTCCCCCTGCGCGCGCCCTTCCTCGTCCGCTTCTTCCGCCTCCGCACATCTATCCTCCGCGCATTCCGCTTCCGCAGGGGCGAGCTTGGCGGAAGCGGAAGCAGCGTGCGGGGAGGCGGACGGGGCGGCGGAAGCGGCGGCGCAGACGACGGGCAGAAAGGTGCCGGGCGCGACATTGAAGGATGGGTGGAACCTGCCGTAAGCGCGCACAGCACAGACACGCGCGGGCGCAGAGGTGCGCACGTGCTATGAGTTGCGTGAAATGGTGCATGAGCCGCGGCGCCCGCTGAATAAGCGAACGAAACGACGCGCGATGCGAGAACGAAGCGACGTGAGCGACGACGGCCGGCAAACGAGACGAGCAGAGAGTAAAGAGAGGAAAGCAGGCAGCGCGGTGCGTCGTCTTCCGCGTGAGGCATGTCGCTTGCTTCATGGCAGATCGAGATTCGGGAAATATGGAGAGTGCATGTCGTCTGAAAACGAGAAGATGGAGGTGAGTCACACAGAGAACGCACAGGTGCTGGTCGCGCCAATCGGGCCGCGCGCCGGTTGCGCGCGTGACGGCGTCTGGCGACAGCGTGCAACGCGCGCGCCCGCACATCGCGGCGACGGCTGAATTGACCGCCTAGGAGGTAAAGGTGGAGGACGAAATCGTCAACCGCGTTGGCTGAAAATCTAGGGAAACGGAGAACAGGAAGAGTCGAAAGGCGAAGCCGTCGCAGCCGTTGGTCAGTTTCAATTTTCAACCTGGGCGACGCGACTGCACACCACACCCCTGCCTAGTGTGATATCGTCACAGTGACGGCACGTCAGGGTAAGATTCGACTGGGACAAGTTGATGTTGCAGAATTGGCGCCAAGCCTTTTTTTGTGCCTGTGGCGGGGAAGCAGGGACGTGGATGGTGGTGGTGGTGACTGCCGCCCAGGAATATGATCCGCTGTAGAGGGATTCAGTGTGAATATTACAGCGGATATTCGAAAGACGCTCAAATGTGTAGAGACTATGGTTTCAGGCTTCAGGCCCAAGCCGATATCCATAAAACCCCGGTAAATCGAACTAACTTCTCGATGAATGTCTCACTCCTAACGCGTACAGCGAATTCTTTCTCTCACCAGCCCCCTGTTTTCAGGCTCGCATTTGCGGCGTGCTCTGCCATTTTGTGGCCTGCTTGTGGCGTTCTTCCCGGGACCTGGCGTGCGGAACGGCGAGTGCGGAGAGGTGATTGTGCGGAAGAGCGCGTTGCGCGCGCAGATAGACCGTACGGGTGCAGGTAATCTGTCTACCAGTGCGCGCACAGCGCTGACGAGGATTCGTAGATCGGCGACAGTCTTCGAGAGTCGTAGGCAGTTGGCGATAGTCGGCGCGAATGTTGGCGAAATAACGTCGCGAGCGTACAAAATCAGGACGTATTGAGAACGTGCGACGACGCTGTAAAGCAGTCGGCGAGATCCATTCGCAGAAAAAAAAAATACCGAAATCGTTCCCACTCACTCCTCATCCGCTATCGCTCCTTCGCAAAACCTGCGTCAGATTCCCCCCGCTTCTCCCCACTTCGCGCGGTCCCCTTTCCTTGCGCCAGGCGCGGTTCCATGGCGTCACGCGCGCAACAGCTGAGGGGGATGCTCGGCCGCACGAGGCGAGCGTGTGCCGCTGCCACGTCACGGGATTCGCTGCTCTCTGCCACGTGGCAGCTCGCGGTTGCGTCGGACACATCACTGTTAGCCACTAGGCCCGCGCATGGCGTGGCAGCCCCTAGCGCAGCGGGGAATGCAGCAGCAGCTGGCGAAGCAGCAGGCGGAGGAACAGGCGGAGCAGCAAGCAAAGCAGCAGCAGCAACGTTGTTACAGCCAGCGGAGGCCGTTGCTGTGCATCTACACCTGCAAGCATCCGCGCCTGTCGGTCTGCGGTCCCTGAGAGCCCTCGAGTGCATTCCCCCCCAGTCATCCCTACTCCCCCATGCCGTCCCCCCGTCACCCGCCCACGCGCTGCTCTGTAAACCATGGGGGTCACAGCCTCAGCAGCCCCTGTTGGGATGGCCTCGTGTGCAGGTTGTGGGTGGAGGGCGCATGAGTCTCAGTCTGGTAACCGCCGCTGCCTTTCACTCGTGCGCACAGCCACAGCAGCTGAGCGCCGCGCTGCTTCTCCGCCTGCCACATGGCATGCGGCCGTTGGTGCTGCGACCAGTGGAAGCAGCAACTGGAATGCAGCAGGTGAGGTGGGGTGCGTGGGGTGGTTTGGGTTGGGGTAGGTTGGGTTGGGTTGAGTTGGGTTGCCATGGTAGGTGTTGAAGGTAGGAGGTTGGTTGGAATGTTATATCCCAGGGGCGAAGTCAGGTTTGCCCCACCATGTATGACATGCCCCACCATGTATGACATGCCCCACCATGTATGACATGCCCCACCATGTATGACATGCCCCACTATGTATGACATGCCCCACCATGTATGACATGCCCCACCATGTATGACATGCCCCACCATGTATGACATGCCCCACTATGCAGCTCGCACCCAGCCCCCCATGCTTGCCCTGCAGCAGCATCGGTGATACGCCTCACAAGGTGGCAGCAGCAGCAGCAAGGTCAGCAGTGGCAGTAGCAGTGCCCACCACCCACTCACTCTCTCTCCACCCCCATGCTTTACTGCAGCAGCATCGGCGGTACGCCACGCAGGGCGGCAGCAGCAGCAGGGGCAATGAGGGAGGTACCGGGAGGCAGGAGGTATGCCATCGCTTTCCCCCCCATGCTTTCCCCCAGCAGCATCGGCAGTATGCCACACAGGGGAGCAGCAACAAGGACAGCGGCAGCAGGAGGGAGGTGGTACGGCAGGAGGAGGAGGACGTGTTCAGCAGCATCACTGATAAGATTCCCGAGCGCCCTGTCTCCGCCGCTGAGGGCGCATCCTACTCGATCGTCATCCTGGCAGCACTGGCTGTGGCGGCCGGGGCGGCGTATTTTGTCATCAAGGAGCTTCTGCTGGAACCCAAGGAGTGCGTCTGTGGGGCAAAGGGATGGGGGGGGAGGAGGAGGGAAAGTGTGAGGGGAGGGAGGGGGGCCGGTTCTATTGTGTATTTTGTTGTCAAGGAGCTGCTGCTGGAGCCCAAGGAGTGCATGTGCACAGATGGGGAGGGGAACTGTGGGTTAAGAATAGAGGGGTTGCGGGTTGCTTGCTTTGTATGTCATTGTGAAAGCATGTGCCTGCTAATTGGCTGTGAGAGGGAGGAATGATGTACTTTGGTACTGCATGTTCATGCCTTGCATTGATGGACTCGTGTGCTTGCTACGCTGCAGATACAAGGTGTTCAATAAGGCCCTTCAGCGCGTGCAGAACGACCCTCAGGTGCGCCCCACATCCGTTTGCACACATCTTCTTCTGTGCACGCCTACAAAGCTGCACAAAACCTTCTGATTTGCGTTCCACAAATGCTTTCCCCGGTTTGTAGCACCTGCTTCAGCTGTTCTTTTCCCAAGCCCTCTCCTGCTGGGTGCCTGCTAATTTCACACTGTTCCTCGTGCTCCTCGTTACATGCCATGGATTTGAATCAACCTTGCATTGCCATGGCCGTCAGGTGATATCGCGGCTGGGGTCGCCCATCACGGGGTACGGCCAGGAGAGCAGGAACCGGGCGGCACGGCAGCGAATCAGCCACCGCGTGTGGACGGATGAAGAAGGGGTGGAGCGGATCCAGGTACACCTCGCATGCTGGTTCACAAGATTTCTTGTTTCTTTATTTTTCGAGATCGGTCCGGTCGCTCATTGTGGTGTCCCTCTGTGTTCCATTGCCCTGCCTGCCATATTTTGTTGTGCTCATTTGTGGCAGGTTCAATTCCACATCCGAGGTACAGGGGGCACGGGCCTTGTGCACGCTGAGATGTTTAAAGACAGCGATGACGGCGGAGCTTGGAAGTTCACGTACCTTCTTGTTGATGTAATGAGCCCATCTCCAGCAAGGCTCATGTTGGAATCATACGTTCCAGCATGAGCGCATTATGTTTGTGACAGGTAGAGGTAGGTATAATGCTTGCTTGTAACATTAGAGGACCCCCCATCTAGAGAATAATGAAAATATGATGTAGTATGCAAAGCTCAGTGTAATAAAGATCATTCTACGCTGGTGCGCTTTGGTGGTTGTTACGGATATGACCCGTTTATTGACCAAACTCAACAACACCAGCTCGCCACATTCAAATTGAGCACACTCATTCTGTGGCTGAAACAGCACCTGCCAGCCATCAAAACTCCTGGATTGACTCTTCTTCGTGTCGCTCTGGAATTTCGCCCCTCAAAATTTTCAACAAACCCCGCCAAACCGGCATCTCGACCTGACAGTGCCACGGTGGCATCCCTGACCCCAAAGCCAATGAAAAAAAACCCGCGACTCGCTGGTGCTGTGAGTGTCTGTCGCCAGAGCAATTCGAACATCGCTTCCCCCTGGGCTGGTCGCGACTCGTCACTTCCCCCTCATCGCGACCCGGATGTGTGTAGCTCAGACACCATCTTCCCCCATCTCCTCCGCCTGCCCCCCCATATCTCTCTCATGATTGGCCAGAGGCTCCGCAGAAGCTCCAGTTTGGCGGGCCAATTAGCAGCAACGGGGAACAGACCAGCGGAGAGCACAGGGGCCAGAGGCATGGGGTGAAGCGATCAGAACGGTTTGATGCGCGGATGGATGCCCGTCAGGCGTCGATGACGACATCAGGCGAGGCACGGCAGTCTCTGGGGCAGACAGAACAGGCAGTTGGGTTTGGGCTCAGACAGAACCCGCAGAGGCGAACAACGGAGCGCGTCGCTTGCGCTGTCGCCGTCGACTACATTTGATGCTTCGAGAATTCGCAGTGCGACTGCTCCTGGTGGCGTGCTGTGTGGCGTCGTGGCCTTGGGCAGAGCGTATGGACTCATTGCAGAGCAGCCATGGTCAGGACTACGCTTGGCAGCTCCCTAATGTGTACACACGCTTTGTGCTACATGTGAGATACAGTCAAGTCCACAATCTTGGTCGATGGTTCCTCTGTAGGAGTAACATTGCTCGGTCAACGGAACCACCCATTTGAGGCATGATATTAGAATTGCGAGTCATCCAGCTTATTAATCTGTTTTTGCAAATTCCCTTCTAGCAATAACTCCAGCAGCGAGCAGTCTGGCTTGCGAATCTCTCTGCAGCGCCGCTGGTTATGCAGCGGTCGCATTACCAGACTCGTAAGCCGTAGTTTCTAAAAAGCACCACGTTGGCAATTTAGGTGATGGGTCCTAGTATCGCCAGCCCGATTACGCTCCCCGTTACGTCCATAGCGTCCGCCTGCAACGCTCCGCGCCCGCCGGGAGCGGGCCATAGCGACGCGCTTAGTCCTCTCCACGCCGCGTCACTTGGCCCAGCCGCATCGCAGTCAGAATCCATGGACGTGCGCGGGACACACGCTAATGCTGACGTGGATAACGAGAGCAACGACCGATGGCAGCAGTGGCAGGAGGAGCGGCAGCGGGAAACATCTAGCGCGCTCGAGCCCACTCCTAAAAGGCTACGCGGCTCGTACCGCTGCCGTCGCTGCGGCCAGCCTAAGAAAGGCCACGTGTGCCCGCTAACGTCACCGTCTCCCGCACCGCCGTACGCCCGTCGTCCGTGTCAGTCCAATCCGCACCACGCGAACACCCACTCTCATCAACCCAACCCCTCGTCCTCCGTCGGATGCGGCGACCCATCGTGCGGCGGCGCGTGCGGCAACTCCCGCGACTGCGGATTCGATTCGCCCAGCGGGATCACCCGCGCGGACCTGCGCAAGCCCGCGTCGTGCAGCATGGGGAACATGCAGCCGCTGCGCCTCCCCGACGCCTCCGCCGGCCCCGCGGACTCCGCCAACGCCTACACTGCGGACGGCGGACGCTCCTCCGCGTGCCAGGGCGGGCCGAACGCGCATATAAGCCTCACCGCGCCCGCGCTCACCGCATCGTGCCGCAGCCTCCCCAGGTACTGAAGCAAAGTAGCGCGAAGTCCGCTATTGATCATGCAAGGCCGAGAATTTTATATTCGCGCGCCCATAAGCTGGAAACGCTTCGCCGTTTCGCCATGTGTCCGTTCCACTCGCATCTTCTCCACGCTCAGGCAAAGCTGTAATTGGACTATGCCTTACGGCTATTCTCCTCCCGTCTTCATAACCGCTCTCTCCCCCCTTTCGGCCTCTACTCCCGCCCCTCGCATCCGCCAGTCGCAGCGGCTTGTCGGATTCCAACTTCTCCTTCCCCGCCGCGCACACCCACGCGCACGGCAACGCGCACGGCGCCATCACCTCGAGAATGGCGCCCCACTGCGCCTCCCCGCACAGCCTCCCGCCGCTCTCCCACTCGAGCCTCCGCCCTGGTCCCCCCGGGTGAGTACGCTGCTTCTGGTCGCGCTATGTCCACTCTCAATCCTCCTCGAGTAAACTCGAGTCAGCGCAATTCAACGCGGGACTGCTTGCCGCGGAATTCCCTGCCTGTATGCCTGCATGCCGTCTTGTTTCTCACGTTCTGACGTCGCGCATTGGTGCGTCGTGCAGGGTGAGCGGGCCGGCAGCGGCGGGTTCCGTGCGGCCGGTGGTGCAGAGGAGTCCCCAGGATATGTGCATGCTCAACATTCTCGCCAAGGTACTGGCCTTAATATCCCGTTATGTCCCGCCTACAACCCGTTGTTCCTGTGATTTATCATTATTTCCCACGTTATCCGAAATCTCGCCACGTCACGAGCCGCGTTTCACGCGCCGTCGCTGCCCTTTTCAGCCGTCCCGCGCCCTCCTCTCACTAATCCACCTTCCCCCACGCCTCTCTCCGTTTCAGCTGCCCCCGCGCGACCTACTGAGCGCGAGCAGCTGCTGTCGGCGGTGGCGGCGGCTGGCGGCGGAGATCTGGGGCAACGTGGAGGCGGCGGCGCTGTCGCTCGACGCGACGCCGTCGCTCGCGACGGACGCGCTCGTCTACGTGCCCTTCATGCTGCGCCGCTGCCCGCGCCTCGTGCACCTCTCGCTGCAAGCCGCCAGGTACGACCTGCTCTGGTCGCGACTCGGCTCGTCTGGTCTCGCCTCGTCTTGCCGCGATGCTGCTGTGCTGTCCTCTCGTCTCCTCTCCTGGTTCAACTCGATCCTTTTCCTTCTGCTCCCCGTGACTGTGGTTCTCACGCCGCTCCTCCTGCTCTCGTTCCTCTTCTCCTGCTGTTCCTTTGTCGCCAGATGCGTGGACGATCGCCTGCTGCATCGCATAGCCGCCGAGCAGCCCTACTTGGAGTCGCTCGTCATTCGCACAGCGCCCAATGTCGCATGCCACGTCACGGAGTGAGTTACTCTTCTGACACCACGTTGAGGAGTGACCGGACTCACCCACGGAACAGAATTCTCATAGCTTTCGCCACTTGTGTGACCCCGTGCTGTCTCCGCTCCTCGGCTCACCCTCTGCCCATCCTTCTCTCCATTCTGTCTCTCCCCCGCCTCCCCCCCTCTTCTCCTCACCCGCTTCCCCTCCCCAGCAACGGCATGGCGGCGCTGCTGCATGGGTGCGCGTCGCTGCGCGCCGTAGACATGGACGGATGCATCGCGCTGCCGTCGCTCACCGTCGCCTCGCAGTCGTAAGCGTCCCGTCTCCCGTCGCAGTCGCCCGTCGCAGTCGCACCACTCGCCAAGCCATGCCATATCATCACACCGTGCCACGCGTGGTGGGCTGTTCGGCTTGCGCGCACCACCCCTCAACAGTCCACTCGCTGCCACACCATCACGCTCGGGTGTCTTTCTTCTTGCCCTTCTCTCCCTTCTCTTGCCGACTCCGCGTTCAACCCACACTCCTCTTCCTTGTCTCCATCCCCCCTGTCCCCCCTCCTTCCGCCTCCCCCAGCTTGACGGCGCTGACTCTCTCCGCCTGCGCGCGCCTCTCGCGCCTCTCCCTCGCGTGCCCCGCGCTGCAGCGCCTCTCGCTCTCCCTCCTCCCCGCGCCCGCTCCGCCCTCCGCCGCTCCGCCCGCGCGCACGTGCTCCCAGACGCACGCGCACGCTAGCGCGCAGATGAGCGGAGATCCCGCGCACGCGGAGGCGGTGATCAGCCACGTGGCGAGCCTTGCGGCGCCTCTCGAGCGCCTGCACATCGCGTCACCTTACACCACCGACGCGGTACGCGCTTCCAGCTCTCGTTGCACACGCCGCGTCGCATGCTCGCAGTGTGTCGCTGGTGCGAGGGCCGTGCTGTCCTCCTCGCGCCTTCCGCCGCACTCCTTCTCCGGACGTGCGCTCATCTCATGCCACCTGCTCCTGCCAACCCTCCACTATTCGTCCCCTCGCCAACTCATCCCCTCATCTCCTCTTCTCCTCTCGTCTCCTCTCGTCTCATCCCCTCGTCTCCTCGCGTCTCATGCAATGCCGTGTGAGCGCAGATGGTGGCGGCGCTGGTGCGCGCACACGGGCAGTCGCTCTGCGCGCTCTCCATCACGCACTCGCTCTCGCTCACCGATGGTACACCCACTCGCCCTCCCCTTCCCCTTCCGCCCTCAACCTCTCTCGTCTCGCCTCGCATCGCGTCCTTCCGCACCCACCCATTCCCGCTCATGCGTCCCCTCTATATCCCCCGTGCGCCCTCCCTCTCCCCCATGCACGCGCATCAGAGGGCGTGGCGGACATCTGTCGCGCCTGTCCGCATCTGCAGCACCTGGACCTCTCCGCCTCGCCCAACCTCTCAGACGCCGCCCTCCACGCCATCAGGTGCGGCTTTGCTGTTGCTCTCCTTTGCTATGTGCACTCTCACCCTGCCTTTCTCTCTCTCCCTCTCCGTTCCCTCTCTCATGCACAATACACTCATCAATCTCCTCCTTATTCCCCTTTTTCTCTCCCCTCCTCCCTTCCCCCACACCAGCGCCTCGCTCTCTCACTCCCTCACACACCTCCTCCTCGCCGCCTGCCCTGGCATCACGCCACGTGGCGTGCAGGCATTGGTGCAGCGCCTGCCCAATCTGGAGCTGCTAGACGTGGGGCGGTCGCTGCTCCCCCGCGCCCCCTCGCCCTCCCCCACCCTCGCCAGCGCCGCCAGCACCACGTCCGCCATGGGCGCAGGGGGCATGGCGGACGGGTGGAGGGGGAACGGCGGGGGACAGTGGGGGGACGCGGGGGGCGATTATCAGGGGGAGATGGGGATGGGGATGGATGGGGGAATGGGGGGAGCGGGGGGTGAAGGCAGCAACGGATACATGGGGGGTGGGGAGGGCAGTGGTATGGGGGCATCAAGTGCAACAGGCACGACAAGAGGAGTGGCGGCAGGAGGGGAGGGGCGGCGGTTAGAGCTGCGCAGCAGCAGCCTGAGGAAGCTCAGTCTCTGGGGCTGCTCTCTGCTGCAGGTGAGGGGTGACTGCTTGCTTCAAGGGGTGACACAAAGGGATCTCAGGCTCGTGCCATGCTGCTCCGTGCGCTGCTGATCAACACTTCATGCTGCAATTGGACAAGCATAGAGCCATTGACTTGGTTCTAACCTCCCCTCCCATGCCCCCTTCCCTCCCATGCCCCCCCTTCCTCTGCCTGCCCCTCCAGACGCTTGTCCTGGACTGCCCACAGCTGGAGCACCTTAATGTGAACTCCTGCACCGCACTGCACCCATCTGCCTACGGCTGCCGCCTCAACTGCCCGTCGCTGCGGTTCATCCTGGCCGTTGGATGCCCCGTGTCGCCCCACACCCTTCTGCGCACCGCGTGCCTTGCAGACCAATCCCCGTGCATGGGTGATGGCATGGGGGATGGTATGGGGGATGGTATGGGGGATGGTATTGCGGATGGAATAGGTGATGGTATGGGTGATGGTATGGTAGATGGTATGGGGAATGGTATGGGTGATGGTATGGGCGATGGTTATGGGGATGATATGGGTGATGGCATGGGGGATGGCATGGGGACTGGCATGGGCGTCCCTCCCAACACTTGCTTGGGCGATGACATGGGGGTTGGCATGGGCGATGGCATGGGGAATGGCATGGTCAATAGCATGGGGAATGGCATGGGTCCATCTCAAAGCGGGTATGTGGGAGATGGCATGGGGAATGGCATGGATCCATCCCTTGGCTCATATGTGGGAGATGGCATGATGCATGCACAACCAAGTGCATGGCAACCCCCTTCCCACACGCAGACGGGGAATGGCATGGTAAATGACATGGGGAATAGCATGGGGAATGACATGGTTAATGGCATGGGTAATGGCAGTGCATACTGCAACACAGATGCTGATGGCATGGTGGATGGCATGGCAGGGACTCCATCCCAAATGCACATGCAGCCGCAACCACACATGCACCCACATACACATATGCACATGGGGGGGCAAATGCAGCAGCAGGGACAGGTGATGGTGTGGGAGTGAGGAGCTGGCGGGGCTGCTTTCATACTAGGTGGCTGGCTGGGGCTTTATTTCTCAAGCACTGACACACATTCATGGGTAGGAAGGATGGTTGGTGCAGCAGTGAGTCATGCGGATAGCCAATACGGTGGCACGCAAGAAGAATAAATACGCTGGTTGTACTTTTAGAAGCATATGGCTTTGGTTTGGTGCTATACTGCATAGTGCAGGAAGGAATGCTTCTGTAGAGAACTAGGCACTAGCTGGTCGTACGTAAGTGAAAGGTAGTTGCTTGCTGCCATCCATCTTCTAGTTCATGAAATATCAAATTATTTTCTTTCAATCTGAACAAGAAGTGTCCTTTACACAGATGTTCTACGTATTCTATACCTATTCCATCCTGTCACTGCAATGCATGTAACCTAGGGCAGCATCAATAATTGAGAAAGCTTATACACGTTCTCAGCTTGCTGGTAGTACATCATGCACAGAAATGCAACACAACACAGCACAGCTCCCCGTGCAAACTCACGGGAACTCGCGAACATGGGAACCATGAGATTAGCACTCAGATTGGCATGCCATTTCTGTTTCCATCATATCTATTCAAATCACTCTCACCCCAAATACTACCAAACACCATCAAATTGTCCTAGACTGCGCACAGCAAGCAGCACCTCAAAAGGCCTGCGTGGTGAACGTTCTGGGAAAACCTGTTCTGCGGAGAGCTTTGGGTTGCGGATGAGTGGAAGCCCAAGCGTTGAATGGGCAGGAGATAGTTTGTGTGATGCTGAACTGCTGAGCTGCAAGACACATACGGTAGTAAAGGGGGGGGTGAACACTGAGTAAACTATGGTGAAGTTGTTAGCTACGATTGATATGCACCATGCCATATAAGCACAAACTCTTGTGACCTAGTTCCTCTTCATTGTGAAAGCTTCTTTGCTGCTTTCCTGGCAGCTTCATCTGCCTCGTGGGCCTGCGATGTGAGCATGGGGTTGAGTGAGGGACCATTAAGATGAGTGAGCAAGATCACGGGTGAGTGAAAAAATAAAGGTGAGTGAGGGAGGATGGTGAAAATTTGAGGGAGGATGGTGTTGAGTGAGGGAGGGTAAAGAAGAATGAGGGGGGATGAGAGGAAGGGCAGTGGGATGGTATGGGCATGAGAAATAGCATGGCAGGGGAAACAAAGAGATGGGAGGCGGGTGAAATAATGGAAGGGACTGCGGGAGAAGTACGAGGGGTGGGGGGGGAGGTGACGCAAAAATTGCAGGGGGGGATGGCGTGAGGGCATGGATGAAAACAAGTGCTTAAGGAAATTACTGAGATGGAAATGTGCCCCACATGCCCCTCCACCTGCATGGTGCCTGGCGGGCCACGCAAGCCCCGCATCAAACGTGCCCCTCCGCCTTGCTCCCTGGACTTGCGCGGTGGGAACACTCTGAACGGCTGAGAGTTGGAGAGGGTTGGAAAAGATTGGAGTGGGGTGTGTGGAGAGAAGGGGCTTGGAACATGACCGTTGCAGAGTGGTGATCGAGAATACATGCGTCATGGAATGGCGTGCGTGGCACGGAAGACGAACAACATTCACATGCGCACAACATTGACATGCGCACAGCATTGACATGCGCACAGCATTCACATGCATATAGCATTCACATGCATATAGCATTCACATGCATATAGAATTCACATGCATATAGCATTCACATGCATATAGCATTCACATGCATATAGCATTCACATGCATATAGCATTCACATGCTCACAGCATTCACATGCTCACAGCATTCACATGCGCAGTTGGAGGCAATCAGGTGCAAAAGATGTCAAATCCATTCACATGTGGCCACATGCCTCAAGGACAATGCAGCAGCTGCGACCAGCTAGGGCACACAATGCTGCGACCAGCTAGGGCACACAATGCTGCGACCAGCTAGGGCACACAATGCTGCGACCAGCTAGGGCACACAATGCTGCGACCAGCTAGGGCACACAATGCTGCGACCAGCTAGGGCACACAATGCTGCGACCAGCTAGGGCACACAATGCTGCGACCAGCTAGGGCACACAATGCTGCGACCAGCTAGGGCACACAATGCTGCGACCAGCTAGGGCACACAATGCTGCGACCAGCTAGGGCACACAATGCTGCGGTGCAGCTGCCGTTACGCATGGCATGACCCGCACCACTTAGTTCATCCCCAGATTTTACCAAGGCACATTGGTGCCCACAGGGTAATGTGCACCGCTGCCACGTCACCATACTGCTCCACCACGCTGGCACTCGCTGGGGGTGTGGATCGCGAAGAGAAGGGTGTGCGAAGGAGGAAGAGTGTAGGGAACACAGGGGGAAGTGGAGGGGAAGAAGGCGGGAATGGTGTGAATGGCAAGTCGGGAGTTTGATGCAGATGCAGGAAGAGAGTGGGGAGGAGTGGGGGAGTGGAGGATGAGGCGAGGCGCACGGCAGGAGGGAGTGCATTGCTGCACGGCAGGAGGGAGTGCATTGCTGCACGGCAGGAGGGAGTGCATTGCTGCACGGCAGGAGGGAGTGCATTGCTGCACGGCAGGAGGGAGTGCATTGCTGCACGGCAGGAGGGAGTGCATTGCTGCACGGCAGGAGGGAGTGCATTGCTGCACGGCAGGAGGGAGTGCATTGCTGCACGGCAGGAGGGAGTGCATTGCTGCACGGCAGGAGGGAGTGCATTGCTGCACGGCAGGAGGGAGTGCATTGCTGCACGGCAGGAGGGAGTGCATTGCTGCACGGCAGGAGGGAGTGCATTGCTGCACGGCAGGAGGGAGTGCATTGCTGCACGGCAGGAGGGAGTGCATTGCTGCACGGCAGAGCAGTGGAGGAGCGAGCGGGCGACGCGAGTGGGCGCGGGCGCCAGGTGAGCACACAGTGCAGTGCACGGGGCAGACGGGTTGGAGTGGCAGCAACGCAGGCCGGGGAGCAAGTGGAGCAGTGGCAGTGGTGGCACATGGAGCGCAGAGGGCGGATAGGTTCGGAGTGGGGAAGGGCGGTGGGGGTGGTGGAGGTGGAACCAAGGGAGGTGGGTGGGAGGGAGAGGGTGGTATGAAGTAGGAGCAGGTGAGCTTGGCACAACCACCCTCCCCCACCAACCCCCATCCCACCTACCTCCCGTCCCCTCCCCACATGCCTCTCGAGCCTGGCGGCCACGTCAGCAAAGCTGCAGAGCAGACCGTCTGCAGGGAAGGCGTGCGGTGATGGCAATACTGTTGGCAGGGGGTGCGCGGAGGGGGGCGTAAAAGGGAAGGGGGAGAATATTTTCACAGATATAAGTTTTTTTTTTTCTAAAGACAATGGCAGAGCGGGAAGGGATACCTGGAAGAACATGGTCACTGGGGAGAAAGGAGGGGTCTTATGGGGGCGTACACTCTCCCTTCTCTCTCCTCTCATCTCTGTTTCACCCCGGTCGTTCCTATTTTCCCCTCGTTCCTCCTATTGCCCTCTCATTCCCCCCTTTTCCCTCTCACTCCCTCCAGTTTCTACCCTTGCGTTCTCTCCTTCCCACCCGCCGACCCACTCTCACCCACCCACGCTCACACCATACCCAGCAGCAGCACTAGTAGTGGCAGCGGCAGGAAACCCAGCAACTACGGCGCTTGCAGCACGTGACGAAGACGCCTTTCCTCCTCTCATTCTCCTTCCATGCAATCTCTCCCTCCCCCCTCCCCACTCAAAAAACACGCGCGGATGCTGGGCGATAGTGGTGAACGGAATGGGCTGACGGCTTACCGCGGAATGGGCTGACGGAGCGGACGACGCGGCGCGTCGCGAGCGGAGAGCGGTGGAGCGCGAGGAAAGCTAGTGATTGCGGATTTGAAACTTGAGATCATCTTGAATTGCGTGGAACGGAAGGCGGAACAAATGATCGCGGGCGATCACAAACCGGAGAGATAGTAAGCTTGCGATCAGCTAAGGCACCCACGAAATCGGGTTACTAGACGAGCTAGTACTGGGAAAGCAATCCAGCGACGATTCGGGTAAATGCTGCGAGTCGGCCTACAATCGAAGAAGCATCTGCGTTGTCGCCATCACGTCCGCGATCTGCGCCTGTGGCGGTAGATTGAAGTGCAGCTGGGTTTGGGCGATGGCGAGTGTGGCTTCGAATCGAATGTTTGTGATCTGAGTGAGCTGTATACTGCCAAGGTGCAGTACGGTAGCACGCAAATCGACATGGACGACGGGTGGAAATGAAATAAGTGCTGGGAGGTTGGGTTGGGTTTAGGTAGTTTGGGTTGAGTTGGGGGGGGTTGGGCTGGATTAGGTGACCCTTGAATCCGGAATTTCCAGCCCGCGTCCCAAGTTGGTTTTTGCGCGCATACAAATCACAGCATCATATCTAGATATCGAATGCCTTACTCCCGAGTCAGTTCTTAGGTCTCTATCAAGTGAAGATTAGCCGCGCCACAGTAAGGCGCAATAGCGCGTTAGCCGCGCAACGGTAAGGCGCGGTCGCGATGGGGCGCGCGGTGGTGGCGGACGAGGCGGCGATCCAGCGCCACGTGGACAAGCTCTTCCGCGAGAAGGCGACATGGGAGGTACGACGCGACGCGGCAGGAGGTTATAGCGATGTAGGCACGGTAGGTGACGGGCCGTCCGGCGAGATGTAGGCATTCGCACTGCGAAGGATTCCGGATGCTATGCTCGTTGAGGCAACGTCAAACTGCACGGAGTTTACATTGGGGAGCGCACTACTGGCAGTGAGAGCCCCGTTTGCTCCTTAATGCGTCCCAAACGGAATCAATCTGACGCAATTTCTCCGTACTATTCTTCCGTTCCCATGTCTCTCTCCGCCCACCAGCTGGGTCTGCTCATCGGCCGCTCCAGCATCGCTTCTCAATCGTCCTCCTCCTACTCCTCCTCTTCCGCCGCCGCCGCATCCGGCGCCTCCCGCGAAATCCTTTTTGCGCTCGTGCCGACGCCCGAAGCGCCAGGAGCGGCGGCGCCAGTTGCGGGCAGCAGAGAGAGGAGCGGATCGGATGCGAGGGAGTGGCGGCATGTGGACGGCGACTGGGTGGCGGAACACGCGCTGCAGGTGAGCTGGTTACCATGTGAGCTGGCTACCATGTGAGCTGGTTACCATGTGAGCTGGTTACCATGTGAGCTGGTTACCATGTGAGCTGGTTACCATGTGAGCTGGTTACCACGTGAGCTGGTTACCAGTGTGAGTGTCCTAAGTATTTCCGAGGCAGAAAACTTACCCTTCAAGTGAAGCGCCCCCACTTTGTGCCTGTGATCATCATCTTTCCGCCTCTCCCCGTCGATTATTCTCTCCTCGGTCCCCCCTCCGCTCGCCATCCCTCGCTTTCTCCATCCTTGACCCTCCCTGGTCTCAACTCCCATATCCTGCTCCTCTTAGCTGCCAGGGCAGTCCCTAACATGCTCTGCCAGGGCAGTCCCTCCCTCCCTGCCATGTGCATAAATGGGTCGTGTCGTCTGCTTCACTCCACGGGCTCCGTCCGTCCTCCCCTGTTCACCCTGCTGCACTGCAGGTACGGCCGCGCCTGCGTCTGGCACGTGCAGACGGCAGGCGCATCTGGGCTGCACGACCGTCATCCACATGCATGCATGACAGCACACATGTGCCGCCTGCACTCCCCTCGCCCTGCCTGCACTCCCCTCGCCCTGCCTGCACTCCCCTCGCCCTGCCTGCATCACCGATTTCCTCCCTCCCATCTCTCCTGCTGCAGGTGTCACGGCTGTTGCTGGGAGGCATGGGCGTGCTGGGGGTGTGCGCCTTCGTGTGTCGCCTGCAACGCCTTGCTCCCCTCACCCTGTGTAAGCTATCTCCCCCCCTCCTCATCCCCCTCTGCAACAGGTGTCACGGCTGTTGCTGGGAGGCATGGGCGTGTTGGGGGTGTACGCCTTCTGCTCCGATGCCGCCTATAGCAACGCCACACCCTCCTTGCTGCAGGTACGGGTGCCCTCCTCGCGAACTGCATGGCAGAGCGCTCCTTTGACGTTCAGAAGTGAATCAGTCGCTGTGCTATGCCATGCCATCCATTACCATGTCTTCTCGTGCCTCATGCATGCCTCATGCATGCCTCATGCATGCCTCATGCATGCCTCATGCATGTCTCATGCATGCCACGTGCTTGCTGGCTGGCTGGCGTGCGGGAAGCCATTCAGCCCGGTTGTACAGCTTTCCCATTTGTAATTCCTTCTTGTCTCACCTCACTTCCTTCATCCCTCTGTATCCCTCTCCTCTCCACCCATCTCCACCCCTCTCCACCCCCTTCTCCTCACCAGGCCCTGCGTTCGCTTGCAGCCTCACTCTCTCCTCCCGCCTCACTCGCCGCCCTGCTGCCTCCTCCCCCCACCGACCTCATTCTGCTGCACATCTCCTCCTTCTCCCGCCGGTCAGATGCCCTTGCCATGCCTTACCATGCCGTGCCTCATCCTGCTGCACATCTCCTCACTCTCTCCGCCCGCCTTGCTTACCTCCCTGCTGCCCCCTCTCCCCACCGACCTCATTCTGCTGCAAATCTCCTCCTTCTCCCGCCGGTCAGATGCCTTTATAATAGTCCTAGGCCATGCCGTGTCATGCCTTACGGCTTGCCATTTTACATGCCCCATTCTTCAGGTCTCCTCAGTCCTCTCCTTCCCCCTTTAACACACGTTTCAAATCCCTCTCCTTGTCACCTCCTCACGTTTCCTCAGGTTCTCAGCACGATCTGTTGCCACGTCATCACCTGCCACGTCAGCTGCCATGTCACCATGCGACTTCAAGCTCGCTTCCATCCCTTCACCAATCCTCATCTCCTCAATACTCTCCCTCCGTGCTCAGTACGCCTCTCCCTCTCCTGACCCTCCCTTCCACCTTTTCTCTTTTCACTTACCCCTTGGACGATGTTGCAATCATCTCACTTGATAGACCCATGCGTTCTTACAATCACCCACCTCTCCGATCTGCGCTGCTTCTCACACCTTCTCCTCTCCCCTCCCTCCCCTCCTACTTTCCAAATCCCCATTCCTCCAGAGTTCCGGTCATCTCCTCCCCATCACTCCCCCCACCCTTCTCCTCTTCCTCCGCTCCTCTCTCTCCTCCTCCTCCGCCTCCCACCCTCTCGCCTGCCTCTGTGCGAGCAGCAGCAGCGATTGCATTCAAGCAGATAGCCCGGCAGATGGATGGAGGCATGGCGTTCCTTGATGGCATGATGGTGGGTGCATGGCATGATGGTGGGTGCATGGCATGATGGTGGGTGCATGGCATGAGAATTACTATCTTGCACAAGGGGTATTGTCCTCAACTGAAAGAATCCATTGGTTGACTTCAAACGTGGCATTCGGTTGAAGGCATTAGCATGGGATGTATGATCTCCGCCTCAAGCATGGGATGTATGATCTCCGCCTCAAGCATGGGATGGTCTCTGCAACCCACATGATGGGATAGTATGCATATACACATTCCCTCGCCCTTGTGAACTTCCCTCACTCTCGCCCCTCCATTACGCCTCCTCAGCCTCCTTTTTTTGTTCCCCTTCCTCATGTTGCCCCCTCCCCGCCCCTTCATCTCCACACGTCTGCCCCACTCAGGTGGAAGGGGGGGACGTTGTTGGGGGAGAGAGCAACACAAAAGGAGGGGCGGGGAAGGCAGGGAAGGGTGGCGGAGGAAAGGGGGCCAAGGGGGGGAAGAAGGGGGGAGGGAGAGGGGGAAAAGGGGGAGGGGGGAAGGGAGGAGAGGAGGCGGCATCGGAGGGAGGCAGTCATGTGCGTGTGGACTGGGCTCTCCCACCTTCCTGGAACGTTCCTCTTCAGGACGGTAGGTTCCTTCCTTTCATATCCAAGATCCTATGTAAGAGTGATGCCATCACACCCCATCAGCCCCCTAACATCATACCCCATCATGCATGCATCTGTACCCATACCCATCACATGGCAATCCTCCTCCCTCCCACGCCACCACACCCTGCCACTGCAGACGTCAGGGACCGATGTGCCTTGCCATGCGCCGAGACCCCTTGCCATGGTTAGTCACGTGCATGGCATGGTGCCGCTGTTAGGGAGTGTGCTGGCGCTCTTCCTCGCCATGCCCTTCTCAAGCTGAGCCGTGTCTGCCATTCCTTCGTCTTCCCTCTCCCACCGCTGCAGGCGCCAAGGATGGGCATGTGCATGGCATGGTGGCGCTGTCAGGGAGTGTGTTGGCGCTTTTTTTCCCTTCTCCCACTGCTCTCATCTCCCACGCCCTCTCCCACCACTGCAGATGCCAAGGACGGGCACGTGCATGGCATGGTGGCGCTGTCAGGCGGTGTGTTGGCGCTCTGCCTCGCCATGCCCCGAGACCCCTTCTCCCGACTGCTGCACGATCTCAAGGTGCGTCTCCTCACTGCCTTCTTTTCTAGCCGCCTCACAAGTCGACTCGCCATGCCCCAAGACCCCTTCTCCCCAGTGCTGTACGGCCTCAAGGTGCGTTGCTGCCTCACGCTCACCATCCCCCTTCAAGCCACCTTAAAAGCCGTCTCACTGCCCAGCGTATGAGCGGGCGGTGCAGCGTATGAGCGGGCGGTGCAGCGTATGAGCGGGCGGTGCAGCGTATGAGCGGGCGGTGCAGCGTATGAGCGGGCGATGCAGCGTATGAGCGGGCGGTGCAGCGTATGAGCGGGCGGTGCAGCGTATGAGCGGGCGGTGCAGCGTATGAGCGGGCGGTGCAGCGTATGAGCTGGCGGTGCAGCGTATGAGCTGGCGGTGCAGCGTATGAGCGGGCGGTGCAGCGTATGTCTCACAACCCTCTGTCTCACTATCCTCTGTCTCACTACCCTGTCTCACTACCCTCTGTCTCACTACCCTCTGTCTCACTACCCTCTGTCTCACTACCTTCGCCCACGCCCCCCCCCTCTTCTTGCATTTCAGGTCGATGTGGAGCAGGCTAGACCTAGTGCAGGAGGAGGAGGAGTGCCTCAGTGCACTCTCTCTACCTCTCTTTCTTCCACCCCACCCTGCCCTTTCACATATCTTCCAGGTCGATGCTGTGCGCAGTGTGGTGAGCAGACTAGATCTGGTGCAGGATGGGGAGGAGGAGCAGGCAGCGCAGGGGGAGGGCCGGGGGAACGGGGAGAAAAGGGGGGAGGGAAGAGAGGCAGATGGAGAGTATAATGGGAAGGCGAGGAAATTAGGGGAGGAGGAGGTGGAGAAGGTGGAGGAGGAGGGGGGGTTGACAGAGAGACCATTGCTGAATGGCAAGCTGCACAGGACGCCCTTCACCAGATGGCACCTCCCCCGGCGGGTGCTGCTGCGCTGCTCTGTGGCTGGGGGAGGGGGGAGGCAGGGGGAAAGTGAGGGGGAGGAGGAAGCGGAAGGGGAAGGGGGCTTGCTTCTGGCCGACTACTGTGAATCGGGGGAAGGGGTGGAGGTGAGATGAGAGAAAGGGACAGAGGGGGGGGCGGAAGGACACATGTGCGCATGAGGGAGGAGTGGAGGCGAGGGAAGGAGAGGGGGGTAGAGCAGTGCAATGGGGTGAATGGGCTCTTAGGAGGAGAAGGCTGATGGTCCAGGATGACTGCTGTGTGCTGCACTGCAGTGGTGGTGCTTAATATCCCCTCCCCTCCTTTTCATTCCTGTGATTCTTTCGGCTTCCCGCTTGCCTCACTTCACCCATCTTTCCCATCTCTGCATTCCTTCTGCCTTGTTCCCTCCCACAGGCAGCAGAGGAGCGATGTAGCGAGCTATGTGGGATGGTGGCAGTGGCAGACGAGGCAGTGAGGGAGCAGGGCGTTGGGGTGGAATGGGAGGGGCAGGTGGAGGGAGAGGAGGAGCAGAGTGGCATGGAGGGCAGTGGTGCACGTGCTGCTGTGTGGCTCCCCCCCGGAACCGCACCTGCCAAGCCACACAGCAGCACCCGCCCTGGCGACTCTGGCAGCAGTGATATGATTGCCTTGAAGGCAGGGGTGGGAGAGAAGGGTTCAGCAGGCAGGGCTGTTTCGCTGTTGTTGGCTGTACTGGGGGTGCTACTGGCTCTTCTTGCTGCACTCGTGCTTGCTCTCAAATGACATACCAGCTCTTTTCTTCGCTGTTCTTTGACAGATCTTGTTTGGGAGAGGGGTTATGATATTATATTGCAATCACATCTTCACAAGCTGTTTGTTAGAAGAGAGCAATGTGATCACTGATGACTAACATACATGAATTTCCCTAAGGCAGAAAAGGGTTATTAGTATAGCCAAGAATTGGCCAAGGCATAGACCTGCTCCCGCAACAGCTTCTACCTTGTTGCTCATACATGCTGTCAAATCATCCTCTATCATCTGCCACCCCCTCGGCCTGCTACTGCCGCAGCCCTGCCTCTGCTGCTGCCACGCTACTGAACATTCTCCCAATTTCCCTAAACAAGTTCACATCCCATATCTACTTGGGCAAGTCAACAGGTGGCGGCACATCGAGCTTCACACCTGCCTGGATCTGCCCCCAGCCAATCAGCCGCCAGTGCTTCTCCACGCGCCGGCTCAGAGCGAGCTTCTCGCCCGTCTTGGTGCACACGGGGGAGGTGAGGTGCAGCTTCGCCAGATCGTTCTTCACGGCCACCACGCGCGCACCCGTAGACATGGACCCGATGTTGAGCATCAGCACCTCTCCCTTTGTCAGCTTCGCCACCTTGCCCTGCTTCTCTGTTCCTTTGGTGCGCACTCCCAGCAGCCGTCGCAACAGGAAGAAATTGATCTTTGGGACCGAAGGGAGAGGGGGGAAGGGGGGTGGGGGGGTGGATGGGTTGAGGGTGCAGAGGAGACATGGACCCGATGTTGAGCATCAGCACCTCGCCCTTGGTTAGCTTTGACACCTTGCCCTGCTTTTTGGTGCCCTCGGTACGCACTCCTAGCAGCTGCCGCAGCAAAAAGAAGTTGATTTGTCAGATGGGAGCACGGGTGAGGGGAGAAAGGGGACATCGGCCCAACATTGAGCATCAGCAGCTTGAATTGCCCTTGCCTCACCCAATGTGAAACGCGCCCACCCACACACCCATGCCCACTCCTCCAAACACTCACTGCCCATAGTCCCCCTCCACTCAGCTCCAGCTCAGCGAACCCGTCTGGCGGCGCGCCCACCTCCCCCAGCACCTGCCCCACGAGACAACCCCCTTGATGCGGCATACACCTCATGCTCACACCACGCACACACATCCATGCTCAATGCGGCCCCCATCCATGTGCACCGTTCCATTCGTCTCACCTCCAGCTCAACAAAGACGTCTGGGAGGGCCCCAACCTACCCCAGCACCTGCCCCACGAAGGCGTTCCCCCTTCTGCTGCATACACCCCAAGCTCCCCACCACGTACACACAAGCACGCTCCCCCCGTTCCCCAGCTCACCTCCAACTCAACAAAGACGTCCGGGAGGGCCCCCACCTCCCCCAGCACCTGCCCCACGAGGCGATCCGCGCGGGTGAGCGTGGGATCAATAGTTGTGCCCACACCAATGAGCCCTCCTGGCACGGCAAACTGCAGCTCGTTCTGCTCGGCGAAGAGCGAGATGATGCGCGAGAAGATGGGCGTGCAGCGGATATTGCCGTCCGCGTCCTTGGCCACGATGCCCGGCCGCACCTCTATCTTCTGCCCCACGCGCAGCACTCCCTGTGATTGAGGGGCGGACGGGAAGTGGAGGGGAGTGGGGGAGGGGGAGGGGGGCGGAGGGTGGGAAAGAGTGGGGGCTGGGCACGAGAGGGAAGTGGGAAGCAGAAGATGGGAGTGCAGCGGATGTTGCCGTCCGCGTCCTTGGCCACTATGCCCGGCTGCACCTCTATCTTCTGCCCCACGCGCAGCACTCCCTGTGATTGAGGGGAGGACAGGAAGTGCAGGGGAGTGGGGAGGGGGAGGGGGGCGGAGGGTGGGAAAGAGTGGGGGCCGGGCACGAGAGGGAAGTGGGAAGCAGAAGATGGGCGTGCAGCGGATGTTGCCGTCCGCGTCCTTGGCCACTATGCCCGGCCGCACCTCTATATTCTGCCCCACGCGCAGCACTCCCTGTGGTTTGATTGACAGAAGAAAGGGATGAAGGGGCAGAGGGGACAGATGGGGGATGGGAGGGAGGGGGGTGGGGAAATGGGGGAGAGGAGAAAAAGAGGTGGAGGGGGTTGAGAGGTTACTACGAGAGGGTGGTGAGAAGCAACAGATGGGCGTGCACCGGATGTTGCCATCCGCGTTGGCCACTATGCCCGGCCGCACCTCTATCTTCTGCCCCACCCGCAGCACCCCCTGTTGTACGATTGGGATGGTAAGGAGGGGTGAGTGCAAAGCGCACGAAAAGGAGACAGGAACAAATGGGAATGTGGAGTTAACATGGAGAGAACTGAGAAGCAGGGAAGAGTGAAGGAGAAGGTGGGACGGAGGAAAGGGGGGGGCGTGGAAGTGAGCGAAAGGGGAGGGAGGGAGGGAAGGGGGTGGGAAGGGGGAAGGGAGTAGTAGCAGAGGGGAGCAAGCAGGGCAGGGAGCGACTCACGTGCAGGATACTGCCACCAGCAACGCCGCCCTTGATGTCATCGACCTCAGCGCCGGGCTTGTTGACGTCAAAGGAGCGGATGACAATCATGTTGGGCGGCGACACAAAGTCGCGGTCGGGGATGGGGATGCGCTTGATGATCATCTCGCACACCACGTCCACGTTGTACTTGAGCTGCGCGCTGATGGGGATCACCGGCGCGCCGTCCGCAATGGTGCCCTGCGGTGTGGTCCGGTGGAATGGGGTGAGGTATGGGAGGGCAAGGGGCGAACGTGAGGGAATTAGGGCAGAGGGTGGGGGGTTGTACAAAGTGGGGTAGAGTTGAAGGAGAGGATGACGAGAGAGCCATGGATACGACGGAAGGAAGACAGCAACGCGCACCCAAACATATGAAGCCTACACAAGACGAACTGGGGTCTCGCGGGGACAACAGGCCATTCACCTTATCCCCACTCCCTTTTCCCCCTCCTCTTTCCTCTCTGAATAGGTGACAACTGAACCTCTCTGCATAGCAGCGTGCTGGATAAGTGCAACGTGTATGCGAAATAAATAGAGTCATGTTTTCTCATTTAAATGTTCAATCTTCCCCCATACCTGGATGAATTTTTGGATGGCGTCGTGCTGGTTGAGCGCGACGCTCTCCTGGATGAGGTCGATCTTGTTCTGCAGGATGATGATGTGCTTCAGCCGCATGATCTCCACCGCCGCCAGATGCTCCGACGTCTGCGGCTGCGGGCAGCTCTCGTTGCCCGCGATCAGCAGCAGCGCGCCGTCCATGATCGCCGCGCCGTTCAGCATCGTCGCCATCAGAATGTCGTGGCCCTGCCGGGGGGAGGGGGGAGGGGGGAGAGCGGGGGTGGGGGTTGCGGTGGGTGAGGGAGAGGGAGAGGGTGGCGGGGAAGAGGGAGAACGCGGAGACGGGGTACGGGGGAAGGTGGTAAGCGAGACTGGGAAAGCGGAGAGGGAAAGCGGAGCGGAGGTGCGTAGAGGTCTCGGAGAGTGGGAGCGACGGGGAGGAGTTGAGTGAGGTGAAGTTATCATGGTACGGGTTCCATGCGCTTGGGCTCTCAAAAAGAATTGGACGCGAACACGGGTATGAGACTGCAGAAGGATGTGCGACGAGACGACTGCGTGCCTTAGAATGTCTGCGGCATGAAGCGAATAGGCTAGTACCGGCTAGTATAGCGAGGGATGCAAATCAGCAGCAGGAGTGCGTGGCTTGGGAGTGAGCACGCGGTTCCTAGTGAGCACTGTGGAGATGGCAGCGTATCAGGGAAAGAGGCTAACACTGGCCACTATCAGCAGCAGCAATGCGAGCACCACACGCTTCTGCAATGACCTACAGCCTCACCGGGCAATCGACGAATGACACGTGGCGCATCAGCTTCATGCGGGCCTTTTCAAATCCCGGCACGTCGCATAGCGGGCTGTCCTCCTTGCTGCTGCCGTACGCCCTGCACGCGCGAAAGGAAGCATAAGAGATTAAGACCGACCCACAGCTGCAGCGGCAAAACCCTAACTTGAAGCGCCAAGATCAGCCTTGGCTTCGACTCTGGCCAAACCTCGCCAGAACTCTCCCCAACATCACTCCACCCGTCTACGCCGAAGTCCACCGCTCTCAAACCCTCACAATAGTCCTCTAGAAGGAGGACAACTCGCGAAGCGACGCACTTGTAGCACATGGGGCGAGGGCAGGCGTCGTCCTCGCATTTGTAGATCTTGGCGTTGGCGTATCCCAGCTTGATCGTGATGTTTCGCTCCAACTCGTTCTTGAACCGCACCGTCTGCGGCACAAGAATCCACGCGAAGGCGGATCAGATTGAGAAAGTGGAGGGAGGGCGTTGTTCTCAAGGATCGGCACATGAGATGAGGGAAGGGAAGGGAGGTCGTGGACACAGGAACGCGCTGCGGAGAAGGCAAAAACGCGAGGAATTGCGCGTGAGATGCGCATCAGGATGAGAAATGGTCCCGATCTATCGTTTGACTATGCAGTTTCCCGCATTCCACCAAACTCTGACTCGAACCTAAAGCGCCGACCGTCTTACCTGGACGCCAGAAATGGCCTTAACGACAGTCGATTTGCCGTGAGCCACATGGCCGATTGTACCTGAGAGTCACAACCAAGAAGGAATGGTACAATAGGAGGAAAAAAAAGTTAGTCAAAGGTCAACAAAAGGTTATTAGAATGAAGGAGGAGCCGACTGCACGCAAGGAGTGCGATCTGGACGCACCGATGTTGATGGTGGCTTGTCGACTGATGACTTCAGGAGACAGCGGATTGAGCTTCGTCACATCCAGCGTCTTGAGATCCTGCTCCATTAAACCCTTGCGCGCCATGGTGCTCTCTCGCTTGCCCACCCGCCAAATCTGTAGATTCAAAATCCGCAAAATATACTAATCTCAACGTTGCAATAGGCTCCAAATTACCGCTAGTTTGAAGGTGCTGATCAGCAGAAAGGGTGAAAGAAACCATGGTGATTACACGCAAGGATCCATGGCGGCTGGCTGTGAGAGGAATGAAGCACAAGTGGGCCAGGAAGATGGAGGGAAGGTGAGGAGCGAAAGAGGTTCTCTCGAGAGCAGAAACAGCACTTCAACCAAGATGCCTTGGGTTTGTCGCATAACGACACTCAAACGAGTATAACCTGGAGAAGGGAAAACAAATCTATGTACAGTAGTCCTTACTAGCTGGTACGAATCGCCAGGCATTATCAATTAACAACACCACAAAACCTATTCCCGTGATTTTCTGGTTATTCTAGCACAGCACATGCACAAATATTCTTTAAAATCATGATTTCCCACCCGTGGCTTCCATTTGTATGAGGGAGGAGTGAGTTGACTCAGTGAAATGTGAGATATGCCCCCTCTGCCTGTGGGACTGCAGGTGGGTGTGAGTGACAAGGCCACCGCCAGCACGCAGCCCGCCAGCCTCGTTTTAAAGTACTTCTCTCTCTTGCGACCCATGGAGAAGGAATTGAAGTGCATTCTTGTGATTGGCCAAAGGCACTGCGACCAAAACAGTGACATGACGCCCATCGCCAGTGCTGTGGCACTTGCTTCTGTTTCTTCCACCTCTGGTTCATTTTATGGAGATGTTTTCTGGTTCAAATGCTAAGAGATTTGAACGCATCAGCAAGCAAGGAAACGGAACTTTGGGCCAGAAGCAGAGATGCAGTTGGATGGATATGATCTCTCCTAATCATAGACCATGGTACCTGCAAGGGGAATGGCTGATGCAGGCAGCTACACTTTAGTTGTTGATCCGCTAGTGGGAGCACCTGAACTGCTGGATCTGGGATTGAACAAAAAACTCGCACAATAAAAAAAGCTGTACATAGAGGATAAGAACTACTAGTTACTAAGTCCACACAGATCCAACTCATTGTTTATGTACAGCTGCACACAGCACAAAGGCGAGGATGTGGTAACATCCTGGAAACTGCTGAACTTGATGAGTGTACAGTGGGGTGGCTGGCTTGCTGGGTTTCGGCTTCCAAACCAAACCAAACGCAAACAGAAACGCAAACGCGTGGAGAGCGCTGAAGGTAACTGGGGGCACTGGGGAGCACTGAAGAGCTCTGAAGAGCATTGAAGAGCACTGAAGAGCGCTGAAGAGCACTGAAGAGCGCTGAAGAGCACTGAAGAGCGCTGAAGAGCACTGAAGAGCGCTGAAGAGCACTGAAGAGCGCTGAAGAGCACTGAAGAGCGCTGAAGAGCACTGAAGAGCACTGAAGAGCGCTGAAGAGCACTGAAGAGCGCTGAAGAGCACTGAAGAGCACTGAAGAGCGCTGAAGAGCACTGAAGAGCGCTGAAGAGCACTGAAGAGCGCTGAAGAGCACTGAAGAGCGCTGAAGAGCACTGAAGAGCGCTGAAGAGCACTGAAGAGCGCTGAAGAGCACTGAAGAGCGCTGAAGAGCACTGGAGGCACTAAGGGTGTCTGGGTCTGCTGTAGCGGGTACGAGTGTGCTGCGGCCATTCTCTCTCCTGGAGCAATTTCGATGGGAGTAGTCGACGGAACAGCAAGAGTGTATACGGGCCACGCCAGGACCAGAGAGACGTTAAAGTATGATCAACCGCTTAACTGGTCCGTGGCGTGCTGTGGTATGGGGTATGGTGTATGGTGTAGCATGGCGATCCCGTGCAGAGATAGCATGTCATGGGGAGGTGGATCGCATGGCACGCTCTGCAGGGGTTGCATGCCATGGCATGGTAAATCCGATCTGGAATATCCGATCTAGAAGTTGGTCTGCAGATCTGACGGTGGACGGCACTGAATAAAAATGGCCGGAGCTGGAAAGCTGGGTTAGAAATTAACGCGAAGGAGCTGCGACGGCAGTGGTAGCAGGGGAGTTAGCGAGGTCAGTAAGAACACCTGCTGCGGCAGCCATGGCGACAGCAGATGCTTCGGAGACAGCAGGCAGAGCAACGCGTTTCGCAAGCGACGCGTTGCCTGCAGTATGGCCGCGCAGTTGCGAAGCTGGCGACGTCAAGGCGAAAGCGCGGACCAGGTCCTGAAAGGGATCGCACAGGAAAGGTCGAGACGTGAGACAGCAGGTCGCGACGAAAAACCCTCCAACAACCCCTTTCATAGCACATCGGTTGAATGTCACAAGCCATTGTGATGTTCTTACCTGCTTCCTAGTAGACTTGACTCCGCGAACAGCCACGTCAGCAGCAGCGGCTACCACACTGGGAGGGACCTTCATCCGGCCGAAGACGGTAGTCCTCAGCTGAAGCACGAAGGCTGCGAGGTAGCGAGCGTGAGACGATGAGTTCCCATCGCGGAACAACGACGACCTGCAGAGGAAAAACATAATCGTTAGAACAGTTGCATGTTTCGAACCCACATGCCACCACAATTCCTGTCCAAACGACCATCTTCCAACTACCATAACCCTTGAAAAGGCCAGATTGAGGACTATTGGTTCACTGTCAAGCTGTAAGTTCCCAAAACCAACTGGTACTCACCATAGACTGCGTAAGAGCCCAGCAGCGGCCTCCTTGTCTCCGGAGGCCGGGAGATGCAGGGACGGGAAGAGGCGAGACACCCAATCAAGCTGCCGCTCCAGCATGCAGCCCTTGACCGCCGATAAACCCTCTAGACATGCCAATGTCTGGCAGAAGGCGTCCGTGCTGCATGGTGGCACGACGGGAATAAGCAAATAAGCATAACAAAAGTTTGTTTAGATACGAGAATTGAGACTGGCTGGGACACAGACGCAGCGTCGAATAAGGCTAAACGGAAACGAGAGTGGCAGCGCGTGGCAGCGAGTGTGGCTCGTGACGAACCTCAAGGAATTGGTGGATGTGCGCGCGGTCCGGGCTTTGTGAGCGACGAAGAGGCATGTCAGTGCGAGCACGTGACGCTGCACCGTGTCGCGGTGGCAGCACGCTCCGCCGAGCCGGCATCGTAATTGACACGCGTCGTGGAGCATCACGGCCGTCAATAAGTCCGACGGGCCGAACCCAAGCGTCACAGCCGCCTGAAAGACACACGTACCACATCAGCACGATTTTTTGGGTCAACCTCACCACAACCGATGTTGACTCGCGGCGAAAATCACAAATTTAACATGAATATGCCAGGAAGAAGCTCACCTGTGAGAACATGGGAAGCAGCTGCGACCGTTTGTGTCCGGAGCAACCCGCACTGACTTCTCCCGACTCCACAGCAGGACCCGGTCCTTCTGCTGAACCCGTCGACACCTTGACTGAAATTCTCGCTCTTTTATGTACACCCGCTTCAGCTCGTTCCCAGCTTCCGTGAAACTCGTCAGGGACGGGAGGTCCTACTGGGGGAGGCGTGGCTGAGGATGGATCGGCTGAAATTGACTCATCCCAGCTATCGCCTGAACCCTCTTCCGTTTCCGCGAACCGGGACCCGTCGAGCCGGGAGCTGGTCACGTGCCTTGTCCTACTTCCCGTAGCGTAGAGCTCCTGGAGCCTGCGCTTACGCGCAGCCTTGGCACGCTCGATGATATCGACGGGGTTTAGCGTGCAGGTCGCCATGGAAACCCGACGGCGTCGAGGAGAAACCTAAACTTCACTACGCTGCGAAGACAAAAGCTAAGGAACTGAAGCTGACCAGAGGGTTGAAGAGAGGTTCTAGAAACTAGATGAAGACTCCGACATGCAATCGTAAATTTGAAGGTGTGAATGAGATTGAGATTAGGAACCACAACTGACCGACTGAGACAGAGCGAGACTTTTCATCTCCTCGTCTTCGGTTCCGTTCTTCCTCCTAGCAGTTTGCACGGTACCGCTACTGCTCACTCTGCTTTACCGGTCTGCCTGCCTCCTGCGTCAACTGCCCCGTGACCTCGTCTCGTTCCCCCCTTTCCCGTTCTGGTCGTGTCAACCATACCAGGTCCATGCCAGCGTGGCAGGCATCCCCCAGGCGGAACCAACCGAGATTCCTTTTCCTTGGAGGTTGACGGCGCCCAGACCACGCGCCCTCCTCGCCCAACCCTCGATTCCTTCTTCATGCCTGTCAGGCATTCGGCAATCGATCCCTGGTTACCAGGAGAACCCGTTGGCTCTGGGGTTGGGTCTAGAAAAATGGGCAGATACGATGACGCCAGCGCGACGCGGCCAGTTGCGGTGTTCCGTTCCGTCCGCTTGAGAGGAGAATGTCACCGGTTGTTTAACAGCCAATCGTGAAGGATTCTGCTGCCACGTACGCGAGGCTGGAGAATGGTGGAATTCTCTGGTACCCGTCGATTCGATGCTGCGGGTTTGGATGTCTGGCATCGATGTGTTCTGAGCTGGTCTGCTTTTGTGGAACTTGAAATTTCTGAAATCCTATGGTCAAGGGAGAAGATGTTGGGAGAGAGATTGCGATGGCGCGCAATACCTCATCCACACCCAAAGTTCGAGGGGGCGAGGCGCAGGTATTTGGTATAAATGATCGGGGTGATCCGGATATTCTACCTTTCCCAACAAAAGAATACTGAACAGAATCTGTAACATGCTCAGAAAATCGAGGGGGTTCGTCCACGTGGACGCTTATCCGATGTGGAAGTGTCGTGGATGCCCGAAGAACGTTTTTTTGCCCATCCTAAACCCCCAACGTCCTCCAGCCCTTTCTGCTGCCTCAGTCCTTGCGCTTTCGTTCGAACAAGCCACACCACTCGAGGTTTTGCGACGGCTGTGAGTACAGTATCTTCGTTGTGGATTGTGTGTGTCGTTTCCGGCATGTAATTATGGCTCATTGGCTCGAAATTTGAATATGATGAACCAATCGGAGAAACGGAGGAGTCCTTCTGAGGTCCGATTGGCCATTCCAGTTCCATGCCGCCGGTCACGTGAATCGCGTCGTACACGGCAAGAATCGTGGTCAGCAGTCACGCCGCAAACGTGGAACTTTTCAATGCTTACGTCATAATCTGCTGGTCCCTCTCCTTCAAACTGGTTAGGTGCACTCCAGCCAATCCATTAAAGCAGTCTTGGGGGCAAGTGAGGAGATGACTCTTGTCGCCATGTGTGGATAGCCAGCTCGCATCGCATCGCACATTTCGCCTGCCAGAGTTCTAGGCATAAACATCCACCAATCACCGTCATTTCCTGAAAGCGGCTTGTCAGGCACCTTTTGTGGTGGGAAAAATCCCGATAAGCATACCCAAGTGGCAAGCAAAACAGCAAGGACCAGTCACCTGGAACCACCAGAAGCATCCATAGCACTCAGGGCAGTGCAGGGAATGCCGAACTCATGCTTCAGGTTCATTCGGAGCGGACCCCTATAACGTGTACGGGCCCCTATAGCATGCTTTCAGGTGTTTGGTAACTAATTCCACGGAAATGCCCTGGAAGCGTTACACTACCAGATACCAAACATTTCATATTCTGTGAAACAGTATTTGAAAAAACAAAACCCCGATAATGTCAATAAAATGGTTAGAATAACAAAATATCGATTTGAGTTGATAAAAATGGACAAACTGAGTATTCTGAGAAACGTCTAGCTTGTGACTGAAGATAAATCACACAGTGCTTGTGGACTTCAGTCATATTGTTAGTGACTCCCATATTAACGAAGAAGCGCTCCTCTTCATGTGTGCCCCGTTTTCCACTTTTGCGTCCCTGCGCCTCGATCAGTTTTGTGTGAGGTGAGGTGGGTGGGAGGCACGGGATGTGAATACACGCGCATCGCACTGCCTCGGCCACCGTAACTGCCGGTCGATGACGTGGTGATGGGTGGGCTTTTGGCAACGCAATTCATGCCCAACCAGTGCACGCGGATTTGCCTTGCGCCGGATGGAAACGCTGCACCCGAGATTGTTTCCCCAGCCTGTTGCTCCCACGTTAGAAGCGCGTCGCGTGGTTATCAACCAATAGTAACGAACAGACCGAGGTCAAGCAGAAGAGACTGAAGTCAAATAAGGTAACAGATCTTGTTTATAAGCACCTGCGAATCCTTTTTAGCTAGCTGCGAGTTGACGAAGCTTATGCGAAATGCTCGTTACAGCTTATATGCCCCCTTCACAAGGCAACTGGGAGGGGCTCAAACAGGCATCAATTGGCCAGCGTCTAAAAAATGCAGGAACGCCTGTGTACTGTACTTCCTCCCCTCAACCCCCATCCGCCAACTCAATCAAAGCGGAGGAAAATGAGCGCGAGGAAACTGCGCGGGTAGGGGAGTTTTGTGACATGAGGTGAGGTGACTCTGATGGCGTGTACAAAGAGCTGCACAAACTCGACGTCAGGGACGTCGGTGAATCCTGACGGTTGGAACCTTTGATCCGAGGGTGGAAATTAACCGACGTTGCTCGACGTCGAGTTTTTGCGCACTTTGTACACGCCATGATGGCAGCTAGGAAGAGGCATGTGCGGGATATTCCGTCCTCTCTTGAGCTACAGTTGATCTTCCTGGGAACGAGGAGGAGATGAGTGCGGCTCAACCTGCCCAGGGGCTGTCCATAAAGAGCCCGCAATTGCAAGCTCTGCGTACCTACTTTGAAAGAGTTGTGTTCACATTGTGCCGGTCGCTTTTGCCACCGCAGAGTATGTTGCGCGGACCACGACCCCTCCCGAAGTCTGTTGATAAGTATATATTTGGCTGAATCTTTGTTGGAATATCCGGCAAAGCAGGATCTCAAACAGCACAGCTGTGTGTGTGGTTCCTGCCATCGTTCCTACGAAGTGGGTTGGAGTTCGTGCCTCTCAAATGACATTGCACATTGAGATTACCTTGATTATACGACGGTATGTGTTGAAGATACCCCCGACCGTAACCCGCTGATAAAGAAAGGAAATCCACGTGGCCCAGAATAATAGCAAGGTGCTACCTCCAAAACTGTCGGAGACAGCTCGACAGGGGGAGGCTGTCGAACCGACTCGTCCTGCCTCGAAACGTCAACAGTTGAAGGACCCTGTGAATTGTGGTCTGGTCGGACCAGGGAAGCTGGTTCGGTGAAGCCCCTGATCCCCAACCCAGATGGTTGTTGAGTAGCGGTCCGCGTCCTTTCTGTTACGAAACAACAATGCGTGTGGCCTTCGCGCGGCGACGTCAACTGCCGACAAACCAACTGGCTAATCCTCATTCGCCACTGCTGCCAACACGTGTCGAGTCAGTTGGTAGAAATGTTGCGCTGTTCCTGAGATGAGGCACTTCAGGCTCGGATAATCTTTGTTTTCGCGCCGAAGCTGGCCTGACGAAAGCTGACGGGGGAAAGGGATCTTTTTGTGCCACATGTCGAGCCGCACCTCATCTTGATATGAAAAAAGTGCGCGCAGCGATGTGGTGCAAACCTTTCCAACGACTACCTCGTTCTTTATATTCAACTTCACCCTAAGTTTCTCGTCATTCACCTTTCCTAACTTTACATGCCTCATACGTTCCTCGCCAATCTCCAGTGTCGTTATATTTTTCCGCTCCAGCTATCTCGGCCTTCGCAGTTTCTCAAGTGTGACTTTCTCAGTAGGCCTCTTGCTACTCGCAAACTACTAGCTCTGCGGAACACTTAACCATGTCAAGCGCTTTGCTTCGAAATGTAAGTAGATCGCCTGCCGCATCAGCCGCCTGTCATCGCTGCCTCCAGTATGCCATTCCCGCCGCGTGCTGCGCGGCGCAGCAACTAGTCTCCTCACTCGGCGCAAGACTCAACCACCTCCCGTCAACGCGCCCGTCATCTACAACCACCGCGCAGCCGACGAGCGTGTCGGGCCTGCTATGCACCGTCACGAACTCTCCCTGCGGCATGGGCTGCGAGGATTGCACCGAGTGCCTTTTCCGCAATTCCTCCGCCCCGTCCGCTTCCGCCTCCGCGCCGAAGCCCTTCCCCTCGCAGCGGTCGCCGCCGATCGGCCACGTGCCCACTCTCCAGCCGTTCGCGGCGCGTTCGATTTTCACGGGAGTGCGCCACGCGGGACAGCCGGCTGAGGTGGAAGAGAGCGACGCCCACGTGGCGGCCAACGAGGCCGGCCGTGTCGACGTGGCGTCGTTCATAATGAAGAATTACACCCCGTACGACGGCGACGATAGCTTCCTCGCCGGGCCGACCCCCCGAACCTTGGAGGTGCGTTACACTTAGTCTCGTTATACTCAATCTCGTAACACTAGGTCAAAACGCCGTGGGCACTCATGTGATCTGCACGCGCCGATACATGAATCTTAACTCCCATTTTCTTGAGAATCTACCACCTTCCAAGCAAAATTCACCATGCTCCTCTCTCCCCAAATCCCTCCCTCTCTCTCCACGCGTGCTCGCGATGCACGGGCAGATCTGGGACAAGTGTTGCGAGCTGCTCAAGATCGAGCACGAGAAGGGCGTGCTGGACTGCGATCCGTCCACGCCCGCGTCGATCGTGTCGCACGGCCCGGGGTACCTCGACAAGGAGAAGGACCTCATTGTCGGCTTTCAGACAGACGCGCCGCTCAAGCGCATGATCAAGCCCAAGGGCGGCTGGCGCATGGTCGAGGCGGCCCTCGAGAGTTACGGTTACCCAGTCGACGACAGAGTGCGCGAGGTGTTTATGTAAGTGTTCATACGTGACGTGTGTTTGATTTTTCTCTTCTGGAAATCGTTAAATGTGTCGCTGCGAGGATGCGTCGTTCTTGTGAAGCTTATTCCTCTTCTGTTCTTGCCTGCCTTTTTTACTGTTTTCCGTGCAGGAAATACGTGAAGACGCATAATGCGGGAGTCTTTGACGCGTACACGCCGGAGATGCTGGTTGCGCGGCGCGAGGGCATCCTGACAGGCCTTCCCGACGCGTACGGCCGAGGCCGCATTATCGGCGACTACCGCCGCGTCGCGCTCTACGGAGTCGACGCGCTAATTGCGGCGAAGGAGGCGGACAAGGCGGCGCTGGGCCCAGAGATGACGGAGGACGTTATTCAGCTGCGCGAGGAAGTTGCGGAGCAGATTCGCGCGCTCGAGGAGCTCAAGGCCATGGCGAAGAACTACGGATACGATATCAGCCGACCCGCTACGAACGCCCGCGAGGCCGTGCAGTGGCTGTACTTCGCGTGAGTATAACGAACACCGCTCTCGCATCATTCGCCTTTGAATTCAGTCGCAGCAGCAGAGCAACCGCAGAAGAATTGTAAAGGCATTACGGAGGAACCGCACACTAAAAGACCCTCTCGTGCCGTGATCCCCTCCCTCCGTCGTGTCCGCTGCCAGGTACCTAGCGGCGATTAAGGAGCAGGACGGAGCGGCGATGTCGCTGGGGCGCGTGGATGCGTTCCTCGACGTGTACTTCGAGAAGGACCTCAAGAGCGGCGCGCTCACGGAGGAGCAGGCGCAGGAGCTCATCGACGATCTCGTAATTAAGGTACGCGTTATTGATGACCTCGGTACTAGGATACACGTTGCTCAATATTAACGTCCGTTGTGCCGGAATTTCCCCGCTTCCCCAGCTGCGCCCCTTCCCCCACCCGCTTGGTTTGAAAAAAAGCCTCAAAAGTCTCATCTTTCCCCCATTTCCTGTTCCGCCCGCTCCCCGCTTCGCGCACTTCCCCTTCCGCCCATCAGCTGCGCCTGGTGCGCCATCTGCGCACGCCCGACTACAACAACCTGTTCGCGGGTGATCCCACGTGGGTGACGGCCGTCGTGGGCGGGCTCACCAAGGGCGAAGGCGGGCGACACATGGTTACCAAAACCGCGTATCGCATCCTGCAGACGCTTCGCAACCTCGGCCCCGCGCCGGAGCCCAACCTAACGGTCCTCTGGTCGCCGAAGCTTCCGGAGCACTTCAAGCGGTTCTGCGGAAAGCTGTCGCTGGACCTGTCGTCGATCCAGTACGAGAACGACGACGTCATGCGACCGCTGTTCGGCGACGACACGGCGATCGCATGCTGCGTATCCGCGATGACGATCGGCAAGCACATGCAATACTTCGGAGCGCGATGCAACCTGCCGAAGCTGATGCTCTACGCCATGAACGAGGGCAAGGACGAGGTGAGCGGCGTGCAAGTCGCGCCGCAGTTCGCGCCACTGCCGGACGGCCCGCTGGAGTTTAACGACATGATGGCGCGGTACGAGACGGCCATGGAATGGCTCGCGGGTCTGTACGTGAACACGATGAATATTATTCACTACATGCACGATAAGTATAACTACGAGCGCGTGCAGATGGCGCTACACGACACCCACGTGGGGCGGCTCGTCGCGTTCGGCGTCGCGGGGCTGAGCGTCGCGGCGGACTCGCTCTCGGCGATTAAGCACGCCAAGGTGACGCCGATTAAGGACGACCGCGGCCTGGTCACGGACTTCAAGATCGAAGGCGACTTCCCGAAATTCGGGAATGACGTGGAGGAGGTTGATTCGCTGGCGTCGTGGCTGGTGGAGACGTTTATGGCGAAGCTGCGCGCGCACAAGACGTACCGCGGCGCGGAGCACACGCTGTCCGTGCTAACGATCACGTCGAACGTGGTGTACGGCAAGCACACGGGCAACACCCCCGACGGGCGCAAGAAGGGCGAGCCGTTCGCGCCTGGCGCGAACCCGCTGCACGGGCGCGACGTGGAGGGCGCGCTGGCGTCGCTCAACTCCGTGGCGAAGCTGCCGTACGAATCGTGCCTGGACGGGATTAGTAACACGTTCACGATGGTGCCGTCCGCGCTGGGGAAGGATGACGACTCGCGCACGAGCAACATGGTTCAGATCCTCGACGGTTACTTCAACCAGGGGTGAGTCGCTGTTTTGCTGTCCTTGACTGCAAGGATATGCTCACATGCCATTAGATGCCATGCCCTTCCATATGCAATGCCATGACTCCATGACTCCATCTCATGGTACCACACTCCATCTCATGGTACCACACTCCATCCCATGGTACCACACTCCATCCCATGGTACCACACTCCATCCCATGGTACCACACTCCATCCCATGGTACCACACTCCATCCCATGGTACCACACTCCATCCCATGGTACCACACTCCATCCCATGGTACCACACTCCATCTCATGGTACCACACTCCATCCCATGGTACCACACTCCATCCCATGGTACCACACTCCATCCCATGGTACCACACTCCATCCCATGGTACCACACTCCATCCCATGGTACCACACTCCATCCCATGGTACCACACTCCATCCCATGGTACCACACTCCATCCCATGGTACCACACTCCATCCCATGGTACCACACTCCATCCCATGGTACCACACTCCATCCCATGGTACCACACTCCATCCCATGGTACCACACTCCATCCCATGGTACCACACTCCATCCCATGGTACCACACTCCATCCCATGGTACCACACTCCATCCCATGGTACCACACTCCATCCCATGGTACCACACTCCATCCCATGGTACCGCACTCCATCCCATGGTACCACACAATCCTCATCTCTTCTCCTCCCTCCGTGTCTCAACCACCATTGCTTGCTCCCTCTCACAACAGGGCCTTCCACCTGAATGTGAATGCGCTGAACCGGGAGACGCTACTAGACGCCATGGAGCACCCCGAGCAGTACCCTCAGCTCACCATCCGCGTGTCGGGCTATGCCGTGCACTTCACTCGCCTCACCCGCGACCAGCAGCTCGACGTCATCTCCCGCACCTTCCACGAGTCCATGTAGGATGGTGAAGGGGGAAGGGGAAGGCCATTCACGAGTTCATGTGGATGGTTATGAACGGGAAGGCCAAACATCTCCTTGAGACCAAAACATCTCAAGGCCAGTCACTGCAGCTCCACACCACCGCCATCACCACCATCTCCACTTAGTTCAACCGTACAGCACCGCCCAACCACCCACCAAACCCATTCCATCCCTCACCATCCATCTGCCGCCATTCATACCTCCATAGTAGTGTAGTGCATCCATATTCTTGAACTATTTAAGCAGGTTGGTAGATGGGATTTCTGACAAAGGGCCCGCCCTTGGGGGTTGGAAGTGCTTTACTGCATGCTCTGCATCAGCAGAGGGTGCTTAGCTTGGCTTTGCTTTCTTTGCACCAGTAGGTGTGCATGTGCCTGCTTGCGCATGCAGTATTGGTGGTAGCTGGACCAATGATGGGTTGTCCCAGACTTGTATCTAAGTACATGAAACCATTTTTGCAAGGTATACCTCTCTCGTGGCATGACACGATAGCAAAGAGCCCTCCCCGCAAAAGCCAATCCTGGGAGGATTTCACATTTTTAGTAGCAATGATAACAGAAGACCAGCCACATCAGAACAAACCACAAATGGTGTCAGTACAGTGCGTAGAAACAAGCTGTTCAGATCAATGAGTATTATGAGGGTGCTGGGCTGATGGTCTAGCTGACTGTGCTGCACAACTTCACACCGCTCCGTATCCCTTCCTACTGGTCTCCCAAACAATGCCTCTCAGGCCACAAGGACAGGGGCAGAAGCAGCTGCAGCAGCAGCAGTAGCACAGTGGTAATGCGGTGCATGGAGTGAGAGGCAGTTAGTGTAGTGGCGGCCGCCGAATTAAGGCGTAGTAACGTGTTGAGGATGCAGACAGATAGTTATAACAAACTGTTGTACACCCCTTGGTATTGGGTGCACTCTCTGACTACACCAGGGTGCACCTCAGTCAGCATCTCGTGGTGCAGGCTACACTCTGTGTCTCCACCAGCGTGCACCCCTAATCTGCACCTAGTGCTGCAGGGTGCACTGTGCATGTGCACCTATGGGTGCAGGGTGCACTGTGTATCTACACCCATTTGGTGCAGGGTGCACTGCGTATCTACACCACGGGGTGCAGCACGATGCGGTGCAGCGTATCAAGAGTGAAATGGTTGTCAGTGAAGTGGCGACTCGCAAAGAAAGAGCTCAAATCCACAATGCCGTATTCGCGAGCCTGGAGGAAAGCAGGGAGGGAAACAAAGGGGAACAGGGGAGGGGGTGCAGCGTATCGAGTGTGAAGTGGTGGTCTGTGAAGCGACGACTTGCAAACAAGGAGCTCAGATCCACAATATTGTACTCACGCGCGTGAGTCAAATCTCACCTTGGCTTCCAGCTCATCCACTCGCATCTCCACCACCTCCTCCCCCTCTCCTGCCGCTCCTCCCCCGCGGCGGCTGGGCTGGGTCCACCCCAGGTCCCTCAGCCTCAGCGCCTCCCTCAGCTGCTGCCTCAGCAGGTGCAGCAGCAGCTGGTGCAGATCCCTCCGGTGTGACATATAGCGACTGAAGGACTGGAGGTTGGGAAGGGGTGCGGAGGGATAAGTCGGATGGGAAGGGGAGAGGGTGCTTGGGTATGAGTAACAGCTGATGCTGCCTCAGCAGGTGCAGCAGCAGCTGGTGCAGATCCCTCCTGTGAGACGTGTAGCGACTGAATGACCGGGGAGTGGGAGAGGGAGATGGGTTTGCAGAAAGGATGGGAAGAGAAGATGTGTAGGCATCATCAACAACTGCTGTCATAGCAGGTGCACCAGCAGCAAGTGCAGGTGCTGGTCAATGCGACACGTAGAGAGTGACGAGTTGCCAGTGCACGCCATATTTCTCAAGACCATCAGGTCAGCCTGCCTTACCTTCTCCAGTGGCCGCTGCACGCCGTACTTTTGTGTGCCAATGAACGACTCCAGCAGCACGCGAATGGCGGTGTCCGCATCATAGTCCGTGACGAACCAGGACCCAACCAGGACCCGATTCCCTGTCAGTTCCCCATACTGCCCCCACACATCCAGCCAGCCCCATGCTGCCTTACCTTCTCAAGCGCCCTCTGCACGCCGTACTTCTGCGTCCCAATGAACGACTCTAGCAAGACGCGAATGGCCGTGTCCACGTCATCGTCCGTGACGAACCAAGACCCACTTCCCTGTCACAGTGTCACTTCCCCATGCTGCCATTACCTTTTCCAATGCCCGCTGCACCCCATATTTCTGTGTCCCGATGAATGACTCCAACAAGACGCGGATGGCGGTGTCCACATCATCGTCGGTGACAAACGGCCGCAGATGCATCCTGGCGTGCGCCTCTGACATGCGGATCATCGACTCCACGTGGCGCACCGCTATTGGCACACCCTGCCCTTGCTGGTGATTAGAAAGGGAGGGAGGAATGGGGGAAGATGGAAGGCGGAAGAAGATAGGATGGGGGAAGCAGCTGATATGCATGAGTGTATGTGCTTCACTCGCAACACCATGCAACCTTCACCCCTCCTTTCCCAGTGCCCTGTCTCTCTCCCTCTCTCCTCTATGTGTCGCCCTCTCTCCTCTCCAAATTCGTCCTTCCCAACACCCACCAGCACCCACCAGGGACTGGCGGCGCAGGTCGACGTAGACAAGCGCGATCTTGTCAGCATCAGCGTCGTGCATACGGGGGAGGACGCTTGGCTCTATTGCACTCTACCTCTGTATGTCTGTATGTACCAATGTATGTATGCTCCACCCACCAACCACCACCCACCACCCATCCCCCACCCACCAGGGACCGGCGGCGCAGGGTGGCATATACGAGAGCGATCTTGTCTGCGTCAGCGTTGTGCATGCGAGGGAAGACGTTCGCCTCTACTACACACTATCTATTTATGTCTGTATGTATCAACACACACATGCCCCACCCACCACCCACCCAGAACACCCCCACTCCCCCTCCACCCACCACCCCCCCACCCACCAGGGACTGGCGGCGCAGGTCGGCGTAGACAAGCGCGATCTTGTCAGCGTCAGCGTCGTGCATACGCGGGAAGACGTTCTGGCGGGCGTAGGTGACGTACTTTCTCAGAAGGTCCTGAGGGATGATCTGCAGGAGAGGGAGTGGAAGCCGGGGAGGAAACCAAGGCTGAGTAATGAACGATACGTCCTGGCAGGCGTAGGTGACATACTTCCTCAGGAGGTCCTGAGGGATGATCTGGAGCATGTGAGGGAGAGAAAGCAGTGGAGGAAGGGAGGGGTGAGCAACGAACGAGGCGTTCTGGTGGGCGTAGGTCACAGATTTCCTAAAAAGGTCCAGCACGGCAACATCTGTTGTGTTCCCTCGCAGGGGTCAGCATACACATCACGGCAACATCTGTTGTGTTCCCTGGCAGGGGTCAGCATACACATCACGTACATCGGGGTCCTCGCAGGGGTCAGCATACACATCACGTACATCGGGGTCCTCGCAGGGGTCAGCATACACATCACGTACATCGGGGTCCTCGCAGGGGTCAGCATACACATCACGTACATCGGGATCCTCGCAGGGGTCAGCATACACATCACGTACATCGGGGTCCTCGCAGGGGTCAGCATACACATCACGTACATCGGGGTCCTCGCAGGGGTCAGCATACACATCACGTACATCGGGGTCCTCGCAGGGGTCAGCATACACATCACGTACATCGGGGTCCTCGCAGGGGTCAGCATACACATCACGTACATCGGGGTCCTCGCAGGGGTCAGCATACACATCACGTACATCGGGGTCCTCGCAGGGGTCAGCATACACATCACGTACATCGGGGTCCTCGCAGGGGTCAGCATACACATCACGTACATCGGGGTCCTCGCAGGGGTCAGCATACACATCACGTACATCGGGGTCCTCTTCTCTCGCTGGCCCATCACTGCCATGCCCATGCGCCTGCGGGTGCGACTTCTGGTGGCTGCCCACCACAAAGCGCGCCAAGTGCTCGTCCACCACGGGATCCACCAGATCCTGAAGAGGGGTATGAGGGGGGTGTGCAACGACAGGCATACAAGAGAGTGGGAGAGGAGGGGATGAGGGCGTGAAGGGTGGCCCCGTCACCACCACAAAGCGCGCCAAGTGCACATCCACCCCTGGGTCTACCAGATCCCGAAGTGGGTGGGTGTGCAGATGAGTGGGAGGAGGGTGTGCGGAAGGGAGGGGGGTGTGGTGGGTGGCCCCATCACCACCACGAAGCACGCCAAGTGCTCTTCCACCACTGGGTCTACCAGGTCCTGAGGTGGGGTATGAGGGGCACGTGCAAATACAGGCAGAGAGGAGAGTGGGAAGAGGAGGGGAGAGAATGTGACCACCACCACAAAGCGCGCCAAGTGCTCATCCACCCCTAGATCCACCAGATCCTGCGGTGATGGATGGATGGATGGATGCACCGCCAGGGCAAGAAAACAACAGACGACTTTTGAGGCGCCTCAAAAGATGCACCGCCAGGGCAAGAATACAACAGACGACTTTTGAGGCGCCTCAAAAGATGCACCGCCAGGGCAAGAATACAACAGGCCAAGGCACGGAAGCAGGGCGTGAAGGGTGGCCCTGTCCCCACCACAAAGCGCGCCAAGTGCTCGTCCACCACTGGGTCTACCAGATCATGAAAAGAGGGGTATGTACAAAGGCAGGCAGAGAAGAGAGCAGGTGGAGGAGGGGATGAGGGTGTGACACGCCCACCACACGCCCACCACATGCCCACCACACTAGTACACCTCATACACACACGCACCTTGATGACCAGAAGGCAGTCAAAGCGGGAGAGAATTGGCTCTGAGAGCTCCACGTTCTGCCCAAACGTCTTGCTGGAGTCGTACCTGGGGGATGGGACATAGTGAGGATGTATGGACGGAAGCAAAGCCAAGTGAAGGGGGATACATGTGAGAGGGGGTATTGAGTCGACTTAAAAGAGGATGGGCTGTGAGAGCTCCACGTTTTGCCCGAACGTCTTGCTGGAGTCGTACCTGGGGAAGGATGAGGGAAGGATGAGAGAAGACAAGGTGCACTACGTGTGTGAGGGGGTGCATCTGGAAGGTACATGCAAGAGGATTAGCTCTGATCTGAAAGCTCCACGTTCTGCCCGAACGTCTTGCTGGAGTCGTACCTGGGGAAGGATGAGGGAAGGATGAGAGAAGACAAGGTGCACTACGTGTGTGAGGGGGTGCATCTGGAAGGTACATGCAAGAGGATTAGCTCTGATCTGAAAGCTCCACGTTCTGCCCGAACGTCTTGCTGGAGTCGTACCTGGGGGAGGAGGGGGCAGAGTGACGAGACATGGGGCACTTAGTGAATGAGGGGGCACATGTGGAAGGTACATGAAAGAGGATTGGCTCTGACAGCTCCATGTTCTGCCCGAATGCCTTGCTGGAGTCGTACCTGCCAAGAGGGCATGGTGATGCGGGGAGGAGGTAGCAAGTGAAGCGGTTGCATGTTGAAGGGTGCTTGTGAGAGGTGCCGACTCATGAAGATGATGGGCTCAGCTGATGCTGATGCTGATGCGCTGATGCTGATGCGCTGATGCTGATGCTGATGCGCTGATGCTGATGCGCTGATGCTGATGCTGATGCGCTGATGCTTATGCTGATGCGCTGATGCTGATGCACTGATGCTGATGCTGATGCTGATGCGCTGATGCTGATGCTGATGCGCTGGTGCTGATGCTGATGCTGATGCTGATGCGCTGATGCTGATGCTGATGCTGATGCTGATGCTGATGTGCTGATGCTGATGCTGATGCTGATGCTGATGCTGATGCGCTGATGCTGATGCTGATGCTGATGCGCTGATGCTGATGTGCCGATGCTGATGCTGATGCTGATGCTGATGCGCTAATGCTGATGCTGATGCTGATGCGCTGATGCTGATGCTGATGCTGATGCTGATGCTGATGTGCTGATGCTGATGCTGATGCTGATGCTGATGCTGATGCGCTGATGCTGATGCGCTGATGCTGATGCTGATGCTGATGCGCTGATGCTGATGTGCCGATGCTGATGCTGATGCTGATGCTGATGCGCTAATGCTGATGCTGATGCGCTAATGCTGATGCTGATGCTGATGCGCTGATGCTGATGCTGATGCTGATGCGCTGATGCTGATGCTGATGCTGATGCTGATGCTGATGCTGATGCTGATGCGCTGATGCGCTGATGCGCTGATGCTGATGCTGATGCTGATGCTGATGCTGATGCGCTGATGCTGATGCGCTGATGCTGATGCTGATGCTGATGCGCTGATGCTGATGTGCTGATGCTGATGCGCATGCGCTGATGCTGATGTGCCAATGCTGATGCTGATGCTGATGCTGATGCTGATGCTGATGCTGATGCTGATGCTGATGCTGATGCGCTGATGCTGATGCGCTGATGCTGATGCTGATGCTGATGCTGATGCGTTGATGCTGATGCTGATGCTGATGCTGATGCGCTGATGCTGATGCACTGATGCTGATGCTGATGCTGATGCTAGGCAATGGCAGTCACAGGGACACATCATGCAAATGCCCCACTCACTCACCTTCCCCCGATGGGGTTGGCAGCGGCAATGACGGAGCACCGGGCAGCGAGGGACGTGACGATGCCCGCCTTGCTGATGCTGATGCTCTGCTGCTCCATGGCCTCGTGGATGGACACCCTGTGGGGGCAGTGGGATGTGTGGCGACAAAGTGTGAGGGACAGGGGGAGCATGGGACTGCTGCTCCATCGCCGTGTGGCCATGGACACGTTGGAAAGGCAGACGGCAAGTGGTGCATCAGGAAGCAGGCACATCTCAAATGATGCTCTGCTCTGCTGCTGCATGGCCTCGTGGTCGTGGATGGACACCCTGATAGGGACGTGGTGTGGGGGGGTGGTGCGGCGAGGGGCAAGAGGAGCATCAGCCCGCACATACACCTCAGCTGATGCTCTGCTGCTCCATGGCCTCGTGGTTGTGGATGGATGGACACCCTGAGAGGACGCACAGCACAAGGGGCATGAGGAGAGTTGGGGCATGGAGATTTAGGGCATGATGCAAGAGCCATGCAAAAAACCTCTTGCTACCAGCGCAACCCCCTCGAGAGTCCACTCTTTGAGGTCACACACACCCCCATCCCTCCAAATCTCCCCCCAAGCCCCAATCCTTTTACACCCACCTGTCCTGTTGGCTCATCTCTTGTCCAACTCATCAATGAGGGATGTGCTTCTGTCCACCAGCACCAGCGCCCCTTTCAATCCATCCCCAACTCCCTCCAGTCCCCCATCCCCCAGTTCCCCCAGTCCCCAGCTGTACCTGTCCTGTTCGCTCATCGTGTCGAACTCATCAATCAAACAAGTGCCCCTGTCAGCCAGCACCAGCGCCCCCCACTCCAGAGCCCACTCGCTCTGCCACACACACACCATTCCCCTCATCCCTCCTATTCTCCCTCCAGTCCCCCCTGCCCCAGTCCCACCTGTCCTGTTCGCTCATCTTGTCGAACTCATCAATGAGGCAAGTGCCTCTGTCAGCCAGCACCAGCGCCCCCCCCTCCAGCGTCCACTCGCGCGTGACGGGGTCCTTGTGCACGGCTGCTGTCAGGCCCACCGCAGATGCGCCTTTTCCCGTTGTGTAGACCGCCCTATGCGCTGTCTTTTCCAGATACCTGAAGGGAGAGGGAGTGGATACCAGCAAGCACAGCAGAAGCAGGCATGCGAGGAATGAGAGGCCTGGACGGGGTCCTTGTCCACAGCGGCTGTCAGCCCCACCGCTGATGCGCCCTTGCCCGTCGTGTACACGGCACGATGGGCTGTTTTCTCCAGGTACCTAAGGGGAAGCACACGCACACACAGAGACAGGAATGTGAGTGTTTTCGCACCCGCCTCCAGCGTCCACTCGCGTTGTGTACACTGCATGGTGAGCTGTCTTCTCGAGGTACCTGGTGGGGGAGGTGGAGAGGGGAGAGGTTGTCATGCCAGCACAAGCACAAGCATGGGAAGGCTGCGGGGCCTGAACGGGGTCCTTGTGCTGTCAGCCCCACGCTGAAGCGCCGTTGCCTGTTGTGTAGACAGCTCGGTGGGCTGTCTTTATTAGGCACCTGGAGAGTCACCTTATAAGAGGCACGGTCACTCACTTGAGGAACTGCGACTTGGCCGTGCCGGGGTCTCCCAGAAGCAGCGCATTGATGTCGCCCCTCAGCCGGTGCTTGCCGCCCGCATTCTTCTCCTGCCCCCCGAACATGGCCAGAGCCAGTGACGTCTTCACGTTCTCATGGCCGTAGATGGAGGGGGCGATGGACTTTATGATCTGGGGTGAAAGGATGAGCAGGAAAGGGAGGGACGAGAGGGTGGAGGTGAGGGAAGAAAGCACTGGGAGGACGGTCTCGTCTCCTGTCCCCTGAACATGGCCAAGGCAAGAGACGTCTTCACATTCTCATGGCCGTAGATGGAAGGCGCAATGGACTTGATGATCTGCAGGGGCGAAGACCGGGGGTGGTGGAGGAAAGGGGCGGAAGGAGGGAGAGGAGAGGAGGTAAGAAAGCATTAAGAGAAGGGCATAGTATTCACCTACTCAACCCCTCCCTGTCTCACCCTCACACCCTCACACGCTCTCACCGCCCCAGATCACCCTCTCAACAATCCTCCTCCGGTCCCTCATAATCGCCTCCATGTCTTCCTGCATCAGCCTGTTCCATGTCTTCTCTCCTAGCTCACCCTCCCAGCAATGCGCGGCTCCCTCGAAAGCCGCATGATCTCCTACCTGTCTTCCACGCACACTCTCATTCTTCTCTCATGCTCAGCCCACACCCTTTCTCCGTCCCTCCCATTCACCCACCCTCTCAGCAATGCGTGGGTCCCTGGACAGCCGCATGATCTCCTCCTTGTCTTCATCCGTCAGCCGGTAAGCAGCGAAGGCGTCCTGCCGCTTGCTGATGTGGTTGGCCTCTATCACCGTGGAGAACACCGGGAAGCCCTGCCTCGTGTTCAGCGCCGCGTCAAAGTTGTTCACATAGATGCCCGTCACCTCCTGTAATGGGGGAAGTAGGTGGGGGGGGAGAGGGTAGGAGAAAGGGAGAGGGGAAGGAGAAAATGGAGTGAATGCTTCGATTGCTACCTTGGAGCACTGTGGTGAAACGAGAGCAGCTCCAACAAGTGTTGTTGAGGGCTGTATCTAGCTGTTGACTTAATACCCGAATGGATGGACGAACAAAGCTACACCCAGCTTCAACTACTCTAGAAGATTCAACTTACTATCTCCTTCCCCGGCCGGGCACAGTCAATGAGGTTGTGGAGCAGCACCACCGCGTTGTAGCGGGACAGTAAGGGGGCACCCAGCACCAACACAACCAGCACATGATCAATCCACCTTTGATGCTCTTTGCACTCACAATCTCCTTCACCCGGCCGGGCACAGTCAATGAGGTTGTGGAGCAGCAGCACCTCCTTGTAGCGCAGCAGTCATGCCAGCACCCACCCCAGCACGCTTGCGCCTCCAATCATCACATAACCAAAGGCAATGCTTATGCCACCGGCACTCACAAGCTCTTCTCCTGGACGTGCGCAGTCAATGAGGTCGTTGAGCAGCACCACCTCCTTGCAGCGCATCAGACTTGGGCGCACGCTTGAAAACACTTGCACGCTAGCATGAATACAAAGGCTCCAATGCATGCTAGCAGTTTGCACTCACAATCTCTTCACCCGGCCTAGCACAGTCGATCAAGTCGTTGAGCAGCACCACCTCCTTGTAGCGCGGCAGCCGCCCCGCCGGCACAGAACCAGGGCTCTCCTGCAGGGTCATCTTCTGGTAGTTGCGGTAGATGGTCTGCAATGAAAGGCACAGAGAAGATAAACTCTACAGTTGTTAGCTCGAAATTCAACTAAAGAAAGCCAAAAACCACGCTGCCAGGGCTCTCCTGCAGGGTCATCTTCTGGTAGTTGCGGTAGATGGTCTGAGATGAGGGGCTGTGGGGAAGGGGACAAAATGCAAAAAAAGGGAAGATCAAACAAAGACAGTGCCCTAGCAGCATGCGTACTCTCCCTATCATTACAAGCATCTCCTCTCTACCCCTCTTCGTTGCTCACCTGCTCCACGGTGCCGCACTCCAGCAGCATGCTTAGTTAGAAGCATCCTCCCCCCCCCTTCCCCCCCTACCCTCATTACTTGTGTGTTGTGCTCACCTGCTCCACGTTGACCTGGAAGGGCCCTTTGGACTGGCACTCAGCGCACGTGCCGCACTCCAGCAGCATGCTTACTTAGAAGCATCCTCCCCCCCCTTCCCCCCCCCCCACCCTCATTACTTGTGTGTTGCCCTCACCTGCTCCACGTTGACCTGGAACGGCCCCTTGGACTGGCACTCAGCGCACGTGCGGATGCGAATTTCCGAGGAGGACGTCTGGAAGAAGGGGCCCAGGATGGCGCCGCACTTGATGCAGTTGTACTTCACCTGCCGGGGTGCAGTGCGGTGGAGTGCGGTACAGTGCGGTGGGTGGGGGGGAAATGGGGCGAAGCATGGTGAGTGACGTTCAAGGATGGCGCCGCACTTTATGCAGTTATACCTGCCGGGGTGCAGTGCGGTAGGCGAGTGACATTCAAGTGCATGAGGATATTTGATACACAGACACATGCACTTGCAACTGAGCAGCGTGGAAAGACAAATGAAGCAGTGTGGGGAGGCATGTCAATGAAAGGGAGAGATGATTAAGCGTTGAGCAGCAGGTGAAGAGCAGGAGGGCAGGTGTGCTGAGAGACCTGCGACGGCAGACTCACCTGCTGCAGCTGGGGGAACACTCCCGTCCTACGAGTGACAACGCCTCCCACGCGGATGAGACAGTTGAGATGTGTCTGCCTGCCACGTGCACACATAGAGCAGGCAAGGGTTGTGTGGTTGAAGGGTTATGCTGTTAAGGTTATGACCGAGCCAGAATGTCGCATGCAGGCTGGACGATGCTGGTTGGTGAAGGTGGGGATGGATGGAGGTAGAATGCCTCATGTTATTCCCTCTGTTGCAATCACTTGACACCCACAAGTCCCCTCTGTTGCAACCACCTGACACCCCCTGCTTCCTCTGTTGTTTTCACCTGATGTCGCGGATCTGGTCGATGACGGGCAGTCCCGCCACACGCACGTAGATGCGCTCGTGCACCTGCTCGTACATGGGGAAGGCGCGGAACACCTCCGCTTGGGCCACCTCGTCCAACACTTCCAGCACCTGATGATGGGAGGGACGGCAGGTGGTGGAGGGGGGCAGGGAACGGGGAACGGCCTCATGCTCTGCTCCACTCGTGCACCTGCTCGTACATGGGGAAGGTGCGGAACACCTCCGCTTGGGCCACTTCATCCAGAACCTCCAATACCTGGTGGTGGGAGGGAGGGTGGGTGGGAGGGGGAGAGGGAAAGGGGAATGGTCTCATGCTTCTGCCACCTTCCCTTGCTGCGCCCGTGCACCTGCTCGTACACGGGGAAGGCGCGGAACACCTCCGCTTGGGCCACCTCGTCCAGTACTTCCAACATCTGGCAAGGGGATGGGCGAGATGGAGGGGCAGAGGCGAGGAGAGGAGAATGCTCATGCGCATTCAGGTGCGCGGAACACCTCCGCCTGTGCCACCTCATCCAGTACCACAAGCGCCTGGTGGTAGGAAAACGGAGAGGGACGAACAGAGGGGGAGTGGAGCCTGTTGGTTTTGAGGCTCAGCTTTGTCCAGCTCCAGTGAACAGCTGTTGACTGCTCTCTAGCCATGCACACCCAATTCCCTCCCCTCCCAAACGCACCCCAACCCCCTGCTCAGTGCTCACCTGCTTGGGTGCGTCAGCAAGCCACACAGCGAGGATGGGGTGGGTGGTGAGGAGGTGCGAATAGTCCAGCTCCAGGGAGCAGCTGTTCACTGCTCTCCGCCCATGCACATGCACACATGCACACATGCGCATGCACATGCACAGCCATACATGCGCATACACACACAAAATAACGTGCACGTAAGAAATCAATGATAAGTACGAGAGCGGAAGACCACTCCACGCCCACATCCTCTTCCTCTCCTCACTCACCCTCCTCTACCTGTAACATGAAATATTAATTCACACTCGCCTTCCTCTCTCTCAGTGTCACTCAGTGTCCCTCCTATCCCTCCCCCCCCACGCACTCTCCACCAGCTTGCGAATGCGAATGGCATAGTCGGCATCGCTGTCCCCCCGGTGCCGCCCCACTCACTCTCCCCCCTTCATTCATCCACCCCCCCTTCACCCCCACCCTCCCTTCCCCCACGCACTCTCCACCAGCTCGCGAATGCGAATGGCATAGTCGGCATCGCTGTCCCCCCGGTGCCGCCCCACTCACTCTCCCCCCTTCATTCGTCCACAACCCCTTCCCCCCCTCCCAACCCCAACGCACTCTCCACCAGCTCGCGAATGCGAATGGCATAGTCGGCATCGCTGTCCCCCCGGTGCCGCCCCACTCACTCTCCCCCCTTCATTCGTCCACAACCCCTTCCCCCCTCCCAACCCCAACGCACTCTCCACCAGCTCGCGAATGCGAATGGCATAGTCGGCATCGCTGTCCCCCCGGTGCCGCCCCACTCACTCTCCCCCCTTCATTCGTCCACAACCCCTTCCCCCCTCCCAACCCCAACGCACTCTCCACCAGCTCGCGAATGCGAATGGCATAGTCGGCATCGCTGTCCCCCCGGTGCCGCCCCACTCACTCTCCCCTCTTCATTCGTCCACAACCCCTTCCCCCCTCCCAACCCTAACGCACTCTCCACCAGTTCGCAAATGCGAATGGCATAGTCGGCATCGCTGTCCCCCCAGTGCCGCCCCACTCACTCTCCCCCCTTCATTCGTCCACAACCCCTTCCCCCCTCCCAACCCCAACGCACTCTCCACCAGCTCGCGAATGCGAATGGCATAGTCGGCATCGCTGTCCCCCCGGTGCCGCCCCACTCACTCTCCCCCCTTCATTCGTCCACAACCCCTTCCCCCCTCCCAACCCTAACGCACTCTCCACCAGTTCGCGAATGCGAATGGCATAGTCGGCATCGCTGTCCCCCCAGTGCCGCCCCACTCACTCTCCCCCCTTCATTCGTCCACAACCCCTTCCCCCCTCCCAACCCCAACGCACTCTCCACCAGCTCGCGAATGCGAATGGCATAGTCGGCATCGCTGTCCCCCCGGTGCCGCCCCACTCACTCTCCCCCCTTCATTCGTCCACAACCCCTTCCCCCCCTCCCAACCCCAACGCACTCTCCACCAGCTCGCGAATGCGAATGGCATAGTCGGCATCGCTGTCCCCCCAGTGCCGCCCCACTCACTCTCCCCCCTTCATTCGTCCACAACCCCTTCCCCCCCCCCAACCCCAATGCACTCTCCACCAGCTCGCGAATGCGAATGGCATAGTCGGCATCGCTGTCCCCCCGGTGCCGCCCCACTCACTCTCCCCCCTTCATTCGTCCACAACCCCTTCCCCCCTCCCAACCCCTACGCACTCTCCACCAGCTCGCGAATGCGAATGGCATAGTCGGCATCGCTGTCCCCGCGGTGCCGCCCTCTGCTGTCCTTGAACGTCTGCAGGAAGTGCCGGAAGCGCCGTGCCATGAATCGCCGCACCTCGTCCCGGGAGACCCACTCCCTCAGACTTCCCTGTTGGCAGAGAGGACACATGATAGGGAGAGGATTCGCAAAGGTGAAAGGAGATAGTTGAGATTGATAGGCGGAACCGGAAGAGCCGTGGCATGAAGCGCCGCACCTCGTCCCGTGACACGCACTCCCTCAGAATGCCTGCTGGAGGAGAACAGATAGGGTAGACCGACGGTGCAAAACGGAGAACCAAGAGTCAAGCGGGGCACTTCACACATGAACCAAGAGTCAAGCGGGGCACTTCACACATGAACCAAGAGTCAAGCGGGGCACTTCACACATGAACCAAGAGTCAAGCGGGGCACTTCACACATGAACCAAGAGTCAAGCGGGGCACTTCACACATGAACCAAGAGTCAAGCGGGGCACTTCACACATGCACCAAGAGTCAAGCGGGGCACTTCACACATGCACGGTCCAGCCAGCAGCACGTGAAAGGTGCGAACTTTGACCCTAAATAAATTCTTTTTGAGATCACCTTACTGCTGTAAGTACCCACACCGTGCCTGTTGCAATCACCTCCTCCATGTTGCAATCACCTCCTCCATGTTGCATCACCTGGCACCTGACCGTTAAACCACCTGGTGATAACACCTGACTGTTGCATTCACCTGACTCTTGAAATTACCTGAGAGTTGCCCACTGAAAATCGAATGACTGTCGAAAACACCTGCATGTTGGAAACACCTGGCTGTTAAAATCACCTGACTGTTGACTGATGCAATCACCTGCATGTTGTAGAGCGAGTCATCATTGATATCATCCTCCTCCTCCGCTTCCTCCTCTTCCCCTCCCCCCGTTCCCTCCGTAGCAAAGCTACCCTGTGCACATGGGGAGTGCCATGATGACAGCAGCATGCAAAGCGATTGTTGAGTTGACTCAAAAACCGCAATGCAAAGCGGGCTCAAATGAAGAGAGACAGAAATGGCTTCTAAGTGGACTGGAACATGGTAGTTGCACGCACTGGCACAGTGGCACGATGCATAGCAGACCAGGAAAAGGGGCGATGTGATACTACATTTGAGATTTCTAAAACAATGTGCAGATCCAGCACAGTTGCACGATTGCAGCTGACACAAAGACCCAGTCTGACAGAGATAGATCCGGTCTGAGTCACTAATGCTGCACTCTTCTCAAAAGGTGGTCAATTGACCAGAGTTTCACACTCACCCCCATTGACCTGAGTATCACACTCACCCCCACGGCAGCATCAGCAGAGTCGGTGCGTCGCCGGCGCGGCCCCCTGCGGGTGAAGAGCCCGCTGTCGTCGTCGTCTGGGGCATGCGGAGTAGGGGGTCACAGGAAGAAGTGGTAACAAAAAAGGGGCAGGTTGTGAGCTAGGGCAGGGGTTGTCGGCGCAGCGCCCTGCGAATGAAGAGCCCGCTGTAGTCATCGTCTGGAGCATGGGGAGCAGAGATTCGCAGGACGTAGGAAGGAGAGGGGGTCACATGACACAAGGAGGAAAGACTCCTATACCCAACCCCTACGCCATACCACGTGGTCTTCTTCCAGGATGGAACGCAGTCAATTCCCCCCATCATTCCCCCCAGCGCCCCTCCTCCCGGCGTCTCTGTGCGCTCAAGTCACTAATGAGAATTCTCAAAACTCTCACCTTGGTCCCTGAGGAGGAGGATGGAGGGCAGTCGGCATCATCCCCCCCCCGGCGCCCCCTCCTGCTAGCGTCTCTGCGCGCCATTTCTCGCTCCGGCGCCCGCTCGTCTGCCCCCGTTTCTCACTCCCACCCCTCCGCCGCCTCACCTTGGTCCTTCACGATGGGCAGCAGCCGGTTTCCCCCATCATCCCCCCCGGCACCCCTCCTCCCGGCGTCTCTGCGCGTTAAAGTCACTATTCACAATTCTCAAAATTCTCACCTTGGTCCCTCAGAATAGACGGCAGTCGGTTCCCCCCATCATCCCCCCCAGCGCCCCTCCTCCCGGCGTCTCGGCGTGCCATTTCTCGCTCCGCCGCCCGCCTGTCTGCCGCCCGCTGCCCGCTGCTCCTGGTGTCGCCCTCACTGTCCGCCAGGTGCTCCCTCTCGTACTCGTCCAGGTGGGGCATGGGGCGGTAGTCGCTGCAAGGTGGAGTTAAGAAGGGCGAGGGTTGAGAGCGTGGGATGGGAGCAACGGGTTACGGCACATCATGGCCCACTTCTCTGCTCCTGCTGCCGCCCTCGCTGTCCGCAAGGTGCTAACTCTCGACTCAAAAGCAACCCACTCAGGTAAGCACTCCTTCCTTTCCCGTTTGACTAATCAAGCAACCCACAGCAGCCATTCTGCCACCCCACTCACTCCAGAAAGTCATCCCTCAGCAGATCCTCGCCCTCTTCTTCCTCCTCCTCGCCCGCTCGCTCCGCCGCGCCGTCCCCCTCGCCGCCCTCGCTGCCGTTCTCGAACAGCATCGGATCCACCTCCGCCTCCTCCGCTTCCCGCCCTGCCAGAGGCTCACAGCGGAAGGGGGAAAGAATCACAGGGTAAGGGGAAAGGGGGTCGCGGAATGACCCAACCGCGCCCGCCCTCGCTGCCGTTCTCGAGCAGCATCGGATCCACCTCCGCCTCCTCCGCCTCCCGCCCTGCCACACAGCCCGCGGCGGAAATGAGAAATGAGAAATGAGAAAAGAGAAAAGAGAAAAGAGAATTGACCCAACCGCGCGAGCAGCATCGGATCCACCTCCGCCTCCTCCGCTTCCCGCCCTGCCACAGGATCACGGCGGTACAGAATCGCCGGGTCCACAGAATCACAGCGTAAGGGGGAAAGGGGGGAGCGGAACAGAAAAATGACCCAGCCGCGCCCTCGCTGCCGTTGTCGGATCCCCCTCCGCCTCCTCCGCCACCTCCGCCTCCCGCCCTGCCACGGGGTTGCGGCGGAAGGGGGAAGGGTCACGGCGGAAGGGGGAATGAGGGTGCGGAAAAGAGAATGACCCAACCGCGACCTCACTCGGGCGGTCATACAGAACGGATCCGACCCCTTCCACCTCTCAATCTTGACCTGAACGCAGCAGATAGGTGATCGGGCAGAGAAAACACAGATTTCGGCAAGAGAAGGCGAAGTGGGGCGGCGGGGTGGCAAGAGAAAGAGAGCAAGACAGAGGAGAACGACTATGAACCAGCGGTAGAGTGAATGGTTTACGCGCACCTGCGGAGTCGCGGTCGAAATCGTCCATCTGATCGTCATCATCTCGACCGCTCGCCGTGTATGCATCCGACGGCCCAGATCGCCCCGATTGTCTGTCCGAATCCTGCTCGCGCGCACCACGCGAAGGATGCACAAGAACCACACAAGACGCGTCAGAATGGGCGCATTGCGTCGCTTCGAACATGTGCAGATTCAGACGGGCATGGCATGCAGCAAAAACTAGAGGTAAGGATAGCGTTTTACCATATGTGCACGTGGGGAAGCCTCTCATCACAAAATTCAATATGTGAGCTCTTAACTAAATAAATTTATTTATTTTGTAGAGCGTTACAGGCAGCTCTCATAGCTCAGTTGGTTAGAGCACCCGTTTAGTAAGCGGGAGGTCTTGAGTTCAACTCTCAATGAGAGCAAAACGCAACAAACTAATGATAGAATCCTACTTCCAACAATTTTATGACTCGCTGCGCACACTTGGTATTAGGCCCAAACAAGCGCAGCCACGTGACCCGACGGAAGAAAATCGCGCAGAAATTGTAGCGTGTGGACGCGCGGTTGAAGCTGCAGGCGCGCACTGTGGCTACCGGAGATTGTAGCCTCCGGACTACAGGTGCAACAGGAGTAACTGGCTACGCCGAGCGGCTAGAGCAACTGACCCACGGGCGACTGGCGCAGCAGGCTCGCTGGGCTACCTGAGATTGTAGCCACCGGACTACAGGTGCTGCGGACGACAAGACGGCTGCCTCCACTCAACCTCCCCCAACTGTCCCACACCCCTTACACTCACCCACTTCTGCACCCCTAGCTCCACTCCCACGGCACCCCCTTAGCGCCACTCCTCCGGCTCCCACACATCCACCCCCCTCAGCGGCAGCTGCAGTAGTGGGAGACGGAGGAGTGAGGAGCGAGTGGCGACGCACACACACCCGCCACCCCCAGAATCGGCACCGCGCAGTTGCACGAGGGCAGGGAGCGGAGCGAGGCTCCACAAGGCAGCACGCGCGGGCTGCAAGGGCGGCTCGCGGGCTGGTGGGGCGGCTCGCGGGCTGTAGGGGCGGCTCGCGAGCTGCAGGGGGGGCAGCGCGCGGGCCCCCCAAGGGCGCCACGGCGGGTGACGGGAAGGGGGCCGCGCGCGGGCCCCCGAGGGCGCCTCGACGGGCGACGGGAGGGGCTGCGCGCGGGCCCCCAGGGCGCCTTAACGGGCGACAGGAGGGGGCGACGCGCGGGCCGCCAAGGCGCCGTGACGAGGCGACGGAAGGGGACGGCGCGCGGACCCCAGGGCGCCGCGACGAGGCGACGGGAGGGGGGGGCGACTCGCGGGCCCCCAGGGCGCCGCGACAAGGCGACGGGAGGGGGGGTGGCGGCACGCGGGTCCCCGGGGGCGCCGCGATGGGCAGGGCAGGGCGCCGCGCGACGAGCAGGGTGGGGCGACGGGCAGAAAACCGCCGCGCACCCCGAGCGCACGTCGGTTTGAAAAAAACGCCGTGCACCCCGAGCGCGCGGCAGGCAGGAAAGGTCGCGCGCCCGAGGCGCGCGATAGGAAGGACAGCAGCGGAAGACGCTAGGCCCTTGTTCTTGCAATTTTGCACACGCTAGGCCCTTGTTCTTGTGATTTTGCACACGCTAGGCTCTTGTTCTTGCTATTTTGCACTCGCTATGCCCTTGTTCTTGAACATTTTCACACGCTAGGCCCTTATTCTTGCAATTTTGCACATGCTAGGCCCTTGTTCTTGCAATTTTGCACACGCTATGCCCTTGTTTTTGCAATTTTGCTCACGCTAGGCTCTTATTCTTGCAATTTTGCACACGCTAGGCCCTTGTTCTTGCAATTTTGCACACGCTAGGCCCTTGTTCTTGCAATTTTGCACATGCTAGGCCCTTGTTCTTGCAATTTTGCACATGCTAGTCCCTTGTTCTTGCTATTTTGCTCTCGCTAGGCCCTTGTTCTTGATATTGTGCACACGCTAGGCCCTTGTTCTTGCAATTTTGCACACGCTAGGCCCTTTTTCTTGAGATTTTGCACACGCTAGGCCCTTGTTCTTGCAATTTTGCACGCGCTAGGCCCTTGTTCTTGCAATTTCGCACACGCTAGGCCCTTGTTCTTGCTATTTTGCACACGCTAGGCCCTTCTTCTTGCAATTTTGCACACGCTAGGCCCTTGTTCTTGAAATTTGGCACACGCTAGTGTCAAAGTTTGAAGAAAGAAAGAGAGAGGATTGAACTAGCAAGAATGAGGATACAAATAGCAAACCCTAGAAGGGTTGTACTCGCTATAGAGCACCCCACTACAGGCTAGAACAATAAGATAATATTCTGACACACCCCCATAGCCAAAGTGGGGTGTAATCAGCAGAGCAAGCAAAGCAATACAAGCTCAGGGTGGATCACAATGTCACCACACATTCTGAGCACAAGTTCAAGAAGAAATAGTTTAGAGTTCACAATTATAAGCAAAGCTAGTGGTAGTCACAACGGGCAAGTGAGGAGGAGGAGGGAGAGTGAGGGGAAAGGAGATAGGAGGCGACGGCTGAAGCTGCAGACACACGGGCAACAGGAGGCAGACTGGCACAGCGGCTACCGGACAGCGCCCGGACTACAGGAGTAACAGGCCCCGCGGCTCAAATAGCGGCGGACGGGCAACGGACCCACAGGCGGCTGGCGTAGAAGTCTAGCTCACTGGGCTACCGGGACAGCGCCCCGAACTACAGGTGCTGCTGACGACAAACTGGCAACCTCCGCTCATCCTCCCGCACACAGTCCCACCCCCCTGATACACACCCACTGCTACACCGCTAGCTCTACTCCCACGCACCCCCCTTAAACGCTAAACCCCAGTCTCCCACACAACCACCCCCCTCAGCGACAGCTGCAGCAGTGGGAGACGAAGGAGGAGGAGGAGCAAAGGGAGGAAGGCACACCGATCACCCCCATACCCGCCACCCCACAGCTCGCTTGCGGCCCCCTCAGGTCGCCTCGACGGACGACGGGAAATGGGGGGGAGGGGAGAAAGGGGTCCACCACGGACCTGAGAGAGTCGCAGGTGGGGGGACGGGGCCGGGGCCGCGAGTAGGGCGACGGGGCCGCGCGGGCGGCGACGGGGCCGCTGCGGCGGCGACGGGGCCGCGCGGGCGGTGAAGGGGCCGCGGCGGGTGGGGAGGGGGTCGCTGCGGGCGGCGACGGGGCCGCACGGGCGGCGACAGGGCCGCTGCGGCGGCGACGGGGCCGCTCGGGCGGCGAAGGGGCCGCGGCGGGTGGGGACGGGGTCGCTGCGGGCGACGTCGGGGCCGCACGCGACACCCCAGACCGTCGTAACGGACGGGCGGGGGCCGCGCGCGGCTCCCCTGGGCGGCGCGACGGGGCAGCGGGCAGCGCGCCAGAGAAGAAAGGGGCCGCGCGCCGAAGGTGGCGGGGCCGCGACCGGAGTAGGGCGGCGGGGCCGCGACGGGTCCCCGTCGCCCGTCCCGACGCCTCCAGAGCGGGACGCGGCGAACGCCGCGAGGCAGACGCCCGCCGCGCGCCTCGGGGCGCACAGCGGGCAGAGAACCGCCGCGCGCCTCGGGGCGCACGGCGGGCAGAAAACCGCCGCGCGCCTCGGGGCGCACGGCGGGAGGAAAAAGTAGCAGCGGAAGCGAGGTGGGAACACACCCACATGATCGATCCAAGGGGATCGACCTGCTCTGATAGCATGTCAAAGTTTGAAGAAAGAAAGAGAGAGGATTGAACTAGCAAGAATGAGGATACAAATAGCAAACCCTAGAAGGGTTGTACTCGCTATAAAGCACCCCACTACAGGCTAGAACAATAAGATAATATTCTGACAGCTAGGCCCTTGTTCTTGCAATTTGGCACACGCTAGGCCCTTGTTCTTGCAATTTGGCACACGCTAGGCCCTTGCTCTTGCAATTTTGCACACGCTAGGCCCTTGTTCTTGCAATTTGGCACACGCTAGGCCCTTGTTCTTGCAATTTTGCACACGCTAGGCCCTTGTTCTTGCAATTTTGCACAGGCTAGGCTCTTGTTCTTGCAATTTTGCACACGCTAGGCCCTTGCAATTTCGCACACGCTAGGCCCTTGTTCTTACTATTTTGCACACGCTAGGGCCTTGTTCTTGCAGTTTTGCACACCCTAGGCCCTTGTTCTTGCAATTTTGCACACGCTAGGCCCTTGTTCTTGCTATTTTGCACACGCTAGACCCTTGTTCTTGCAATTTTGCACACGCCAGGCCCTTGTTCTTGCTATTTTTCACACGCTAGGCTCTTGTTCTTGAAATTTTGCACACGCCAGGCCCTTGTTCTTGCAATCTTGCACTCGCTAGGCCCTTGTTCTTGCTATTTTGCACACGCCAGGCCCTTGTTCTTGAAATTTTGCACTCGCAAGGCCCTTGTTGTTGAAATTTTGCACACCGTAGGCTCTTGTTCTTGTAATTTTGCACACGCTAGGCCCTTGTTCTTGCAATTTTGCACACGCTAGGCCCTTGTTCTTGCAATTTTGCGCACGCTAGGTCCTTGTTCTTGCTATTTTGCACACGCTAGGCCCGTGTTCTTGCAAATATGCACACGCTACGCCCTTGTGCTTGAGATTTTGCACACGCTAGGCCCTTGTTCTTGCAATTTCGCACACACTAGGCCCTTGTTCTTGCAATTTTGCACACGCTAGGCCCTTGTTCTTGCAATTTTGCACACGCTAGGACCTTGTTCTTGCAATTTTGCACACGCTAGGCCCTTGTTCTTGCAATTTTGCAAATGCTAGGCCCTTCGCCCAAGTCGGCGTCGCCCACTACTGCAAGTCAGCTGTACCTCACGTACACCCAACCACGAAGTCGGCTCCGCCCAAGCGAGGACGGGGCCAACAACAACTCCCGTTGACACTCCCCTGCCGCGTTCACGCTTGGGCCCCCAGACCCCACGGCATCACTGCTCGGAAAAATAGCTCGTCGGCGTGCACCTAACACACAGCACATCGGTCACCGCACCAGCCATGCAGGAGGGCATAGCACCTACTGCTGCATGTCGTTGTCCCCGTCGCCCACGTCGACCAAGCGCACCTGGCTAATGGCAACGGAGCACCGGTTGAAGGCCGGATAGTGCAGCCCCTTCGTCAGGAAGTCAGCCGGCTGGTTAGCGGTCGGGATGTACTTTAGTGAAAACTTCCCACGCTTCACCCTGTGCTGCAGCCAGGCCTGTCGCC